AGAGGCCATGGTGCCAACTGAAACCATGTCTGCAGTCCCATGGCATTTGTTTCTCAGCAATTAAAGCAATACAGAATAATTAAGACCATGGATAGTTCCTTCTCTTTTTAATTGTATTTCTTTTATTAAGTGTGTAAAACTTGAGAAAGGATAGCCAGTCCTCTCAAGGTTGGATTATCAGAAGTCATCCGTCTTTCATTTAACAGTCACTCTCATCGCCCATCTTAAATCTTTACTGTGGAAATGTAACTAAAGGCTGGTCAGACAATCACAGTAAGTGTTGGATACCTACCTTGTATTATAGTTTACAGGCATGAAATGGTTTTAAAAAATAGTTCATCTACTCGCTGATGACTTTATTTACCTATACTGTAGATACATCAGTTTTACCATTCAGATGAATCCAGTGAATCCAATGCTCAGCGGTCATCTGCAGACTCATTTCCATTCTAACAACTTGCAGGAGTTTAAAATACCAGTCAGTCTCATGAATCCTTAGTTATAAAAATGAGCTTAAAAGGATAAAATAAGTAGTGCAGATAAAAATGAAAAGCCCAGTGTTAGTTCTACGAAGTGTGTGTGTACTGTTGCTGTGGAGGTTTGAGTCTTACCTGTCTCTGAAGAGAGCAATGAGCCCTGCTTATGTTACTCTCCCTCTGACACATTTGTCGATCTCGGCTCATTTTCCACCTGTACAGCCTTTACCCTGCACCACTCACACTGCCACGCCCTGTTACACAACAGCTGAGCGACTGTGCGTGAGTAGTGTTGTTGCAAGGTGGGCTTTTTGTCTTCGTATGAGCAGGTTTTTTTTTTTTTTACTTTCTCTCTCCCACCACATTTAGGATTGACAAATACGCCGAGTGCCAAGTGAACACTGAGATAAGAATGTTAGGAATCCACATATCAATAATTTAGCTGTAATCATGTGGCTCAGTAACCTACAAAATGCAGTCTCTTCTTCTGGGTGCACTTACACGAAAGACTTCACATATGAGAGCCTTTTCTGAATTCTGACACACATGAATGGATTATTTTTAACATGTTGCTTTCAAATATTGTCAGCTGATGTATTACCACTGTTTTATCTGATCTCCTGGAGCTAAACATGGGTGCTGTATCTACCTTAGAATAAAATAGTCAAGGTCTCTCATTTACGATGTCCTAAATACAGCTGCCTTCTGAAGATTAATATTTTGTTATTGAGGGAACGGACAACCCCCAAGACAGCGGTGAAAATGATACGCCTGTTAATAGCTGCTTTTGAGTGTCCACTACGATGAAGTGCATTTTCAACAGACTATGGAAAAAAAGGAGGAAAAACGCACTAAAAGACAGGGCTTATACGTTGAAATCACACACCCTCCTGTGTTTCTGCCTCTGCCGAACGTGCACAGACAGGTGTTAAGAGGTGTTGATGGATGGCCTCAGAGGGGCAGTCGTTCATCTTTATAGATCATTTTCTTTTGAGGGATTGGTGTCAAAACACGGGCTTCTAATGGATGACTTGTTCAGACAAGACAACAGTTGTGTCTTTGACTGGGTTTGTAGTCTGGAACTGTCTGAACTCATGCTTGTAAATGTGGCTAACAAAGCCTCTATAAATAAAAAACTAGGCATGCAGATGTATTTAAATCATACCATCTTTATGAACTTGTGACCTGTCACCAATATTGTGTTAAGTTTAGTTTTGAGTCTTTTAATCTGGTTTTAGGGAAGCCCTAAAAACTGTGTGTCTCAATTAATCAGTGAGGTTTGTCATAACACTATAGTTTAGATTTCTGGCATTACTTTTTTTAATCAAAATAAAGCCTCTCCTTACATAGTCGTCATGACAGTCTTCACTCCTGTTTCAGTTTGGTCAGTCCAGTTAATTCAACTGCTGCCTTTAAGTCTCGGAAAACATATTACAGCCTTGAAATTAGCAACAAAAGAGTCAATTATTGATCATTTCAATTCAAAGTAGAATCAGTCAGAATCAGAATCTGGTGTAGTGCCAAGGATACTATACTTCTGACAAATTTGTCTTACTGTTTAAGCACTAAAACAATGAACACGGACTAACAATGGAAATGTATGAAAATGATTTTTTTTTACTGCAGTACAACAACTATCAAGCTACCTTAAAGTTGGGGTAGGCAGGATTCGAGGAAGTGCCAGTTTTGGGGAGAAATCTTAAATGTAAACACTGCCCCTCCTCACCAGTTTTCCCCTCAGCTCCTCCTCTCCCCTCCCTCTCTGCTCCAGCAAGCCCCGCCCTCAAACAGATGTAAGTAAGCCAAACAAAGTATGCCAAGTGTCCGTACTTTCTGGTTGGTTTCTACTGTCCGATATTGTAGCACGCTAACTCTGTTTAGGCAGCAGTGTCTGCCTCACAACCAAGGCGAAGAATGGCTTTAGGTATAGTCAGAAGGAGTGGGCCGCTCAAAAAATGTAAAATTTTGACTACACAGACCTAGCAAAACACAGTGATATCATTATATTACCAAATGTCATCAATAACTAATAGTTATTAACTGATATTGAAGGCTTTTTTGTATATATACCACAAAAAAGGTGCTTCTTTAACGTAATCCTGCCTACCCCACCTTTTAAATAGGAAAAGATACTACAATTAAAACGCTAAAATAGCATGTAAACAGAACTTTAACAAAATATTTATACACAATGTGTCATGGAAAGTTGTATATCCATACAGGACAGTGCAGGATGACATGAATCTTGTACTACACAAGTATTTGTAAACGCTACACTTTCCCTTTGCTTTTAATAATGGTCCCACACTTTCCCCATCTTTAGAGAGCTATGCATAAAATCAGATGCCACTTGCAAAATATGGCAACAAACTTGAAAACTGCCAAAACCCACATCTGTTGGTGGTATTAGAGTTATTTCACATGAAAAGTCCAAATGCCACAAGTTGTAGGTTGGTATCAGAACAGTATCTCTCTATGAAAGAGATTTTGTACTTGAAAAATAAAAGAAATACCGAACATTGGTGTGAGTTTTTTCTTAAAGGATCAGAAATATTCTCAGGTAATCGACAACTGTACAAATATTATTAACTGAAGCAAAAAAGTGCTTTACTGTGCCGTTTTCTGTAGGCTATCATACCCACTGAGCACAATTTGCAACGGTCACAAGGTAGTTGACAGAGAAAAGATGAGTAATTTTACATTATTTTATCCAAAGAGGTATTTTGACTGGCTGACTTAGGTTAAAAAAGAAGTTGTTGGAGCTAGCAAAGTTGTCTAGAGCAGTGGTTCTCAACTGGTGGGTCCCGACCCAAAAGTGGGTCGCGGACATGTTCTGGATGGGTCGCGAACAGTTGGTCAAAAAAGTACGTATTTAATGCATATCTGATGTGTGACATGTCTTTTATTTTGAAAAATAGCTTATTTTAAAAGGCATGCGTTGCGGCATTGTGGTCCTCCTCTGGCTGCATTTTGTACAATTTGATATTTGATATTTTCTGTATTTGCAACTTTAGCAGTTGTCGTCCTCAGTTCATGTGCTCTGAAATGCACTTTACTCAATAATATGGGTGTATTTGTGTTAAAGATCTGAATCTTTAAAGGTTTTTTTAATATAAAAAATAAATTTGCTTGGTTTGAATTCTATAAAAGTGGGTCACAACGTAAGGACCATGGGAAAATGTGGGTCCCAGAGTGAGGCCAGTCGAGAACCACTGGTCTAGAGCCTGTAGTAGAATGAATGCAACATGTGGAAAGTTTAGTACAGGTAAAAAAAATAATCAAGATTACACCTGTATTTCAATCCAAATAGCTTTAGTATAAAACATCAAGATGTGAACTGCAGCTGCAACCAAAGTGATCTGGTAAAGAATCTAATTATGTTTTCTCACGATGAAGAAGGTTTGCACAAAAATACTCTGGTAAACAAAAGCAGGCCTACCTCCTTAATATTGTCTGAAAGCATAACTTTTATGTGGGTCTCTGCTTGTGTTGACCTGAGAAACACTTAGGGGAGAGTGGGGTAAGAGGAGCCATTTTTCATATTTTTGATCACTACATCAAGGCAACCATAGTTTTGTCTCTAACTAGTGTATCTACATATATTTCAAGATGTTGTGCAAACCAACAGGATAAGTGTAAACATAACTGTCTTGATAATATAGCATGCCAAAAAAAGTGGTCTCCTATGGTCAACATTTTTTTTCTACAGCTTTGTGTTGAACCGTGTGTGTGTATGCGTGTGCATGTCTCCATGTATGAGTTTAAGTGTGCATGCAATGAAGTTGTCTACTTGCACTTACACTCTTATATTGATTTCTAATTGATTTTTTTATATAACTGTTTCTGTTTGTTTAACTGTGTATACCCACTGTGAAGCACATTGAGTCTGCCTTGTTCATGAAATAAAGAAAGTTTATTATTATTATCATTATTGTTATTATTATCATTATTATTATGACTTTATTAGTCCTCTAAGCTAAAATAGTGGACATTTATGCAATGTTTTTGGCCTGATGTTGCTCATAGATACCACAATTGATATATAAAACTATTTTAAAATGATCTTTTTTGGTCTGAACACAATTCTAATAAAACTTATCACAGAATAAATTCACTTTCAAGAGTGAAAAATGTTTTTTTTTAAATAAATGTCTAACCCCTTCACCCATGTGCTTCTAACCTTCACAGACTCCATGAATTGATCCCATCTCCTAAATATTTGGTCACATGATCAATTTCTTTTACCCTTTGGCTCATCTTACCCCACTCTCCCCTACATTGTGACCGTACCTGCTTTAATTCCACTTCGAGTTGCCTTCAGGGCTCCGGAGTTGTAATCTCTGAGTTTCGTCGTGTCCTTAAACGCATCGTCGTTCCTCGGGATGTTTTGTACCCTCCCTGCCCAGCCTGCTGCCTGCTGCCCAGGCTGGCTGCTCGGGGCTCGGGATGACGCCACCTCTCGCTCCGCCCCGGCGCAAACTCGCTCTCTGCGTTCATTTCATTCCTCTTCTCATTCCGAGCATTCTTCGCATCTCTGTCAGTGCGCGAAGCGATTCACCTACACCTTCCTGGCTGGCCCAGAAACACCAGAATAACTTGACATAGTATTAAAAATACCCCGCAACATCCCATTATCTAAAGAAAGGGACATTTTTATATGAGATATCAATAACGAGGTAAGTTTCAATGGTAGTTGCAGGTATCAAAACTGGCTGTAGACTTCTGTTCATGGGGTTTGGTGGACGTCTTTAGAAAAAAATGGAGGCTTTATTAAAAAATGTTGGTTAATTTAAATGTTTTTAGCCTTTATCCCATGGCGGGAAGTAACGTTAGGTCGTCTGTTTCCATCGCTGAGATAGATGGCCGATTCTGGTCGCTGTTGCAACAGGGTGCTCACTTTGAACACTCACTGTTATAGCCTATGGCTTTGACATAGCAGCGAAAATCTTTGACATTTTTCACATTTTTTGAAAAGACGCCCGATCCTACGCCCCTGTAAAAAGCATCAGATGCCGTTTTGCCCCGTGATAGATCCCCAGAAACTCCCAGAGGGATTCGGGAGGAACTAACAGTATCACAGCACGAATAACAGTTTTTTGGACAAGATGACGGTTGAAAACGTTGCTGTTTTGCTCTCTGTAGTTGGCTCAGCCGGGAGTAGTTGGACCATTTTCGGACCACCTCGAAGGAAACACCGTGGAGAGACTTGTTGCTTCAACACGTTTTGACGGTGCTTTTTTGTCGAAAACGCCATCGAAGTTTTGTGTAAGTAAATGTTTTTTTTTACTGTTTCTCTCAGCAGTCCGTGTTGCTCAGTTCTCCATGTTGTTACTGTAACTCTAACGGCGGAGCCAGAGGGAAAGGTTAGCCCCAAACTCTTCACTCTGAAGCTGTGCTGTTTCCCTCTCAAACTAACTCAAGTCAGAAAATAACGTGTTCAGAATCGTTTTTATTCACTCTGGGACTCATACATGATGTTAAACGGGGGCAGTGTGATCCTTTCAGGCTGTAGTTTGTTGTTGAAGTGAGTTCAAACGTTTGTTTGATGTTAGTGAAGCTGCTGTTTGGGGTGCCGTTCATTGTTTCCCTGTACCTTAATTTACTTCGGGAAATGCATGCTCAGCTAAAACTCAACTCCCCTTCACTGACTACACCAGCTGTATGTGTGTCACAAAGTTTGACTCCTAACAATACTTTCAGTCCCATAACTTTTTTTTACTTATGAAGCAAACAGAAGGACAACAAAGGTGCCCAAACTTTTTAGCTTTTTCTGAAAAGTTGATGCCCTCCCTGTTGCATCAAACACTGATAGATCTTCTCTTTGTGCTTTGTGATTTTTGTTGCTGTCCCCCTTGTTGTTTGACTGAATATTTGCTACTGTAAATTGTCAGATTTGGTTTGCTCTGAACAAACAGCCCGGTTAGGTCATCAGGCCACAGTTTACACAGCTCAGATCTGCTGCTGTGATGAAATCAGGGTGTCTTTATACTTCACTAATTTGGTGGTAAAGAATCACTGAGCAAATCTAAATATAACCTTAATGTTACACTCAAGTCAGCTGTAATCACACACCAATGTTGACATCACAGTATCAGCTGTTTTTACAAATTAAGTTCAAAAGGAAAGTAGTTGCCTCTCCTATTAATGAAATTTCTTACTATTAGATTACAATAGGTGTGACATAGCTGAGTGATTTATAAACCTTCTTAAACAAAAATCCGTCCTCATGTTTATGGCTGTAGCTTTTTTGTTTTTAGTATAAAAAGCAGCTTAAATTAGTGACTTAACAAACATGCCTTGTTAATTACATTTCACACTATTTTGACCAACATAGAGAAATACAATTTTCTGTTTGGTTGACATGAAAAGAGCTATTCTCACATGCAGGAAACAGTTTGAATACATTCAGGCATAACTCCAGACAAGTCACACTGTAAATCAGCTTGCTTGTAAGAAACAACAACAAAAACACTGGGGTGGTTGAAAATAGATTCTTTGTTTTAGCTTATACAACCAGTGGACCTGTTGGAGGGAAGCCTGCATAACATTTGTGCAAGGATAGGATGTTGTCTTTGTTACATAGAAGGAGGCTTTGCTCTTAAATAAGGAGTCCCCACACTCTCTGGGCAGCTCTTTAACAAGAATGAACTGATTAATCAAAGATGCCGAATTATTGACATGTTTGTAGTTGGAGGACTGACACTGAGCATGTCCCTTTCTTTACGTTATGATCAATCTCGGTTTCTAAGTTGATGCTGCTCATATCTATATTAGAAAGGGTCTTGAAACTTTATCGCATTGTTGCTTTGAATTTTGTCCCTTGTTGAGGTCTGAGGGCAGCACTACAAGGAGTGCAGTTTATCTGTAGTGAAGTGTAGAAAGAATTATGTGCTTCTGTGGAGCACAGAGTGGACTGTGTTACTTCTTTGAGTTAAGTGAATCTTCTTTTCTTCAGTTGTCCACAGTGGATGTTGTTCAAGGGTTGTCGGCTTTCAAAGGACCTGTTTTTGGAGAAAATATATGTCAGATGTCTTAGTATACAGGTTAAGATGACACATTTTGATTTTCTTTTTTTCTGCCACTTGTGGTCGACAAATTGATAGCTTTTTTCCCTCCTGTCTTTAGCTTGGTATAATTCCGTATAAGATTCAGTGTGGGAATTTAAATGCTCCCTTTATTTTTTTAGAATAGCCTGAAATATGTCTTACAATTTTTATCGATAGTACACTGAGAGATGCTCTGTATGAGAGAGTCGGAACAGCCTGCTGGAGAGAGGCATCTGTGTAGTCTGTGAGCCGATGCAACAGGTGCTGTGGAGCTGTGATGTGTTCATACAGTTTGAAAGTATCTTCCCAAAAAGAGTTGTGTTTTATTCCACGTATGTATTTTTTTAGTATTTATTTTTTTACTGTAGTTCTACTAAAAATGTAGTAAAACACAAATTGAATCATTTTTTTAGGACAAAAATCAAACCACTTAAATGATCACTTTTTTAAGGTGATAGTTTTTGGGTTAAATATAAAATATAAAATAATTGATTCCTCATTAGATGTGGTCTTTCGAAGCACCAGAATGGTTTTCTGCATACATACTTTTTGTCTGAAAGAAATGTCAATGTTCAAAAGGAACAAATCTTTTAATGTCTTAATCTGTTTTTTTGTCTGCAGAGTAAACCTTAGTCATCTATTTGAATGTTTTTTAGATATTTGGAGAGATGTTTTAAAGGCTTAGGTTGTATTTTTTGTTACTGCTTTGAGTTTAAAAGCTGCAGTATCTTTTATATTTTTTATTACAGTGATCCAATCACACATGGATTACAGAGAAATCAATGTTAGAAATGAAAGCTTTAGTTGCCCAAAATAAAGCAAATGCACTGCATGCATGTTACAAGGAATGTTTTCTATTTGTGGTGAAGGCCTGTGAAATTCCTCATGGGAATGCGAACACGTTACGTGTCCTGTGTTTTAATTGAAATGATAATACTCAATAATATTTTTTGTTATGAAAATCCCAGGCTAGAGGGAGATCTGTGATCTGTAATTGAATCTGGCCACAGAGTCATTAATCGTGTAATTAGATGTGATGTGTGGCAGGGGGAGAATCACATCAAAACATCAGTGTTCTCCTTGGTCAAAGCACGCTTTAAAAAGAGGACACTCCTGCAGGCTTCCAGACTGTGTGTGCCCTGAGGTAAACCCTGGTCTAGAAAGGGAATTTTAGAGTATGCGCTGCTGCTCAGCAGTTTGAGCAGGGCCCACTGAGGCCAGCCGAGAGTGCCACCAAAAAGGAAAAGCTGGCTCAAAGCCACTGACGTCATCTAAGTAAATCTGCTTCTCTGCTGCAGCCATAAAATGACTGCCAGCTACTGAATGCACTTTGGCCTTGTCAACCACCTTCATAGAGCAATACATTTCTTTTTTTCCTTCTTGTGCATACTTATGGAAATCTGAGTGGGTTCAAGTACAGTTTCATTTTGCTGGGGTGAAATAGTGAATGTTTCATTCAAAAGCAACAAGTTATAGTCGAGCCTTTTTCCCTTGTATTAAATGTACCAAATAATTGAGTTTCGTTTTACCCTTGAAGAGAAGCCCTAATTTTACAGCCTTATAATTTTTACCACATGGTGGTCATGTCCAGTGGTAAAAAATAGCATCAAACAGCATAATGCCTAAGTCACTCATTATTGACTTATAATGCCTCAGAAGTTGTCTTGACGCTTGAACGTGCTCTTTTTCTTTTTATACTTATTTGAATAAAAAAGACAAATGAATGAGCTGCTTGAGATCACACACATGAAAAGCAATATGTACACCATGAATCATCTGATGAGTCAGTTTCTGAAACCACTATAAACATTTTGAGCTCGAAACCACAATGAAGGCAGGAAATCTCGGCTTCAACAACTTCCTCTCTCAGTACCGCCCGGCCATAGTAGCGGCAGTGGTGTTCAGCTTCCCACTAGTGAAAGGAAAGCCATGGAACAAAAGGCACACAGTCACTTCATTTAGTGAAACTGTGTATAATTTGTGGCTTGTATTCAGATGCTGGTTATTCAGTCTCTCTGGCACCGTGTTCTCCCAGTCGTTGCTTGTAATAAATTCCCACAAGACCTTTCATCAATGGTTGCTGTATTGTTATCATGGCGGACACAGATCGGGCAGGCTCTCTCTGCCCTGAAGGTGCCCTGGATTCAGTGGAGGCACAGATACACTGGAGGGTAAGCTCCCAACATTAATATGCAGACTGTGCCCACTAAATTAGTTTGGAATCTGAGCCCGGGACACAGCAATGGAGTATTGTCCAGACTGTTTTTGTCTCTGTTTAGTCTGTTTAATGGACCCAAATAGTGCATCTTCAATAAGGCGTCTTGTTGGTTTGTAATTAAATCATTAGCATGGGTTAGCGGTGTGTCAACAAACAATACATCTTGTATCATTCCAGTTTTTAGGGTTTATGTAGTTAATTAAAAATGTAGGATATATATGTCTTAGTTTTTCTTGAATGTCTCCTTGTAACCTTTAGTTTTCTGTCAGTAGCCACCGATGTTTGCTTACAAAAGTCTCCGTAACAGACTGTTCAACCAGCACCTGAAAATTTTCCAAAGTTGCTCGTTCGCAGTTGTCCCTGTCAAAAAAAGAGAGGTGGTGGAGATTACAGGAAGAAATACAAAGAAAGTCATGGTGAAAATTTGTCCATGGTCACATATGCAGCCCACTGCTGAAATTCCACTAAGTTTTCAGGAGTTTTGTGCATGTGTTGATTCAGCTGCAGGCTTTGCTTTTAGTCGTTTAAAGGATCCAGTTGGCGAATCAGTGGGTCAGACTACCAAGTTAGAGTGTTTGTCCGAGCAAACACCACCAGGACCTTTTATATTATGTTAGTTTTGGTGAACTTAAGCAGCCTATGTTGCAAAATGTTGCTAAATAAATTTGGCTAAGTTAATTGAACCCCATACGGCCAATTTTTTTTCTTTTTGGAAAGAGCACGACCCTACACTACAGACTGCCAAGCAAATTGTTGAGTCATAGACTGGGTTGTGTAGGGTGTGTGTTCCAAGTGAGACATGTCGATTTTTGCCCAGTGCATGTAAACTGGGACAATGACAGTCATCCAGTTAAATCAGCTCATCAAGCTATGACCATAGCTTAACTTAACTGGGAATGTAAAGGTACTGAGTGGTTCTTCAACTTGGTTTAGTTTGATTCAGGTTCATGACATTTGGCTCAAGTCCTCTTTCTTTCTGAGCCTGAATATGCAACATTTCTTGTGATACAAGTTTTCATCCATAAAAAAAGCTCCATAATTTTCTGCAGCAGTTATTTTTAGAGTGTTTAAAAATGTCTTGGGTTATTCTTAATGCTACACAAACACACATTTATTGCTCTCACAGAGTTTTAAGTGGCAGAATTGTGCAAGTGGGACTGATTCAGATGAATGAACCAACATGTCACCCAGTGTAACAGTGAGGCTCACTGGTGTCTTAATAGTTGAGCAACAGTGGAGCTCTGTGACACAGAGAGTTTTAAAACCCTCACAGAATCATGTTTTTTTATGTTGTTGGTTGAACTATCATCACTATTTGTCTACAGTAAAAACATAAAAATGTTTAAAACTGTATAATAGTCATCTCCAAAATTTCAGCTTACAAGTTTCAAGCTCAGTTTATGTTTCACATAAAGGTGATTGACCTTACTATCATGTTTCTGGTGATAGAGATGTTGTAGTTGAACTAAATTAGCTCTGATTATTTTTTGTGATACCTAAGCTTTCTCTGTAAATTTATGTATTAAAGTGCACCTTTAAAAATATTCAATTAGGATTTCTCCCAAGCAATAATTGTTTTTAATGAGAGTAAATCCTTTCCGTTTCCTGTCTGCCCCAAAGAAGAAAATTAACAGACAAAAATGTGTTGTCTGAGGTTGTATGTTGTATTTTGCAGTGCACCGGTTCACCTTATGAGAGATGACTTTATTTAAAACATAGTCTTCTGTAAAAGGGAAGGGCTTCTAGGAGAAAAAGAAACAGAGACAAGGCGAAAAGAAGTACACGAGGGGATGAAAAATGGCACAAGAGGATGAAGAAAAGAGGTGAGCGTCAGTTTGAATTGGCAGAGCCAAATGCAAATGGTGGCCTTCATGCTCATCACTGTGATTTGTTTTTTCATGCCCATCCACACGCGTCCTGAATGAGCCAGCGGCCAGCCCTCGGCCTGCGCTGCTCTCATAACTGTCAGGAGATCCTTTATCTGACGGACCTTTATTTACAGCTTTAATTTCCTGAGCTTTATGTGTTCCGCTCACTCTCCACACCACTGTGACACGAGCGTACGCTGTCTGGAATGCACTGCAAATTTTTGATAGGCAAATGTCTTCCGAGCTTTCATTACATTTCACGTTTGAATAGTAAAGTGTTTTATTTTTATATTTATGTATTACCAGCAGGACACGGGTACATTTTTGTCGCTTAGATACCGAGTTGATCTTGCCTCCGTCGTTCAGCGTGGAATACCTTTTAGACATGTATCTTTCTGAGCTGCCCACATATCTGATGTTGTCCAGGTTATGTTGTTGCTACCTGTTTCTCAGTCTGTGGCAGGTGGAGAGGGCTGCTTTGACAGAACCTGTAAATCAATCCCATTCTCTGGCAAACAAAGATTGATCCCACAGTGGTCTGATGGTTACTGGGCGCTGGGATCCAGGCCTCACGTTTGAGTGGGATGATATCAGACAGATTCACGGCACCTCAGCCTGCCGGTTCAAAGAGGCATGAAATAAACACAAGGCCTTTGCCAATAACAGAGACAGCATAAGTGAGATTTCTAGCCTCTGCAGTAGACCTTCGGAAATTGGTATCGAAAACCTTGTTTATTCATTCATCTGTACACCATATTTAGTCATGAAACCTAAAGGGAAATCCAATACACAATCAATAGTTTTGTCCTGACATTCTGGGGTGGTTTAATAGTGACTTACTGCATGAAGTCTGCTTGAAAGTGACTGTGGTAATTAAAATTTCCCTTTCCTTTCATCCTTTTCTTTTCTTTTTTGAATCAAATCGCAGAAGGTAAAGTGTGCGCTCAAAGGGATTTATTATTTTTTTTATATCCGAGTCCCGCACTCATTTTCATCGCTGCACCTGTTTAGTTGTTTTTGATTTATTCTAAACACTGGCTGCATTCCCCAACTTTACCTTGAGTGTTGATTTTTTTTCTTATTAAATTAATTTCAAAAGTATTTCTATTCCTGATTTTTTTTTTTGTTTAATTGTATTTTCATGCCACTGGAAACAGCCTCTCAAGGCCCTCAAAGACCTGCTGTAAAACACTTCATTCCATAAACATGCTCTTCCAAGGTGATTAATTTGTTTTAGTGACAGGAACTAAATGGAATTTCAGCATCCTTCCTCTCTCATTGTGAGTGTCCTTAGTTGGTTACGTGTTGCTCCAAATGAAATACTTCTGACATTGCTGTTGTAATTATGCAAAGGCCAGAATATGTCTTTACAACAGGCTGAAAACGTTGAGTTTTGAAATCACCTGGTAATTATAGTTTTACACACTGTGGCCTTAACTACTGTGGGCCATTATGGGGGTGCACAAAAGTCATTCACAGAATCATTATTGCACCCTCTGAGATAACGGCACAAAAGAACTCCACATGGAAAATTACATTTGAGACCTCTCATCCGCTATTTCATTACCTTGCTCTGTCTGATGGGTGAAATGGGTTCTCTTAATTTAAGGAGCTGGATTCCAGCTTGGTGAGTGGTTTATGTAATCTCACGGTAAGTGTGATTTCCCATAATGCCATGTCACAGCTACTACTCTGCTTAGCTACCACATTCACTAATTGCATCGCAGGCTATCTTCACTCCACATCTCACAAATAAGACCATTTCTATGGAGCGAACCCAGAGAAGACAGAACTATGCACTTATCTGAGAGCAACAAGTGTTTCTACGGGTGACATTCATACCTTCTTTTGACAGACATAATTAGTCTGCAGATTCTACGGGGCTAAGAGACTGTCTTCATTGACAACCCTGCCAGGTTATTCATCTAGTGCATGCATGCAGCAAAAGCATTCAATAGATGTCATAGGCTGTAGAGAAACTTATGTAGTGAGGACAAAGAAACTGCGAAGAATTTGAATTTCAAGTGTTATCATAGTAACTAAATGAAGAAAGTCATTAATAACATCTATCCATATATCAATTAAACAGATCAATATGTAGGATGATTTTCAGTTATACTGGTATGTAAAAGAATAAGGAAGCAGCCGCTGTTTACAACTCACACAAGTAACCCTACCCCACATCCTTCCCCTCTGTCAATGCACTCATTTCCTCCCTCTACATTATTCCACCACATCCCACATGATCATACTGGTAATAATTTCACATATTCCAAACTGAATTGTAGTTTTCACACAGCAGCTCGGTCAAAGAATGAAAATACAGCCAAAATCTGTACAATAATAACTTACTTGGCTTCCAAGTGTGAATATCAGAGTATTTGAATGTTGTCAGATGTCACCAGATTGCTGCATGTAACCTGCTGTAGGAACTGAAGAGATCACAGTTTTTCACCAATAATGTATAATTGATTATTTTAACATTTTGGTTACAAAGTCATGCTTAAATCTTCCAGTAAATAATTAATTGATGCTGAGTGCATTAGTGTGAAACCATGTTTTATTTATGCTCATATGATTGATTAGTCTCCACACATCTTTTATTTTCTCTTTTTTTCTGCACGCTGTTTCTGCATTTTTAGAAGACTTTTATAAAACTTCCATAAAGTATGAAGAAAAAAGCATGTGCCCTGCTTTGTATCGCTGTCCTAACCAGAGCACTTAACCTACCATGGCTTACACTATTTTAGAGATCAATAATGACACATTAGGTAATAACATGTGGAAAGAGACATTTGAAACAAGCACTGGATTAAAATAGAGGGATGGAAGATGAAAGTCACTACATCCACAGCTGTTAGTTTTCATGTGATTTGTGTAAAGTGACTTATTTTTCTTCCGATGATCTCAGCACACTGAAGACATGCTTCATTAGATTAGATTAGATTAGATTAGATTAGAATATTCCTTTATTCGTCCCTCAGTGGGGAAATTAAAATTATTGACAGCAGTAGTTCACACAACATACACATTCACACTGGGTACAAAAACAAACAAATAAAGATAGAAGAACTGGTGGGAAATAGAAAGAGCAGTGCAAGAACAGCATAAAAGACTAGAAATATAAAAAGTACGGATGTGTGGAGGTAGACTGCAGTGTAGTTGTATCTCATTTCATGTTAGACCAAAGTTCTCTGGAGGAACAATATATTCAGGGTTACTTGGCAAAAATGAGATGATGATAAGCGCAGACATTTGTATGGTTTGAGACGTACATGAGTGTAGCTATTTCAGTCTGACTTTTTTGTTTTTCCTCTCGAGATGTTCTCTAACATTTGCTTCTCAACATAGTCCAAATGTTATAGATATACAATAATGATGTACCAGGGTACAAAAGAACAGTTCTTTTCAAATTTTAGGTTTTGTTTTCTGTTGTGTGACTGGTTGTCAGATGGGACAGTAGATGGAATTCAGCTTTAATAATTCATTGTGTGCTACTGTAACAGTGTGAATTTCCATGTGTGTTGCCCTGAAGAAAGCACCTTTAGAGGAGGGAAATACCAGAGCGTAAGGATTGATCCACAGTGATGGACTTGAACAAACAAAAAAAGAGGGCCAGGACACAGAGAAGTTTCTCTACTCACAGATAAACCAGCACCAGATGCATAGTAAAGCGTAGTTTTAAGAGCGTTCTCAGACTTAACATGTGGCAGCTCGGGTTAAAAACCACCTCAACTAGTACTTAGGTTTTACATACACAACTTTAGATTAGTTTTGGACCAGTTGAGAGTGGAAACTAATTATTTCCTCATCATTCCTCAAAGCTGGAAGTGATTATGAGTACAGTTCATCATTCGGTTGGGATGAGAGAAGCACATCTAGAAAGAGTCCCAGGCCTTTTAGTGGTTGAAATGGAAATTTTTTCCCCCTCCCTCATCAGTTTGTGAGTTGGTTCTGCAATGTCAGCAGTCAGCACACAAAAACGGAATTCAGTAAAAGCTATCCCTGCTCTCTGGGAGTTTTTTTTTTTTTTTTTTTTTCCTCCAACAGCTTGCTCCCATCCCCCCTTTCCCCCTCACGAACTGACATGCAGGAAGAAACATATGCTGCTATTCCCACTTCCTGACAGCTTGTGCTGCTTGAATGGGATCTTGCTCAGGGAGGAAACAGTTGTCTGGAAAGAGTGCAGAGACCTAAAAAAAATCCACTGAATGTTAGTGAGGGAAGAAAAACATACAAGTGGATTTAAGGCTATGAAGCTAAAGACAGTAACTGTCTGATCTGTTCAGCATTCATTGACATTTTACTGATGTTAGTGAGACTTAAACTCCATGTCATCCGTCAGTGTGTTTAGTTGACTCATGCAGACAAACGGCTGTAGTTCAGAAATATTGGACATCTTATACCAGTAATGTATGGTTTGACTTAAAGCTCCTGTGTGGAACTTTTTGATGTTTGTGGAGTAGAGTGAAATTCATATTGATAGCATTTCTATCATATACAAAAACAATGACAAGACTGGCTGCTTTTACACTGTAAATATTAATGTCTGAAACTTGTGCAAGGGTCGAGGTGTCAGAAACAGCCCAGTACTTCCATTTAAATGTTTACAATAAATGCTACATATGAGTGTCAGAAGTCAGCAGGATGATATTTTTTTTATTGGAAGACACGACTCAATCATGTAGAGAACTAAACAACCAAAGACTGCTTTGTTCGCAGGGGTGCCAAAATTGGCAAAAAAACAAAAGTTCCCCGAAGGGGCTTTAAAAAAAAAGACTAACGTTTGAGTAGGGCTGGGCGATATGGCCTCAAATCAATATCACGATATATTGAGCAGTTCACCGCGATAACGATAAATGGACGATAACTACTCCACAAGCTGCTCACCCCCTCCCACATTAACTTCGTCTACTTCAGCCGCTACAACTTTTGAACCGTCCTCCATCTCCTCACCTGTCTTTCCCTCTTTGTTATGGACTGGATGGGGTGAAGTCACGTCTCTGACATAGGGCAGCTTCTTAAAGGGACATGAGACCATAGCCTACCTACACACATCCAAAACCAACTTTTATTTATATATTTATTTGACAAATATACTGAAATTGGCAAAATGACGATGGTTATTGTCATAAATTTCGGTATCGGTAAATTTTCGGTTTATCGCCCAGCCCTACATTTGAGGACACCTGGTACGACCTAGTTGTCCTCTTAGAGCCATGTGGAGATTTTCCCTTTTTAACATACTGTGTGTGTCTTTGACATACTCTCTATAAAAGAAATACCAGTTTATGGCATTTTGAAATAACTGGAATCTGCGATTTTCCCATCCACTACATTTTCCTGTCATGCCTTTGAGCAGGCTTTTTGAAATGTTTGATGTGTTGCACAAATTATTTGTTTACTTATAATTACCACAGTTTAGTCATTTAACCAGTGAAAGTATGTAAGTCCTTTTTGTACTGTCCTTTTTCCATGCCTGGACACATTCAAAGCATTAACCCGCCTGTATGAATGGGAATGAAAAGCCGGTTGACAGCACTTACTCTCTATAAAAGACAAAGAGTAGGATACATGGGTTGTAAAAAACAGGCTTCAAACCATTATTCACATTTAAGACAAAACTTTGGGCCACTTCAGCTAATTTCAGTACCGCTGTTTTTTCTTTTTTTGGGGGTTTATTGCATTTCTTCTTTGTAAGTCTAGGTGTCTGTTTTATACACAAACTTTAATACGTATTTAATACGTCTAAATGGCCAGTCCACCCGAGTTCTTCCTGTCAAGTCCCTCTTCAAGTATCACTGGAATATGTCTGGAAAAACATTTTTTTCATCTTAGACCATAAACACAAACCAGGGTTTGTCCAGCGTCTGTCTTCTGCTGCCCAGAAAGACCTCTTCTCTTCTTCTCTTCTTGAATGAGCGGTTGGGTGAACTAGCTTGCCAGCATTAAATTAATATGACAGAGCAGATAATCATCGGCTCCTGACATCAATGGATAGATGCCTGACAGCAGAGCAAATATTGGCAGATGCCCATGTTCAACCGATACATTGGTATATTCATACTCATGTAAAGTATATGAGGGCCAGTCTGTATTCTCATGAGCATGTGTTTTTATTTCATGATGGTTTTTAGAAAGCATACTAAACATTTTCAAAGTCTAAAAAATCCCTGGAATGGAAACAAAATTTTTTATAATAGGTGAGAGAGTCTTCTGTTTTATATTACAGAACATACAACACACTCTGCTTTAACGGTTGGCAGCTAAAAAACATCCTCTGTTTAGTTTATTATTCATTTATTAGTAGCAGATTTTTCCAGGACTTTGTAGGTTTTAATTACAGGTGAGAGGAGATTCTCTCCAGCTCTTTGAAAAACGCTTCAGGGGACTGGTTCTTGGATTGTCTTGTAGTCTGTAAACTGTATTAATGCCTTCAGGTCTCTAGACATGGTCTGGTTTGAGTGTCTGCTGTTGTGTGACCTCAGCTATTTGGATATAAAGCCTCTGTCTTTTTCCTCCCACCTTTACTCACATGAATTATTATTTTGACTTTTTGGGAAGCTGGTCTTGTTTAATAATCACAAAGTTACATTTATGCCCACAACAACAATTGTTTCACTCTTCAGCCAGGAATTAAAAAAGTGACTTAAATGTGACGTTATTGATTGCTTCCTTACATGGTGGAAAGAAATTAGTCTGGTGCTCAGTGATTGTATCAATTTTTAACTTTATAAGGCTGTGCAGCGTTTTATGGATTTGTCCCATCTTTTCAGGCATACAGCACATTTCCAATTAGAGTCTGAAGTACTCCACTGAGCTTTAATAGCAGCACACAGTTTGATGGTTTTATTTAATGTTTAAAAGTCCTTTAATAAGAAGAAGGGAGTATCACAAGTCAACAATAAAAAAAACTGTGCGTTTGTGAAACCTCATGACGTCCATTGTAAATCAAGTCAACAACATTCTTGGCAATGTCCGAGCTTGTTTGGCTGCTCCCGCTCCATATTGTGCACTCAAATAAGACTGTGTACAGTGTTGTTGTTTGGAAGCAGATGTCTGCCATTCTGTTGTGGAGAGTGACCGTTTGGTTGTGTTTGTTTATTTGGGAATTTCAGGTCTCTCCCTAGTCTGCTCCAGGCTTTAGCTTGGAGAGCCCAACCGCCATCATTGATCCCAGCAGCTGGAGCGGCAGCGAGAGCCCTGCCGAGGACATGGAGAGGATGAGCGATTCGGCAGACAAGCCCGTAGACAATGATGCAGAGGGGGTGTGGAGCCCTGATATTGAGCAGAGCTTCCAGGAGGCCCTGGCCATCTATCCTCCTTGTGGACGAAGGAAGATCATCCTCTCTGATGAGGGAAAGATGTATGGTGAGTACAGATGTGCATCTGTGCAAGTGCTGTCCTTCACTGAATATGAATCCTCTGCCAGCTGTTACCAGGTTAGCATAGCTCAGCATTAACAATCACAGCTGGAATAACCCCGTCTAAAGCTTACAAACTTTTGTTCCCACTCTAATGAACATTTTTAATCACCGGTGTGTAATGTGAGTGACTTTTTTTGGCCCCCAAAAGATAACTGCGAGACACCAAAAAAATAGATCAAGACAAAATACTATTTGTGTGCATTCACCGTCGGTTGTATTATTAATGTGACATTTTAAAGAAGTGGATTCACATCAAAAATGCATCCGTACACGGCTCTGCAGAGTAATATAATATTAAAGGAAGCACTCTCTAACCCTGTCTGTACAGCCACTGTTCTGTTTCAAAGTAGTGCAAGTTTGTAAGTAAAGCAGCATGAACTATTAGTCAGTAGCAGATGGTACTGCGGCTGCCACCAGCTGTGCCCCCTCTCCTCCCTCCATTTCCCCCCAATTCCTGGCTGGGTGATGTCATGGAAAGAGGGAATATTTTTTTTCTCTGTGGTGTTGGACCGTCTCACAGCCTGTCAGTGTCAAGTGAAAGCAGAAAGCCCCTCAGAGCATTCGCCTGCAGCTGTCATGTGACCCCTCCGGCCAAACAAAATGTAAATTCTAGGAGTTGCGGTGAAACCCCTCAGCTGCTACTACAAAGATGTGGGCTCAGACAACAGGACCCTCCCCACTGTCTTTTCCTCCACCCCCCACCCCCCCCACCCCCCTCCAAATACAGAGCAAGGCTGCCAGGGAAGCTGTCCCTCTGCTGTGGATTAAAGCATGACAATTCAGTTTTTACTGGAGTTATAAATGAGCAGAGCTGAGTGCAGGCCTCCATATTACTGACATTTGAAATATGATACTAGTGGTCACCTTCGTACACAACATTCAAATGTGAAATGTCCTTAAGCGAATTAGTTCAAAAACTACAATTTTTAATATACATTGTAGGTGCTTTCTGTAGAATCTGACATTAGAATAAGATTAATAGAAATACAAGTATAACGCACCAAAGGTAAGAAAACCAACAAAAGATATAATTCACACACTGAAAAAATATTGTAACTCAAGTTTTTTTTACCCCTGAGCTCCGAAAATGCTGCTGATTTAAAACCTCAGAAATGAACCAGAAGAAAGGTTTAGTTTTTTTGGTGTTGAATCAACCTAAAAAATCTGCTGAAGAGACAAATGTGGTGTTGAATAGAGCTTAATCCTGCCAGATGTGCTCTGTATCTGGTTACACATTGTCTCAGCAGCAGCAGCAGCAGCAGCAGCAACAACAGCAGAATCACTCAGCTGTCTCTCCTACCAGTTCTGAGATACAACTGGTAGACACAATGGTTAAAATGATTTTCATTCATCTTTAGTCATGCAAACTGAAAAGAAACCGTCAGAAAACCTGGTGCATGTAGCAATATGATGACAATAATGATGGCTGTTAAAAGAGCTGTAGGAAGACTGGCAGGCTCAGGCGATTTCTCTCAGTGGTAGAAGGAAGGATTACAGAAACGGGACCTCCTCCTTTGCATGTAAGAGTTTACCAGGCCTGTTAAGCAGGAGACCGATTATCCCCTAGGCCTTCTTTTTGAGCCCTGCAACTGTTGCTGTATCATTGCACCAATCTTATCATGCACTATGGCAGACCTCTAAAGTCAGGAATGCTTTGAATTTGACTTAATAGCTTATTTGTCTGATATAATCACATTTCTCGTATGCAGGTGTGCAGATTAAATAAGATGTGTAACCATGATACTGTAAAATTAACAAACAGACGATCTTTGCACCTGTAGCCTGCAAGGCAGTGTTACTAAGGAGCAGCTGTACACAAAAAATAGTTGTAGTTGAGTAAAAATATAGAATCTTCAGCTATGATACTGCAGCTTGTATGCAAAAAATGTATGATGTTGTTCGCATAGTTCATGGTTATAAATTTAATTATTTGCATCATCCAATCCATCATGTCCAAAGCGAAGGCAAATCTTCAATCTATCCAGTCAGATTTTTAAAAATGCCATCAGGGATAAGAAGTAACAAATAAAAGGGTCATCCGCGCTGCTGAAAAGGATTGATTTGCCGGAAACAACTAGCAATTTGTTTTTTCAGAGCGGAAAGACTCAGTTAAGCATGAGGAGGCTGATACAGCAGTGTAATCCAGGTCCATAGGGTTTATAACAGCCGCAGACAGGCACCACACAAAACCTCTTGTGGCATCTGAGATGAAAGTTGGCCACAAGGAGGACAGGTATTTTGTAGATGAGAGACCCTGGGGATGGCATAGTGTTCCATCCACAGAGCTCAACACAAGAGGAGCCGCCCTGAGTGCCCTTAAGCCCTTTGTTATCCTGGGGTAGAGTGCAGTTAATTAGCAACAGTCTCTATAGCAACTGTGTTGCAGTACAAAACAATTTCTAATTTCTGCTTCTTAGCTTATTGTGGTGTTTACCTGAAGTGTTTCGGATGTGCCGAGACCAGTGTTGACTGGCGTCGTGCCCATCCTCTCAGGCAATGAAGGCACCACATCTGCATAGCCTGCGTCACCCAGCACTTTCTCTGGCCCCAGAGTTTACTAAGGAGAATATTTTAAAAAGTAAAGTGAAATGGAGGCCACTGGCCCCCAGCCAAAGGCCTAAGACTCCACACTTGCATAATTCACCTGCTGTGCAGGGCTGCATTCATTTATCCCAGAAATAGAGTTGATAAATGAAACAACACGCTTCAACCAAATTGTATGTTTATTCATTGGGTTATGTATTTGCACTGCCCCGCAAGCTAAATGACATTGGTGAATTTTTCTCAGTTACTGTTGAAAAAAAGAGGAAGAACTGATTTTTATTCCATCTTCTCACAAATAAATATGTAAATGCATGCTCGATTTGGAGGTTATAGCGCAACCATGTAGTCAGCTTGTTACTGCTGCAGACACAAGGCCACCAGATGTCTTTCGAACACATATGGCAGAGGCACTTTCATGACTTATTCAATTCAAAGGTTTCTTTACTGGCGTGTCATTATGTCTTATTTATTCTTTCCTCTGATAAAGACTGGCAGTGGTCATATCTTTAATTTGAAGAACATTTTCTCTCCATCAAAAATAGATGAAATATGCCCTTCTGGAAAGATCTTTACCTGCTGATAATGTCTCTGTCCGTATGTGTCGTTTGATGTAAAGCTTTACCCATTACCACACTGCTGTTTGCTCTGCCATCTTGTCAGTGATCCAGCTCAGACCCCTCCTGCGGGAACTAAGTGGCACTTGGTTTGCAGAGATGCCAAGGATGAGTTAGATATAATGAGCAGACCTGGCTTGCCCCCGATGGCCCAGCGCTGTGCTCCTCTGGGGCTCGTCTCACCGGGCCGAGCATGCTCTGAGACAGAGCGAGCAGACCTGATCCTCCCTGCTGGGCAGATAATGAGGAATTCTGGGATCAGCTCAGGCTCCCCAAGTCACCTACATTCACTCAGAATGGAGTGTGAGGAACTTCAATGCAGGAGAGGCATCACACACCTCCAGAATAATCCCTCATTTGTTCCCCTGCCATTGTCAGTGAAAGACTACGCTGTTTTCACACACATGGTAGTGAAAAAAGTCCAATTATTTTATGTCTTTCACGAAAAAGAGTAAGTGTTAAAGTGTAAATTGTATTGATGCAGGTATGAGGAGGGAAGGAAAAAGCCATTGTGCATTAGCATTGAAGACTTTAGGGTTGTGACAAACTGGTTATTTAGTCACTGTAGGTCGCTATGGAGATGTCATACGATTTACGGAGCCTTCCACGGGGACAGGGATCAAACACGGACAGATCAACAATTACTAATCACCCTGTTTTTGTAACTGTAGTCATTGTATGTTAGATACGACATAAAGGTGTTTCTTTTATGGATAGGACTTTGGTCAGTACCGACTGGCTAATCTGAAAATCTGCATCATTTTCCAAAACTCAACTTGACTGTAAACCTTTTTAAATCTTCAATTTGTTTGTGATGGTACAGATATAACAGTATCAGACCTCTAAAGTCAGCTGATTCACATAAACGGTTTGTGAAATATCTGTACCATACATTCAGTGTCCTCAGCTCATGACCCATGTGTGTGTGTTTCTGTGGCTCTGAGAATGTGAAATTAATGAGACTCAGCCCCAAAATGGATCCACATTTGGAGCGCTCCTGTTGCTGAGCAGCAGAATTGATTTTGAAGTGCATATTATTTCATGCCACTCTGTTTAGGGGGCTGATTTCTGCTCCAGCCCAGGCCCATGTAGCGGTGACCAAGCATAGCATGTTGTTTTGTGACTCGGGAGATTTCAGTTTACTGCCCACAGCTTCATGTTTTTGGGGGGTTTCATGCGTCACAGGGTTGCCAACCATGAACAGTTTGGTCGAGGTGTTAGCAGTACGATTGCTGACGACAGTGTAGTGAGATGTCAAAGGGAAGTGGTTGGATAGTACGTAAGAGTGACCTTATATGCTTTATATTTTGGATGTAAATTAAAGACCAGTAGGGGATTAAAAAATGCACTAGATCACCCCCAAAAAGTTTCTGTTTGCTAATGTGTCGCCCAAATGAATATGTATTATGTGTTCTCCTATTATTTCTTAAAGCAGATTTTCCAGCAGGCAGAGAGAGAATGCTTCGTGTGATTTCCTGTCTCTCTGTTTGGAAGTGTTTGCACTGTCTGGTTGGATAGCAGGCTGTGGCTCTCTGCCTGCCTGCCTGAATCAGGAGCACTTGGGGTGTGTCCCTGCTCCGAGGTCTGTGTGAGGCCCTCTGAGGCGGGCTTCTGGTTTCAGGTTGCACATTCCCAATTGGCTGCTTTTGTTTGACTAAAACACAGCGGCGACACTCAGGGCTTCTTAAAGATGCAGTGTCACTGTCATGCTCTCTCTTGAAGAAATCATCTGTTTGGTGCTGATTACATCATATTCTATTGATGAAACACTTTTATTCTGATGAGATCATCTCACACTGATGGGACCATTTTGTGTAATCAACATATGAATGGAATCTGAATGCCAGTGTTATTCCCTCACTACACTCCACTGCTAGCAGAGACACGCTCATGTCTTCCTCTGCTGTTTGTGAAATAGAGAGAGGTCTCTCAACACTGAGCAGCAATACTGGAAACAAAGGGAGTCTATTTTCTCAAACACTAAAAGGATCATACTCAATATGGTGTCATGCTTTGACCCCGATGACATATGTTTTCCACCCTTTTATTATCTGTATAATTATTTAGAGCATTTTTTCCCCTCTACATCCCAGTTGTGACACAATGACTTGAGTATTGGCTGATATCAGAACACGATAATGTTTGTCTGATAAATAATATGTATACTGGAAAGGAGAAAATTGATGATATTTTGCCACATTACACCCTTTATCAGCACCACACTGTTGTCCTTGAGGCTACAGGCAGTTTACTTTCAGCATCTACACCTACACGGGGCTTGTAGCACATTGTAAACATGATCTCTTACGTTGAAAGAAATAATAGATAGTGTGAGCAAGTTGGTTATATGTATAAGTAAAGTTTATGAAGTAATCTCCTCTAATCTATCAGAAAGCTGAACAATGTGTGATGTGAGTTAGGGGAGGATCTGATTTAGAAGCAGAAAATAGACTCAAAGAATCAAATTATAAATTGTAGGCTAATAATAATTGTAGTGTTGACATTTTAATAGTTTAGAAACCCATTCCGATGAAAATCATGTTTTTCCTGTTGTCCACATGTTCATATGACATTATTCTGATGCTACAGGATATATCATGAGAAAACTAAGTGCAAAACTGCCTTTGTGAGAATTTCTGCATTCAAATATCTATGAATCTCTCACAGACCCAAACGACAGGCTCAGATACAGTGAGATTTACTATGTAGCAAATCCAAGCTCCGCCCCCCCGAGCCCCACTATGCAGGCCAGACTCGGAGAAATAGAGAGGATGATCGCAGAACAAGCGTGTTTGTTAGCGCATTGCAATGCTCGTAAGAAAGCTAATTATGAAATTAACTTTCATTATGTCCCCTAAAGAAATTAGTGTCCAAGAGCTCAATAGCTCCTATGTTACCTGCCACTTCTACTACACCGGCAATGTTAGGCTACAAGCTAGCGCGAAGAGGAGTGTGCAGAGCAGCGCTGTCTCCGAATTGCTAATGAGCTCCTGGAATTCTGCAGAAGAAAAGCCCTTGAAAATGACACAGGTAACGTGATTTTGGCTAAAAACTTCATAATCACAATTTAAAGACACTTTAAATTGTAAAAAGAAAAACAATCGAAGTGGGACTTTAAAATGTTCTACTTTTATCTGCTATAAATTCCTGAAAATTTTCACATTACAACATGTATTTTAAAAACAAATCATGTTTTTTTTCCAATATTGTGGGGATGTAACCTTGCATGACAGCCTTGCAACTGATTGATCATTGAATCTTCTGCTCAATCAAAATGTTCTGCTGCAGTCTCATATGACCCCCTTTACAAAATGATACAAGGGAGGCAGAAGGAAATATCTGAGTTAGAGTTGAGATGAAAAATTCAGCTGTTTGTGCTCACACATGCAGCTCAGGACATTTTTAGGAATTTTTTGCATGTCCAGTTGTGGTTTTTAGTAGTAAGTTTATTCATCCTCCTAAACCTTACTTCTTCCAACACTAGGATCTGGTTTCAACTTTCAGTCGCGCCTCCCCAAGCTGATCTTTATAAAGAATATGAGCTGGAAGTGGCCATCATGACCACAAAGTTGAACTTTTCATTCATTCATATTTGTCATAGCCACCGTTTCTTCCTTTATACTCACACATAGAATTTATCCCCAGAGATCGAAAGTATTGATGTGACTCGCTGTCTTAGTTGGTTGTAGAAGGTGGGGGGTTGTGGACCTTCCTGACTGTTAGTTCCGTGTTCACACATTAGAGTTGCCACACAGCCAGGTCCTCGGGAGACTCATAATTACAGCCGTCCTTTCAGATTAGTCCAGAAGCCTGTCCAACTGTGGCTTCACTCCCTGCTCGTTTATTTCATCCTTTCCCCCCTCTCCTGAGAGGCACACCTCAGCACAATGACCAGGCTAGCCTCTACAACAATGTATGTGATGATAAACACAGTGGCTCCTAATTGATAGAGTGATTCAGACAAGGGCTGCCTTTGCAAATTGGTCCCCTGTGAGTTTACTGCACAGAGTTGGGACTCGTGGGTTTCAGCTCTTGCCTCGTTCGAGCGGAGAGAGAGGAAATAGAAAAGGCTGGACCTGCTGAGTGATAAAGAGGCTGTCTTTGCCTCCTTCAGCCCCGTCTGAATACAAGGCACAGTTCAGCAGAGGTTGGCTGCTGTAATCCTCTCAGTGTCTCCAGGAAGGCTCAGGTTAGTGACCTGCTGCTTTGTGATGTCTTGTAAGATTTTCAGAGAACACCTCACCTTTAATCCCCCACCGTTCAACTAACACATTAGCTCAACCACTCCTGACCCAGCCCCCTGCAATAAAGCCTTTTATCCAGCTCAATAAGGTCATTTCAAGTTAAGTATTGATTTCCTTGGTGTCCAGAGAAAAAATGGATTTTTAAAGAGCTGTTAATTACAGCTGCACACTGCATTATATAGAGAACTTAATTTTGCCATGGCAGTGCGTTCAAAGCTCAGCTTGTTGGTCACAGTGAGTGTTCTTTAATCTGCCTTTTTTTTCATGGGTACTTTAAGGTTAGGCTTTAAAAGATCAAAGAATAGAATAAGCCTCGGTAAAGTGTGCGATAAGTGACGATATCACTCAGCCTTGCAATATCAATACGCTGTGCCGTTAAAAATATCGAAGTCTAAGCTGGTACTTTAAGTTGTTTCTCTTTGTAGTTGGCACAATACCAGTGTTTGCAACTTTGCTGCTGAAATCTAAGAAGCGCCTTTTTTAACCACTTAGCTAACATCACTCCATCTTGAGGTAGTTAATAGTTAGTTTGAGCTTCATGCCACTACAGCAATAGTGTGAAAGCAAAGCCTCATACAAAAAGGGCAACCATCCTAAAGGTAAAATGAGAAAATCTCTCTTTTACTTTTTAAAAAATTGAGCTTTTTGTTGTTTTGTTTTTTTGTGAATGTTCTGATTGTAGTGAATTGTGCTACTCTGGAGTGGAAACAGAAAATAAGGAAAAAGATTAAATATTGAAGATTTTTATTTTCCTTTTTGTTGGGTTGGAGATGGTTATTAGGAGGCAAAGCTTGAGAACGGGGAACAGAGTGAATAATTTTAGAAGTACATGAATAATGTGAGCATGGATGTTTCCTTCCCAGATAGTAAAACAAAAAAATGTATTAATTAAAAATATGGTTAGACTGAACAGTCTTCTAAAAAATGCAGTACAGAAAAAGCAATGCCAAAATATTGCCAAACTTTAGACATCTTTGTCGTTTTTTTGAGGTTGGAAGTTTTTTGAATTATCTTTAGTCAAAATTCTCAAAAGAAAATTTAAGTCTTATTTTCAAAATTGGGTTTAAAATTTTATCAGGAACACAAAACACCTTGTCGATTGAGTTGGCTTATTTGGCTCCTTTTTTTCCCAGTATGTTTAAAAGCTAAAGCTGATCAAATGTTCTAAATCAACATCAAACTTCACACGCATCTCTTCCTCCTCCATCCATCTTTACTTCAGAGATTCTCAGGCTTCTCAAATGAATGAAGTCCTCTCTTTAATGCAGGCCTGCCTGTTTTCATGTTGCTGCTTTTCTTGTCTAAATGAGGACTGAATAGAGTTGTTTCCTGTGGGTATGGGAGGAACACCCTTGTGCATATGAAGCCAGAACTCGAGAGCCTGTGAGAATTATACGAGACATTAAAATGACTGTGTTAGAATATGTTACGAGATTACTATAATAATACCCTGTCACTAAACCTAAAAATAGGAGTCGTACTCTACCATGTACAACGCCAAGTACTTCAAAAATACGTCACCATGTGCTACAATCATGAAAAGCTCTCTCTCTCTCTCTCTCTTCGTCTGTATACATGTGAATATATATATCTTGTGTGTGTGCATGACACACCGCTGTTATTTTTAGAGTCTCATACATGGTACCTAAATGTAGAGCCAGTTAAAGAAGGTAAGTATGGTATGGTAACTTTTATGATATTGCTTTCAGACATTGGGTTTGTATGTGCGTGTGTGTTTAGGTGGGAGGGATTTCCATTGTGTCTTGGAGAATGGCTTTCGTGTGTGTGATCACCGTGGCGTCACGCATGCAACGTCTGGCCTTGAAGTCTTTTTTTATTGACTTATGCTTTCAGTGCAAAGCTCCAACAGTAAAGGATGTTAAAGTATTTTTTTTTTAACAAGCAGACGCTGGACTGGAGTTAGATGTTAAGATCAGCAGACATTATCCTCTGACTTCCACAGGAGATTTGGCTGCTAAAGGGGTCTGAGTGCTGAGTAGCTGAGCAGAGATTAAAGAAAGAAAAAAATAAACTCTCCCAGAGATAATGGTGCTACGCTGTCGGAAACACCTGCAGGGTTGACCAGCTGGAGAAGTCTTTTATATTTAGTGGAATTGTTTAAGCTTACATGACTTACATTGTGTTCTCGCCACAGTAGTTCTGCACGATTCGTTCTTTTGAATTTATCATCAGCATGGTCTTTGGCCCTTCAGCCAGAGTTAAAATAATGCTAAAACTGATAGCATGGTGTATCCCTCCAAAAAAAGGAGCACTGTCAATTTTCTTCCAAGCCACAAGTCACAGGTTCCCCTCCACTTGGCAGGCGGTGGTCTCCCATTGATATCACGAGTATAAAGGCTTCTTGCCCCTGCCTGCATTTCCCAAAACCTGGGCCGAATGCCTTCATATTGTTGGTTTAGCCTATTGTGATGCTAATGTCTGCCTGAGACCCTTGAGTCATCTATCACGGATGACAGGAAAGCTGGGGCCATTGTGTTGGCCCAGCAAACACACAAACACACACACATACACATGCACGGGAAAGCAAACACATACTGTGCTGCTGCCGACATAACTTTAAAAAGGAAGACACAAAAAGAGGCTTGTACAACAGACTAGATCAAAAATTTATTGAAGGAGACAAATGTCCTGGTTGATTTTGAATGGATGGAAGTGATTCTGTGATGCCTGCCAAAAACAATATTTGTAAATCTGATCTTTTAGGAAATAGGGGATACACTGCCAATAAGTAATATGTAAATGTGAAAAGTCAAATCATGATTTCCCAGACATCTAGGTAACATCTTTTAACTCCTTGTAAAATTGCACCATCAGTCCATAAAAGAGATGACTCAAAAAAGTTTAATTTTGTTCCCTTTCTTGCTCATATTTCTGTTGATTTATTGATTTTTTTTTTTTTGCATTATTATATAAGTAGAAAGTGATGCATGTATAATCCAATCAGTAACAGCATACTGGGTTGATCTGTCAATATTTTCCTGAAGGACTTACCCGGTCTACAGAATCCTAAATGAAAAACACTCTGAGAAGCCTCAGGTGGTTCTATTCAGTGTCCAATTTGTCCGACCAACAATCCTAAACTCAGAAACGTTTGGCTTTAACAGAGTGAGGGGAAGGGAAAGTACAAGGTTTGCACATCCAATCTTTTACTTTAAAATATTTTACATTTTAGCTCAAAGAGGAATTTGAAGATGATTGTCAAAATATAACTCTGGGGTCGACTTCTGATTTACAGGACTCGTGGCCCATCTTGAACTTAAGCACTGAGAACCAGGACTTGCACCTTGAAGATGTTGTGCAGTTTTTAACGCAAGGGATAATGTATGATGAAAGGGTAGATATGTAAATAGAATCCTGACAGGGTGAGCTGTACTATCTAGATGTGCGATACATGATCCTGCTCATTACCCACCTACTGACTCACGTCACAAACAAAGTGGCACTAGATATTAATTAAAGTTGAAAATGATATTCGTGCAGATTAAAAAGTCCCTTTGAATTTTCAAACAAATGGACAAGAGTGGGGTGAAAAAAGATGATAGTAATTAATAATTAAAAAGATTACAAAAACAACAAAAATTATACTATTAAAATAAAATAAACCAATAAAGATGAGGAAAAGATATAAAAAACAAAATAACAGTAAATCAAATGAAGTTACAACAACAGTAACAGCCCGTACTTACATCCATAGAAAGTGCACTACAGAGGTAAATCAAAACAAGACAGAGAGTGGTACAGGAAACAGAAATAACAGCAGGAGACCTTTTAGGCTATTTACCCAAACATTGAGTGAATTCCAGAATCAAGCTCTATTTCAATTCTGACCAAGTAAGTTACCTATAGGAGCAACTCTATTATCTAAAAAGATTAAAAATCTTCCCCAACATAAATCAAAAACTGACGGGTCATTTCTGATGGCAAGTCTGATGAGAGTTCTAAAGAAACACCACAGGGGTCGCCGCTTTTCCACTTGATAGCTATACATTTGTTAGCTGCAATTAGAGCTAATCTGACAAAATGAGTATTAACTCTCATTTTAATTGGTAAAACCGATAGGTCCCCCAATAGTGTCAGCCGTGGATTGGCTGGGATTTCCACCCCCACAATTCCTTTAACAATGTCGCCTCTGAATATTTATGGCAAATGCAAGAAGGAGCAGAGAACTCAAGATGCACTCAAAGCACCAAGTGAAATGGTGAAGTGAGTCAACCACTGGGTCTAAGATGCTAGTTTACCTAAAATTCTCATTAATAGCTGAAGGGCTTTAGGTCTGTCTTTTGAGAGAATAAAACACCTACATCAATCCGGTTGCATCAAAACTGACAAGTGTGTCTCCTACTTAAAGAGGAATGGTGTGCATTTACTCATGATGACACAAAGAAGTGTTATTTTAGATCTCCACATACACTGACAGGATCAGTCACAATCTAATATTCCTCAATGTGATTTCAGCACATCTGTGAAGTCCGAAAAGTCAAGGTTCAAATAGTATAACGGCAGCCCTCCTAATAATGTATAATATTATTGATAATGAGGACTTGACTTGGACTTGGACTCTGGTAAATGGGATCCTAATCTGATTTCTCTTTGGTCACACTCAACACTGAACTCGATGCACTCATAGGACACTGTTTGACTTTGTCTCAGAATGGCTGTGAGGCATCTCGAATGATATCTGTAAGATGAAAGAATAATGTAGATTACAAGATATCCAGAGATTAAAGCAAGGAAAGGCAGCTGCAATAAGTTTGGATTAAAACTGAACTGAGGGAAGGGTTAATGATAGATGTGTCCTGACAGTCCGGGCTGCACCACATGTGAACGCTCTGTTCTGTGAGGCTGCCCTCTCAGGGCCTGCACAGACACACAGACACACACATGCAGGCAATCTGCCGACTGATTCTCAGCCAGGCCCAGCGCCGTCTCATGGCAGAGTGCTGGACCAGATGTGACTGTGGTTGTGCCTGCATTAGAAAAAAGTGCTGTTACAGGAAATGGATGCTTTTAAAAAGGAAGAGAAAGAGGCTGCAGAGCAGTAAAGTATTGTTCTTGTCTTTTCAAAGGACATAAGAAAGCCAGTTAAACACTTTAATACACCATTACTTAAATGAGCATTAATGTTTTCGGTTACACAGGTGCGAAAAGCTACGAGTCAATTCAATGGCTCTGCTTTAATTAGTATCCCCCTTGTTCAAGAATCATGTAAATTTAGAAATATTTCAAAGACAATCTATCTCTGGTGTTTCTGGATTTTTTATGTTATCCTCTTTCACTTTATGCTGTATTGATTTTTAATGCATGAAGGCAACTGTTGGAGGCAGTGGTTGTCGCACAATGACCGTTTTACTCGAGATTAAAAATGGATTCAGCTCTCTGTTTCTGTAAATGATGGCTTTCAAATGTTCTTAATGGTTTTTTAGTAAGCATTAAAATACATCTCTTAATTTCTTTGTTTTATTTCTGCTTCATGTTGTGGAGTCAACTTCACCAAGAGTTTATTTTGACAGTCTCATGAAAGAGAAGCCATAGGAAGTTATTTCTGGGTGTGGTATCTCTGAGGTTGGTCCACACTGCTCTGTGACAATACACTCCATTGTTATTCACATAGAAGCAGCCTGTCCCAGGTTCCTTGGCGAAAGGGTGCTGAGGGCCAAATTGGATTTCTGACAGGATGAGGAATCTACTCTGGGAAGGTCTGGAGAAAGTTGAGCCACTCTGTCTGTCTTTGTTGGGCTGCTACTGGAGTGCCATTCATATGTTCAAGATCCTCCAGAGTCATTGAGATTCAGGGAATTCCCTGCGGCCTGGTGGAGAACTCCTCCAGCTGCTCAACAGAACAGGGGTCACACACCATAGATATTTAATCCTTTCCTGCTGATTTGAGTGGCAATAACTTAAAGAGTGAATTTTTTTAGCCAGCTCTGAGTCTGGCTTCATCTACAGGGATTGACTTAGTTTGGAGAGAGCTGTTTAGATTGATAAGAAATCTTCAAAAACATGTAAAGTCAAAAAAGTAGTGCTGGTTTCCAAATCAATCAGTGATCTGGTTCATGACTTTCCTGACTCTCTTTCCGCTCCTCCTGTCTCTGGTCAGGCTGTCCTGTATGAAAGAGGATTAGGGCCACAAGAAGAGAAAAAAATAATTACAGAGGGGAGATTTTTTTCATTTCCATTTCGAGATTAAAGTTGAAATTTTGAGATTAAAGTCCAAATTTAAAAATGTCAAAATGAAATGCCGTATGGCTTAAGTTTGTCGTAGCCATCCATGTGCCAGAGCGCATTGGGTCCTCGGTTTCGGTAATGCCTGCGTCTCAGACGCCGCGCTTGTCTGTGCTCCACAACTTCAGGATCAATCAACTTGATCAGTTTTCTTGTTGTGTCTTGCGATACAACATAGCCTTGCTGTATAGCACGCAGGTGTAACCATCGATAACCCTACATCTGCATCATAATCTTCGGCCTAGCCTTTTCAAAGCCCGAATACTTATGACCACATTGTGTTTGTGCGCTAAAAGAGCAAAGATTTCCTTATTACTAAATCCAAAGTACAGCTTTACAAACTCTTCTACAGAGGACATGCTGTCTAGTGTCAAGCAATAATGCTGTTGATTCATTACGAAGAAGAAGAAGAAGGAGAAGAACTTTATTAGTCCTCGAAGGGAAATTCAATTACGACTTTATTCACGAAATTTCGTCTTTATTTGTGTTGACTTTAATCTTGTAATTCAACTTTAATTTTAAAATTTGGACTTTAGTTTCAGATTTTATTTTTTTTTATCTCGAAATTTCAACTCTTAATCTTGAAATTGTAACTTTATTGACATAATTTTGAGTTTTTAATCACAAAATTTCAACTTTAAACTCCTTCCTGTAATTATTTTTGTCCTCTTCATGTGGCCCTAATCCTCTTTCGTAGTCCTGTCCATTAAATGTTGAAAGCGAGATGAAAATATAAAAAAGGGAAAAGAAGTGTTTGTGTATTTTTAAGAGACATAAATGTGCAGTATCTTGTTTTGTGTTATGGTGTCAAAAAATGTCTGATGATGCTTTAGTTTTGTTAGAGATAGAAAACCGTCCATTTTGAAGGGTTCAAATGTTTTCACTTGTGGGTCAACTGAGATACTGAACATCTGCCAAAATATATTTATGAGCAAAATTTAACTCAACATGTCTGAGTACCACTCAAAAAGTAGTTTTTCTTTTTGACTGCTTTTATTATCATCAGTTTGTAAAGTTTTTGTTACGAGACCAGAATCTACTACTTGTTGTGTTGTGTGTGGTTCCTTTTCATTGCCTAAGACTCTCTCTTGATTTCAATGTTAAGGAGACATCCAGATCACCCACACAAAAACTGCAGACAGCATAATGAATACTTTCGAAAAGTTAGCTGGAACTTTCCTGCAGTGTTTTGATGGAGAACTAACTATTATTTGCTAATTGTGCTGTAAAATGATGGGGTATTTATTAAATTTTACATTTCGTATGACTAGAAATAAAATCAGCAGATTTCAGGAAGACCATGTCAGAGAGCCATCACATTTAAAAGTATCCTAAAACTTAAATGGCTGATCGTTTCACTGTTAAAACTGCAGTGATTACCTCTACATCTTGTCTTTTCTGATTATAGGTGGTGTGACAACAGCTCTCTCAACTTTTTTGAGCGTTAAGGACAAAGAGACAGTTCTTTGTATAAGGCCTTTTTCTTTTATCATGGAAGGTGTTGTATCTTTGAAATTTCAGGTGGTAAAAGCTGAGATGTAAAGCATTTTGAGTCCTGAATGTAAACTGACACATTTTTGTCAGCAAATGTTGTTTTGCAGTGGAAACATGGGCAGGGAAAGAAAAGATTGCAGGCTATTCAGGAGCCACAGAGTTTTTTCTCTTTCTTTTTTTTTTCCCGGCATGGTGTAAAGAATGAATAATTCATCAGTAAGCAAGCTTTCAGCTGGCTGTTTGTGTGCTTTGATCTGGGAATCAGGAGTTTGCATGAATGCCTGTATTGTCATGTTACGTTTCCACAGTGCATGAATTATTGACAATGGTGCCGTTCCCTGCTTCATGCAGTAAAGTTTACACTGCAGACACACTGCACAGGCAGGCCCCGAGTTGTAAATCCCCAGATGTTGTTTATTTGTCCTGTGAGGTCATGTGACCGGGTTCACTCAGGCTGGCCTCGCCCATGTGTTGAGTGTGAAAAGAGTTGCATGGTCAACCTTTAACAAACTGCAGCTCCATGTCAGAGCCCAGCCCTCCTACCATGTCTTTTAAAGCAACAACAAAGGTGTGGGTGTAGCCAGGTGCTGCAGGTATCGCAGATCTCTAGATGTTGACAAGTTTACAGCACTTTGTATTTGTTCAGACTCAGAGAGCTTTAGTGAACGCTTAAATCAAACCTTTGTGCTGCAATTGTTCTGGACTGTTATGACATAACTTTGAGGCCGGAAACTTGAGGAAGTACAAAACATATGACAAAGACTGGGGGTGGACTGATTATCAGTCAGTATAATGTGTATCAGCCTTTTATCTTACAGATGGCTGATGAAATTAAGGTGTTGAAAAAAGGGCACTGCTCGGCTCCACTGCAAGTGTGTCATTCCTTCTGGATCTGTTTTGTGCACCACTATGTCCCTCCCACAACGCCATCTTATTGGCTGGGTGTCACTCAGCTGTGATGCAACTGGAAGTGTAACTGGTTAACTGTTAACTTTTGTCTGTGATGTTGGAAGTTTCACTTTGGATCAAACATTTACCAGGCATTGAAGCAAAGTTTAGTGTTGGAGTTTGTAATGTTCTGAATTTAACAATTTGACAGGGAGTTTTTTCATTTTTACCGTTAGTACATTAATGATTTTGCTGCTATTTTATGGATTCAACCATTGAAAACTCACCAAACCTTTGTGTCGTCTTGTCTATAGATTTATACAACATGTTCCATATACAGCAGTACCTCCATCTTTTCTCTTTAATCTATTCTGACCCATTGTCCCCATCACGTAGTCACATCTTTGATGCGCTCCAGTTTATAGAGAATGCATTTTCTTCTGATTACCTAAGATACGGCTTATTAGTACATGCGGGGTTCACTGCAGTCCAATTGTGTCATCTCAAGAGTGGACCTTTAATTGATAATGAGGTGAATGTAGAAAAATGTCTTATTGTACTGAGGGTACGGTGAATTTTATGGAGCAGCAGAGCAGATCCATGTCGTTGGTTGGCTACAGCTGGACACATAATTAGAGTGCCTCTTTACCTATAATTTGTGTAATAGTTTTGCTTGGCGGCGTGTTATTACCATATGAAAGGGCTAAGCAGGGGTCATGCGCATTGCTACAGCAATTAGAGCAGAGCTGAGGGCAGAAGAATGTTTGGAGCCGTTGTTAATTGGAAATCCGTACAAAGCTATGCTTTAATTATAATTTAGTCAGAGCTGCACTGTTTTAAGCCCAATATATTCAGTCGCCATTATTTTCTGTAATAATATGAACAGCTAGGTCTGTTTCCTTTCACAGAGGCGGGCTTTGAAGAGAAGGAGATTGAATTAGATTAATTTGAAAGGCTGTGCTGCAGCGAGTTCTTTTCATGCTAATGTAACATGGTGTTTTCACAAGCACATCGGATCTGGTTTGTTTAGGAGATGTGGACATATCTTCTGATTTGCATACACTTGAAATATCACAATAGACCTAAAGTTTATACATTTGAATAAACTCAAAGGGTAACCTGACCATTTCCTGAACTGATGTATGACACAAACTGGGAAAAGCGCAAGTAGTGAGATTTTTACAGGTATTCATTTATTTGTGCTTCTGATAAAATCACCTTAACTAATGTTAATACTAAAATCTTAAACTGTAGTACATTATTCTTCCTGAATTATCACCCCACATCCTTATTAAACACCCATCTGTGTTGAATTCTTGATTCTCATTGGTCAAAAACCTTTGACAGTTTACAATTCTTAATACTAGTAGGGATGGGCAATGATTTGAATAGTCTCTAACATTTAAAAGACTGAATAGTTAATGTGCCAAAGGTTTTGTTTTCACCAAAAAAAAAAAAAAAAAAAAAATATATCGAATAGCGCTTTAGTTTGAAATGCCCAAATTCCAGTGACAACCTGATCACATATGTCATAGAGCACAAATCAAATCAAATCAATCCTTGGTATGAAGTTACAGCTCATCTGGTACCATTTATGATTTCACCTCTTCGTGTTGACAGTCTGGTAAAAACATAACATGCTGATAGCATCGATGGACAGCATGCAGGGAAATGTTTCGTATCAATAATCTCCATTTATCTGGAGAGCACAAAACTTTGGATTGGTGGTTAGTGGCTGACCAGACAACTGCAGACTAAACAAGAGAAGCAATGTTGAGACGGCACAAAAATGGAGGAGGAATGTTAAAGCACACAAGGAGCTGAGTCAAAGAGATGTCGAAGAACAGAACAGACAGACAGACACAAGAAACCACAAACCATGAGTGTATGTGCTCTGGCAGTGTGTAGGGACTGGTTGAGAGAGAAGAAAAGACCAATAGAGAAGTCACAAGGTAGAGGCGCTGCTGTTGTTTCCTGCATCTGTTAAAAATACCAAAGAAAAATGTTAGTTTTAACAGAAAGATGTCAAAATACATGATGCATTAACTTTGTTGCATTGGGGCTGCCTGGATGTAGACCAGTCAGTAACCCCTGTTCACTGCTTGAAGTGCTAATGGGCACGTAAGGTAAGAATCCAAACTGGACTACAGAAATGGAATAAAGCTGTCTTGATTAAAATGAACAGTAGTGGTTAATTAAGGCCTCCTACTTTTTCGACTTACTCAAACCTTTTACAAACTAAACTACAACCATTAACAACCAAAGTGTGCGTAAGAGTTCTGAAGAATCGCTCCTTCAAAATGTTGTTGAACACACACAGCTTCAAACCTGGTGCTGGAGCCTTTTAAAATTCCATGTTTAATTTGAACTTTTTGTTGTTGACCTGACTCAACCTTTCACAGTATTTGAAGATAATTTTTGAAACATATTTCTCCTCTCTCTGTTTTTTGTCAGGCCGGAATGAACTGATAGCAAGATACATCAAGCTACGCACTGGGAAGACAAGGACTCGTAAACAAGTAAGATGCTCTGTTGCATGAGTGTCACATGGCAGTAAATGTCTGAAGACTGTCGTATTTGATTTTACACAACGTAAAAAAAGACTGAATTTGACATAATGTTCTTAAAAGCAAAGACTCTGAAAGAAAAACTGCAGTATATTCGGGCAAATAAAAGTTCATTTAGAAATTTCCTCCTTTGAAAACCTAAACATAAAACAAAAAAATGTTTCTGTATTGTACTGTATACTAAGGGCGGGAGAAAAAATTGAAACAGCATAAACTCGCAATATTTTCTCTGGTGATATATCATATCGTCTCATTGACCAAGTATCAATTTTTCTAATTAAAATAAAATCAACTGTTTGTCCAGTGAGGTTGGCAGAGGTGAAATCATAGAGCAGGAGGAAGTTAGTACAACAAATATATTCAAGGCTTGCAAGATGTGCTACATGAAAATAAAATATTGCATCAATAAGACAAACATAAAGGAAAGCCAAATGTTAAATTAGCTAAGCAGTTGAAAAGATTGTATAAATCGCAATATATTGAATCGCAATACTCACTGTATTGGAAAATGTTAAAAATCACAATAATATCATATCGTGGCCCAACTATCGTGATGATACCGTATCATGGGCCCCTTCTGTATACATCAAATATTATTGCTGCTGTGGCTGAACCGTACATGCATTCAGTTTTATAAATAAATCATGGAGGTTGTGCCACTCGGTCAGTTCTCAGGCCATAATTAAAAGAAGTTGGATGCCTCGGATCAAAGAAGGTAGTACAGCTGAAGGATGCATCTTAATGTCTACAATCCATATCTCTTACCACAGAGCTGAGCACTGACTCTTGAATCAAACATTATGTGTATATGTCAGCAGTATTAAATTGTCATGTAAATGTAATAAAAGCAACATGGAATTAAGGACTCTATGTTCCTTTTTATGTCCGTCATAGGTCTAATAGTACTAGGAATAAATGAAAGGATGCTGTTGATTTTCGTTTTTACATTAAAGCTCTGATGGCGCTTCATGACCCACTAACTGACCATCGTACTCATAAACAGACTCGAATGACCACGATAAACAAGCCAGTGTCCTCACAGTTACATCTGATCACTGTGTGTGTGTGTGTGTGTGTGTGTGTGTGTGTGTGTGTGTGTGTGTGTGTGTGTGTGTGTGTGTGTGTGTGTGTGTGTGTGTGTGTGTGTGTGTGTGAATTGATCAATTTGCACCAGAAAGGCAGTGTGGTTTCTCTCTCTTATGTGATTCCCCTCCTCCAAATAGAAACAGAGTGAGAGACGTGGTCATTATCACTCACATCAAATCTGTTTCTGTTGCCACGTTAAATGCTTATGATCGTCATGTTGTCATGCTTCAGCCAAAAAGTGTTGTATATAACTAATGGCAAATTAAATCACGATCAAAAATTTTTACGAGACATATTTTTAACTTTTGTTACATTCTGCTTCTTCTGACTCATTTAAACTTTATCTACAATTTTCCTCTTTGTAGTCTCAGAAATTAAAAATTGAAATTAAAACATCTTGTCGATATATTTGCAGGAAATTTAATGCTATAACCACACACCTTGTTTTCATTATCAGCTGAACTGCAGGTAATATCTTTAACAAAACACGTGAAATTATTAAAACAATGCTAAGCATGAATGAGCCTCCAAAGCCAAAAGCAACATCTTTAAAAGCCCACAAAATTAAATCACTGAATTTACACCAGCTCACCACAAAAAATATTTTCTTTTCTCCAATATCCTCTATAAGCAATTTGATGAGCTTCAACATAATAATAAATAATAATAAAGAGCAAAATGTTGCTCTGATTTTTTGGGCTTTTTCCTTTAAGAAATGATGAACGGGATTAGTTAAAAAGCATCTGATTAATTATCAGGTTTCATCTCTAGTTTTTATATCAACCTGAATTGCAAAGCCCTTATTATTGACCCACAGAGGCAACACCAGATTTTTTTTAATTCGACCACCTTCTCTGTGTTGGAAAGTCTGTACTTGTGTGAGAAAGACAATCCTCGCTCTTAAGCCTGCCATCAAAACACTTTACATCTCTTTCAAACCAACACTTTCACTGCTGAGCATCTCATGTGAGAATCAGCGAAAAATTTAAACCATGTGAATGTCTGAAGTAAAGTTGGTCGGTAAAATGCCTCGGCCGGCCCTCAGGAGAGTACTAGAGCAACCGATTGTCATTCAGCACACAGCAGATCACATCTGGATGTTCTTAATGTGAGTGAAAGGGTTCTGCATCCTCCTTAATCAGTTCACTTAACAACAACAACACAACACACAGCATAATGCATTATCAGCTGTTAGCTCTGTGCGCGGTGTAGAGATGCCTTTGTTATGCACCGTATCACATCTAAGTGATTTTATTTATCAAAAAAAAAAGAAATGTATCATCTACTTTTATGGCTTTACTTGTTTTTTTATTTCCCATTTTCTCTTTTTTTTTAACGGAGGTGTCTAGTCACATACAGGTCTTAGCAAGAAAGAAAGTTCGAGAAATCCAAGCTGCCATTAAGGTACGTCTGGCTTTGCCCAGTTGCAGGGGGCTTTTCATTGCCATGGTTACAGGCTCTTCCTTTGTTTTCCTCCCCTCCCCTACCCTGCAGGTGTCTAGTCACATTCAGGTTCTTGCCAGAAGGAAATCTCGTGAGTTTCATTCCAAGCTAAAGGTATGCGCTTCTCTGCTTGTGGGCTTGTTGGTTGCTGTGCGTCTTGACTTCCTGTTTCCCGTGGTTACAGAGTGAATGCCTGTTGCTCTGATTTTTTTCCCCCCTAACCAAAAATCCACTGTTAACTGTAGTCTTGTTCATATTTTCTACCCCTCCCATCTTCTCGGTTCATCTCTCACTCTCCTCTGACTTGCTGTCACTGTCCTGTCTACTTTGTTTCATCTTCATTTAATCACTTTTTATTACCCGCCTTTGCTTTGAGAGCAGCTGGTCAGCATATACTGTATTTACATGAGTTGATATGCAAGCGCCTGGATTACTCAGGCTAATACTACGGGTTAAGTTAGATAATCATGTATTGGCCAAAAACCCACAACGGGCAGAAAGCATGTTTATGAACATCTTTAAATTGTTATTATGACACAGTTGTGGCCAAGACACATTTTACAGAGTATACAGCAATGCTAGCTGAAAAATGAGGCCGTTACCCCGAATTTTCACCACATCCTGAACAGCTCCGATCCGGAATTTCGCCATCTGCCAATTCCTACCTGATCCGTTTGTGAGGTGAATTTCGTGGCAGATAATTGACAGCAGAAATCGCGAGATTAATATTGGACAGCAGGAAACTCTCAAGAGCCTGCTGATTCACGTGCAATCGGGCGATAACGTGTTGTCTCTCTAAAGACAGCCACATAACCATATAAGCAGTACACTGTGTCCTTCCAGAGGAGGAGATCCACTTCTAGACTTTTAGATTAGTATCTTCTCATCCATGGTGTCATCGAGGTGAAATTCTGTCTAAAAACCTTTCACTTGTTCGTCTCCGCCCGTTTGCATGGTGTGAAATACAATCTGCCTGATCCACATAGTATTTTATTTTAAAAAAGAAGCCGGATATTTTATTTTGTGTCTCTGCCCGAAAAAATAGAACTCTTGCGATCAGCTACGGAGTCTATGGAAGTAAATCTGTACCATCTGATTTTGAATTTGAATTTCTAAAGCTGAATTTTTTTGGCATTAAAATCAGACGTTGAATTTCAAAACCATCGAATGTCAAGCATGCATTTTTATTTCTGACCCAGATTTTTTCCGCAATGATGAAATAAATTCAGTGTAAAAAAAAAAGAAAAGGTCTCTCAAAAATATTCGTTTAGTAAAAATTCAACTTAAATAGAAAATTCGATGTCAAATTATTCAGTGTAAAAGAGACAGACTCAACATCCAGGTAACCAGGGAGAAGCAATCAACTCCTGGCTCAATCATCCATCGTCCAGCCGATCAATTAATGCTAGATTGGTCATGTGGCACAGACCCTAGTGGAAGATTGAATCCAATCGATTGCTTCTCCCTGGTTGCCCGGATGTTGAGTTGGTCTCTTTCACACTGAATTTTTTGACACTTATTTTATGTTTAATTTTTTTACACAGTTTTTTAAGTTGAATTTTCACTAAACGAATATTTTGAGAGACCGATTTTTTTTCCCCCCGAATTTATTTCGTCATAGTGAAAAAAATTAGTGTCACAAATAAAATTGCGTGCTTGAAATTTAATGGTTTTGACTTCAAAGTCTGATTTTGATGCATAAAATTTCAGCTTTAGAAATTCAAATTCCAAATCAGATGGCACAGATAGGAGTCCGACAATCCGCAGCGGAACGGAAAGAAGCCAGTGGAAATTGACACATTAACTTCAATGGTTACGATCAGCTACGATCGGCGGATACGGTCTTTTCGTAGCTGTTCCGGATGCGGTGGAAATAGGGGGTTAGACAGTCATATGCAAACATCAGCATGTTATCCTCAAGAGTTTTTAACCGCTTATGAAACTCATATTTATGTTTTTTTTATAACCTACACTAGGAGTGCCAAATTGCCACAACCATAAAGTTGCTCACAGGAGCTTTAAGTGGATATTAAAAAATGCTAATATGAACATAAGTCTGTGGTAATGTTAGTGGATGCAAACCAAAGTGTGCAGATGCAGGGAAGCATGCTGGTATTGGCTGTTGGTGTGAGCGGCTGAGAGCTGAAGGTCCGAGGATATTGGTGCAATGCCAGCTGGCTGTTTTCTGAAATGCCCCTTCTGTTTCTGCTTCAACCTGTTGATAACTCCAGACTCTCACAAAGGCGTAACTGTCAGTCACCGTCCTTCCTCCCAGTTCAGATGTCATTATTTCAGTGTTCTTGTTATTCCAGCGATAGAGAAATCTGTAGAAATCACGGAGGAAAGCTTTTAAAATGGGAGATCGTGAAAGAAGTCATCTTAAATAACACTGACCTGTAATTTAAGGTATTTTATGATGTAATCTCTGTACGCCAAAGAAAGGACTCTCCACCTGTGTGCCATTTCCCTCTTTCCTTGGAGAGTTGACTATACATTTTGACTTTCACACTTTGTTCCTCTCCCAGTATTCAACACAAATTAATGACCCCCTATTTGTCGGTGCGCAAGTGTGTGAGTGCGTGTGCTGAGAAACTGAAAGAGTCAAACAAGCATCTCGCCGCATGAATGCCTGTTTTTTTCAAAGGCTGTCTGAAGAAAAACAGACAGCTTTTGTATGAATCCCTGTCTTTTCTCATTTTAAGCAAATTAGAGTTCATTGGCAAAGAGAAATACAAGTGTGCCCTTCATCTAAAGGGGCATCAATGAAAACCTGCTGTTACTGGTCTTGTCTGTGGCATTTTAGTGAAATAACAGTCATTACAGTACTGTTCTGTAGTAATGACTTTTGATCAGATTGTGAAAATTATAGAGAGCGAGACATCTCCAGAAAGCAAAGATGATTTGAAAGAAAAAAACATGTATAATCCTTGTTATTTGATTTGTCATTGATGGGGGGTGGATGAAACTGAAATTTTGATATTGACAGTTTGAGGTGTAACAAGTGACTTCTTTTATGCATAGTTAAAAAGTTAAAAAAAATGCTGAATCACTCAAAGGCAATGAAGTCTGCATTTACAACAAAAACATGTTTCTTTGCATTTAGGTCACAAGTATGGTAAGTATTTTTCTCGTGCTTTATTTTGGGCTGCCTCACCCTTCAGCTGCTAGTTTGGATATGTGCTCTTGCCATAGTAACACCATAGCTGCTGTCCAGTGTGCTACACTTAAAGGGATATTCTGGCGTAACATTAATTTATGGTCAAACACATCGTAACACCGAGTTAGACACCCCCTCAAGAGATGAATGTTGCCGACCACTTGCTACATGACAGCAGTACACAGCGGTCTAAGGAGCCATAAACAAACCTCAACCAAAACGCCACTGTATAGCCACAAATAATGCTCAGAACAGCACCTAACTTCATCAACAGTACATATAGGGTCCCAGCCATAGCACTTGCCACCAAAAATCTTTTTAGCTTTGCCTGATTTCTTTAGCAAAGAGACTAAACACAACTCACCTACTCTCTTCCAGCAGCTGCTTGTTTGTAGCGAGACCTCGGGGTCGTGTCCATTACGGACTACAGCGGGGTGACGCAGCTCAAGGAAGAACATTTATGATCATTTCCTCATGGAAATGGAAATGAAATCAGACCGAGACGCTAAGGCAGAAGAACTACCACGTCTGCAGAGCAAAATGATTATTATGATGATTATTGCTTCATGGAAATGTTAAAGAAATGATCATAAATGTTCTTCCTTGAGCTGCGTCCCCCTGCTTCAGTTGGAAATGGACTTGCCCAAGATCTCCGTACAAACAAGCGGCTTCTGGATGAGAGTAGGTGAGTTGTGTTTAGTCACTTTGCTAAAGAAATCAAGCAAACCTAAAAAGAGGTTTGATGGCTAGTGCTATCGCTGGGACCCTATATGTACTGTTGATGAAGTTAGGTGCTGTTCTGAGCATTATTTGTGGCTATAGAGTGGCGTTTTAGTTGAGGTTTGTTTATGGCTCCTCAGACTGCTGTGTATTACTATCCTGCGGTCGTTATTAAAGTTGGTATAACTAGAAAAGCAAGGGGTCGGCAACATTCATCTCTCGAGGGGTTGTCTAACTCGGGGTTACGGTGTGTTTGACCCTAAATTCATTTTACGCCGGAATTTCCCTTAAAATTGTGTCTCTTTGTGCTGTCGTACTGTTATCATATTGTAGCTTGACTGTGCTCCACCAGCATCTGCTGCCAGCATGCTTACATTTAGCGTCTGCCTCCAGCCACAGTCTGCATGGGTTTGCTAGTGTGCACTTTGTACTGACAGAGAAAGAAACGGTCTAAACCAGCATACAATGTGCAGTGCCTCTGATTTTTGATGGAAATTCCAATAAGTAAGCATCTCCTTTTACCAAACATCTGCCCAAACATTAAAAGAAAGCATCTTGAGCTGTGAAAAACACTTAGCCAAGTGGGTGTAGTGTCCTTCAGATTTACTTGAGAAATTCTTTAAGATGTTTAGATGTGTTTTGACATGCAGACAAATGCAGCCTTGGTAGAACTGCTGCTGAATCGCTTTTTTGAAAAAGTACCTTCTTGATAGATGTCAACACACAAACTTTCATAAGTGCATACCTCTGCTTTGCACTGTATGTTGGAATTCAATTGTGATTGTTTGGCACATTCCTTTAAAAAAAAAAGCCGACACTTAAATAGCAAAGTAGAGATGCATCTTCTTTTAACCTGCTTGCTGTTAACTGTTGTGAGAGAGGTCAGTGGTGCTTTCAGCATGTTGTTTGGAGTGTGCTTGTTGCTGCCTCTGCAACATAGCCCACCTCCCCCCTTCTGTGTGAGCACTAAGCCTTTTGTGACTGCTGTTAAAGGACCAGGCCGTGAAGGACAAAGCCCTCCAGAGCATGGCCTCCATGTCCTCGGCTCAGATCGTCTCTGCCACGGCTATTCACAACAAGCTGGGACTGCCAGGCATCCCGCGCCCGGCCTTCCCTGGAGCAGGGGTAAGACCCTCATCGGCACCCCACTATTGATCCCTTCTGTCCGGCTTCACCCAGGGCAACCACGGGGCCAGCAACGCCTGCACCCGGGCCAAATCACATTACACACCACAGCTTTGCACAACTGCCCCTATCAGATAAGCACACAATCAAAAGGAGTGGTAGTCAAGATAACTACACGCAGTGAACATGGAGCTAAGAGCCAGTTTGATCTTGTTGCTAACAGCTGCTCACAATTGGATACTGTTTGTTGTTTGTTTCTCTGTTGTCTATTTATACTTGTAATTCTTCAGTTATGGCAGGGTATGATATCAGCTGGTCAGCCAGGATCTTCACAAGAGTAAGTACTTTGATGTTATTAAAAAACAGACCTTTAACTGCACTTAGGCAGAACATTTAACTTACTGTGCTGGCAGGGTGTTTACTAATCGTTCTTTAATTCTCTGTTCAAGTATTAAGCCTTTCACCCAGCAAGCCTATCCCATCCAGCCAGCAGTCACAACAGCCCTTTCAAGTGAGTGTTCACCCAAAAAACTCTTTTAAAAAATGTACATTCCACTTTCTACGGAAGTGTTTTTATTCACCTCGATATCTGTGCCTGAAAGGTGTAAAATGTACCGACTCTTTAGGCTCCATCCACCTCCACATATGCGTCACTTGATCTTAAAGTGGGGTTTAAGGCAGATTGCAGCTGTAAAACTTACACCGCATGTCGATAGAGAGGGGTGAGGAGGTGCTTTGAAGTTAGCGACGACAACAAAACAGGACTTTATAAACTTTGAACTCACCCAGGTTTCTCCCAGAGCTTCTTATCTGAAGTGAAGCACCAGGAAGAGGAAGTGAAGTTCATGTCGGGATGTAGGATCTGGTTTAAGAACGAAATCATACCAGAAATTAAAGGATTTTTATATAATAGTAAAATTTCAAGCATTTTATTGTTATATCATCCAAAAGCAAACAGAAAAAATAATGTCATGTGTTCCTTCATTTTAATTCAAGAATGATCTTAGTCATATCAAATATTCACACAGAAATCAGAAAATATGACCTTATGTTAAGAAACCCAGAATGTATTTTCATTTATGCTCGTTGATTTTTTGCGATTGGATTTGGGGTCAATATGTCTTAAAACAAACAAAAAAAATAATGTCTTGGAAAAATCATCTGAAGATTAAATGAAAGATGGATCTGTTTAACATTATAGAATGCAAAATTCACAAAAAAGATAAATTTCCACAAAATATATTCCTACAACTGATAATATACAGGAACATCTGTGTACTAGGGATGGGTGATAAATTATTGTTCATGATATATTGTCAGAAAAATCCTCCATGATAAATATTTGCCATCTCATGGTAAACACGATAAATGCAAGTTGATGACGTGAGTGCGAGTCACGGACTCGCAGCTGCAGCCCACATAGAGCAGAACAACAAACAAACATGGCCGAAGGTAAAGAAGAAGACGTTTCTGAGCAGCCAGTTACTGAACGAGGCTCCACATGGCGGATTTCCTTCAAGATTTGTGCTTAGATGAGTGCAATAAGTTTTTGACAAATGTTGAAAATGTTTTCACATTTGAGACTTGTTTGGTGTCACTAGTTTTCTTCATAAACTACCACTGAAACTCGTGGTAAAGTATCTTATTGATTATGCCAACTGGTGTTCTCAAGGCAAAATGAGTCAAAAATACAGAGTGGAATTATAATATTTTTTATCGGGACTTTTATCGTTATCACCAGAATGGCAAACCTCGTTTTAGCCCATATTGCCCATCCCTACTGTGTACCCAAATTTGGATGATGTCCAATATGCTGCATTACTATGACTTTACATGGATAACTGACACATAACTGACCCCAACAAGAGTCCCTGAAACCTCAGAAATGTGTAAAAAATAGTACATTAAGGTTTTACTGTAAAACATGCCAAGGCAGGATGATCAGATATATACTGTATGTCCCTGCAGGTTACGAGCCCACAGCAGTTGCAGCTCCGACAGCACCAGCATGGCAGGGCCGCTCTATTGGTACATCAAAACTCCGGTTGGTGGAGTTCTCCGCCTTCCTAGAGCAACAGAGAGACCCCGACTCAGTGAGTCGAGATTTAATCCAAAGCATGAAAAATTACTATCTCATGTGTTCATTCCCACCTCTTATCATCCAAGCCTTTCCTGTGTGAATACACTGGGACAATTTCCCAGGCAGAGAGTCAGCTGCGAGGAGGCCAAAACAAGCTGAGAGGGAGAGCACAGGCCTGTAGAGAGAGAGAGAGAGAGAGAGAGAGAGAGTATGTAACTCGCAGAAATAATGAAGGATTGTGAATGAAGATTTGTTTATTTCTTTAAATCAGGCAGATCTAGATTTATGCATCAGAACTCAGCTTAAACCAGAACAAGAGTTGGTGAGTATGAGTTGAAAATGATAAGTCCTCCACTTCTTTTTTTACTGAAGCTATACATATATGTTTGTTTACATGATCTCTGCACTTTCCTTTGGTAAAAATACTTTGAGACAACAGCCATTAGTCTTCGATTCAGTTTAATGGTTGAAATTGTTGCATTTGCCCTGGAGGCTCTGTGTTGGAGAGGCTGCTCTGTAAGCTTTTAGAATCACAGTGTGCTGCACCACATGACAGGGTTTCAAACAGCCACAACAAGGGGAACCGAGCTCTGAAAATCAGATGTTCACTTATTAGCTTCTCTCTCTGCCTCTTACCATGCATCATGGGTTTCAGGCCGAAGAAAGGGCGACAACTTTGTACACTTTGTTAAAGTAAAGATGTACATTTTTTAAAAACTTGACAAAATCCAACAAACAGAAACCATTTTTTAGAAAGCAGAACACCTTTACTTAAAGCAGAGGTATTTCTAAGACAGTATTGTTTTCATCTGCTCATATGCACAGATGTTTTGTTTTTTAAGTTTGGGAAAAATATCATGCTTAAAAAGATAAAGATATTGGTAACAAAAAGTGGTTTTATGGCAATCTCGCCTGTAACGATGACAAATTATTAACCAAATTCATTACACTGGGTTTGAATTTTCCTGAAGTAATTTGGTATTCCACTGTGGTTTAATACAAATCGGGGGATCAGCTGTTTTTTGGCTTTAGTCAGTAGAATAATATTACCCAATTTGTACATCGTAAAATAAAAATAAGGTTCTTGAAAGCATGCAGACAGCCAAACAAAAAGCAATGTTGCAGAGGGTTATTTCTCATCATCAGAGAGTATTGTTGCCAGTATAATCCCAGCTTCAGCATGCTTTTGTTGTGGTGGTTATTTGGCAGAATTGGCTTATTTGTCTCAGTGAACCTCTCTTTCTACATAATGGTATCTAATATTGCTTTAGATCATTTCTTTGTTGTTCTTTGTGAGGTAATTACATTGAAATTCAGACAGGATAGACTTTTGTTTGACTTCAAAAATCAACATGAAACAGCCTGAAATCCGGCACCATACTCATTAAACTGTTTGTGCTTCTATTTCTTTGCTTTTCCTAGTACAACAAGCACCTCTTTGTACACATCGGACAAACAAATCATTCCTACAGTGACGCCCTGCTGGAGTCGGTAGACATCCGTCAGATTTATGACAAATTCCCAGAAAAGAAGGGAGGACTGAAGGAGCTGTATGGAAAAGGTCCACAGAACTCATTTTTCCTCATTAAATTCTGGGTGAGTGTCATTCGTCAGCCGCTTTGATAAGATTGATGAGCACATAATAAACTGGGGGTGTTAGAGCTTGATTGTGTTTGAACCACATCAGTCTTAATATCACTGTAACCTTGTGAACAGTGATGCAGGATCCTGTCCGGTCCGTTCAGGTTGTTCTTTAGTGATTGGCTGTAATTATTCCACACAGAGAAGATTGCTCTCTTAATGTTTGCAGAATGCACTCTGCTGTATTTGGACTTGCATAGCAGGAGAGCTTTTGATCAAAGCACTCACTAATTCAATGTAATATCTCCAAACAATGGAGTGACCTGGTTGCACTACTAATGGCTGTTTAAACATTGCATGTATTTCCTCCCTGATGCAAAATGCTAACTAGCGGCAGGCAACAAAGTAGGTCCGTATGCACTTGGACCAAGTCCCCTCAAATTCCTTTTGAAGTGACCGGCCAATCTAAATTTCAAATGAATGACAGAATCTGCACAATAATGAAAGTATAACTGCTTTGCTTAATGAAGGAGGAGAATGCTGTAGGAGGATGTCTCGTCTTTTTTGTATCCATAATGAACAGGATGTTCGGGGCATAGAAAGGCTGCCCTCCAGGAGCAGACCCAGCTCAACCTTGTAAATCAGTCTTTTAACGCAACTTAATTTAATCCTCTTTAAAATCTAGTTTCCAATATGGACCCATTAACACGCTCATTCAGATGTGGCCAAGATTTTTTCAATTGAATATGCAACAAACGTATTCAGTCCACACAGCTTTCTGTCAGATATGATCAATGCTGGTGGATGGGCTTTATGTCGCAGCGAAGACATAATATTTTCACTAAAATCCAATTTTCTCCAGAAAAAGTGTTCTAGTATATGATGTCTCTCACTTTAATACTGTATACAGTCAGTGCTGCTGTATATGTGACACTTTTGTGTGCAGTTTTTTCTAAAAGTATTCAAGAAATCAACACACTTGAGGTTATACCACATCCTCATCTTGTTATGATTTCATGTTGAAATATTGTGTTCAAGGTGGTAAATTGTACATAACAAACTTTCAGTCATAAATCATAAACTTAAATTTTATCTATGATTTTCAAACGTGACCTAATAGGGCTGGGCGATATGGCCTCAAATCAATATCACGATGTATTGAGCAGTTCACCTCGATAACGATAAATGGACGATAACTACTCCACAAGCTGCTCACCCCCTCCTACATTAACTACGTCTACTTTTAAACAGTCCTCCATCTCCTCACTTGTCTTCTTTGTTACGGACTGAATTGGGTAGAGTCGTGTCTCTGACGTAAGACAGCATCTTTGAGGAACATGAGACCATAGCCTACCTACGCACATCCTAAACAAACTTTTATTTATTTGATACTGAATATGTTGACACGGGCAAAATAATGTTTGTTATTGTCGTAAATTTTGGTATCAGTAAATTTTCAGTTTATCGCCCAGCCCTATGACCTGACTAGAAAAATGTTTGTAAATTCAAACTACGGCCCGGTCTTTTCACCATCCACTGGTTTTTGTTTCTGTGGAAGTGAAATGCCCACAACTCTATCTGGAACGCATCAGTTAGACATCAAAACAATATTTAAGCTGCCCACTCTGAGTGGACATCACATGAGGAGAGCTGCCGTGGGAATGTGCTCGATCACCAATAAGTACTGCTGTTCTCTCTGCAGCTTAAGAGTTTAAGTTGATCTTTTACCCATCCAGCAAAGCCCGTATCAGTCCGTGTCACATATGTGCACCACTCAGCAGCTCAAGAGTCAGGTATTGTGTCATGATTTTGTCAGGACCAAAAAGAGAGTAAATATGAGTGTTATTATATCAATCAAAAACACCAAAACGAGGCCACAATTTGATAACAATGCTGCTTGATGTAAAAAATCAGCAACTGTTTGTCATATTCTTTCTCTCATTAACTCGTCTTTACTGGTGTAAAGGTAGAGCACAAGGTCACAGAACCACTAGGTCTATTTAAGCATCCTCTGTGCATGACGTTCACATACACTTAAGGATTAGGGTGAGGGCCACATAAAGAGAAAATGAATTATTACAGGAAGGAGATTAATGTCAAAATTTCGAGATTAAAAAACCAGAATTATGTCAATACAGTGGAAATTTCAAGATTAAAGTCAAAATTTCAAGATTACAAAAATTAAAATTTTAGATGATAGTCAAAATTTGGACTTCATGTAATTTAAATTTTTTTCCATTTTGACTTTTGACTTAAATCTCTAAATTTCGACTTTAATCTCAAAATGGAAGTAAAAGAAATCTCCCTCCTGTAATTATTTTTTTCTCCTCTTGTGGCCCTTATCCTCTTTCATTCTTAACTGTTATATAATGTTTAGTGTTTTTGTTTTTTAAATTCACATGGAACATTTTGGAGGCTTGGATCATAGATACTTGAAGGACAAAAGTAAATCCTCAGAAGATACTTCACACTATACGTGCATATCCTCATCCCTCCATATAAAAGATGTTGTAAAGTATTGTATAGAAGTATCGCTATATATATTCTCTCACATTCCTTCTGTTGTATGAAAAAATTCCACGATACTGTGACACTTATTGTTGGCACAAGAGCCCTTTCTTGGATTTTATTTCACCATTTTCTAACTCTGCATTTACCCCCCAAAGCCGCAGATGTTTGTGTCTTTCAATCCTATAAACTCAGACATCTGTACCAGGACTGTTGCGTATGAATACCTTCTTGTTTCCCACAGGCTGACTTAAACTGCAACGTCCAAGATGAATCTGGATCTTTCTATGGAGTCACCAGTCAGTATGAGAGCTCGGAGAACATGACCATCACATGCTCAACCAAAGTCTGCTCCTTTGGCAAGCAGGTGGTGGAGAAAGTTGAGGTATGAATTTGAGTCTCTCAAAATTAGAAGATTATCTTAAAGCTGATGTATTTTTAAGACCTGCGGCCTTATTTTTTCTCTCTTTCACTCAGACTGAATATGCGCGCTTTGAGAATGGACGCTTTGTCTACAGGATAAGCCGGTCTCCCATGTGCGAATACATGATCAACTTCATCCATAAGCTAAAACACCTGCCAGAGAAATACATGATGAACAGTGTGCTGGAGAACTTCACTATCTTATTGGTAATCACCTCTGTGACCTGAGTGGGAGATTCCTCCCTCCAGGACTCTCATTCTTCTTCTTCTTCTTCTTCTTCTTCCTCTCTTTGCTGTCAGCGTGTGTTGGTGGCTTTATAAAGAAACACGGGAGTGGGAGGCTGACTGAGCCTTCAGATGAGTTTCTCTTGCCGGTGCCACATTTCTGTCATTCCACAGGGGATGAAACATGGTGTGAGGAGCCTCATTATCTGCAGGGGGAGCAGGGAGGATAAGAGGGGGCGGGAACCCCTGTTATTAGCATCACATGGGGTATTTAAGTGTCATTCAGCACCACTGAGGAAGCAAAAAACAAGTTAAAGGACAGGCTTTTTAAAACATTCAGAGTAAGACTATCATGACATCCATCTATCAAAACTTTTGAGTTAAAATCTAAACCTAGTAGTCTTTTTTTTTTTTCCACAAGCATTGTCACTAAAGATCCTATTTTAAAAAAGTTTTTGTGAAATTGTTTGTTGAAGTTTTTAGAATTTTACAGATTTCTTCTTCGGGTTATTAAACAGCATCTTTTGACATGCTTCTTTGTGTCATGACCACTGATGCCCTCTGCTGAGCAATGCTGTGAAGAAAAGGGCTGGAAATTTAAAAAAAAAGGGAAAATAAAAAACAAAAAATAAAAATTCGCTGCCTTCAGCTTGAAATGGTGATCAGTTTGCTTTAAGCTCCACAAGAATATCGATGGTTTCTAAAAGACGAGGTTTCCCCTGATGTCTAATGATTTATTTTCAACAAGTTCCCAGAGATGTTCATCAGCGGCACTTCTCTGACAATGTCATAACTCCTCTTTTTAATTCCAGGAGCATGTGCTTTTTGCTCCGAGCTTTAATACAGGAAGAATAACAGAGATTTTCAAGATGTTTAAGACACCACTGCTTGACTGAAGGCTGTCTTCTTAGCAGCTGCTAAATCACTTGACCGTCTTAGAGTTAAAGCTCCTATGAGGAGTTTGAACTGGTCATGAAACAGGCTGGAATTTACACTGATGCCAGGTGATGACCTAAAAAAGGCAAAATAGAAAAATAGACCATTAGCTAAAAAGACTGACAACTTTATCGTAACTTTTACTGCTGGTGACTGCAGCAAGGGGGTCAGATGAGGTATTTTACTGTATGATGACACCCCCGAACCCCAATTTCCACCGCATCAGGAACGGCAGTGATTCTCACTGTCCAAAAATTCCTACTGGATCTATTTATGAGGCAAATTTCGTGGCGGATTACAGACGGCGGGAATCGCGAGAACTAGGGCCCGACCAATATGGATTTTTTGGGGCCGATACCGATAGCGATTATTAGGGGGGAAAAAAATCCAATTACAGTTTAATCGGCCGATTTTTTCAAATTTTTATTAAGTTATAAAAAATATCTTTATACTGTAGATATCTACAGTATACTATATACTGTTGATATACTGTAGGCTACTGCTCTTCACGCCAACAGGAAGACCGACTGATCAAACCCGGACCAGAAAAGCGTTTAACTACCTATTGACTTATTGTCTACTTCACAAACTAGTTTATTTACCATTGAGACGGACCACTCTCCTCCGTGTGTCCCTCAGCGGCCTGTTTCAGATCTGTCACTCTGCCGTGCTGTGAGGTAGTTAGTGGATGAAGATTGTCAGGAGGTCGCAACATTATCGAAACTGAATCTTATTCGGTGCATTTTATTTCTGAAAATATCGGGAAAATTGTCGAGTTTTGGCCGAATACCGATTGGTCTTAAACGGGCCCTAGCGAGAACTCTCAAGAACCCGTGGATTCACGTGTAATCGCGCGATAACAAGTTTTCTTTATAAAGACAGCCACATAACTATGTAAGCAGTAGATCGTATCCTTCCAGAGGAAGAAATCCCCTCCTAGACTTCTGGAATCAGCATCTCCTCATCCACGGTGTCATCAGGGTGAAATGCTGTCTGAAAACCTTTCTCTTGTTCGTCCCCGCCCACATTTGCATGGTGTGGAATATGATCCGCCTGAAACTGGAAGTGTTTTATTTTGAAAAGAAGCCGGATGTTTTATTTTGTGTCTGTGCCCGACTTCCTTTCCAGGACAGACTAATCTGTGCAGAATTTATGCGGCATGCTCCGCGTCCGGAAAAAACTCTTGCTGTGGAGTCCACCGATCTGCAGCAGAACAGAAAGAAGACGATGGAAATTGACACATTAACTTGAATGGATATGATCACTTGCGATTGGGTGATACGGCCTTTTCGCAGCCGTTCCGGATGCGGTGAAATTTGGGGGTGATGCTTTCCAAAATTTTCACACAGAAATTTCCCCACAGGAGCTTTAAGCTTCAATGCCGAAGGAATTATGTGTATAAAAAAATGATTTTTTTCCCCAACAACAGGAGGGGATATATAGATAGATAGATATATAGATAGTCTATGCACAGGATGGCCTTGTTCAGATTAATGCTGCTGAGGTACTTATGTATTCTGTGTTCTCTCGAGAGGAAAGCAATCGAAACACTTGATGCTGTAGATTTCTCATTAGACAAGAACTTCTCCTGGATGTGTCTACTCTCTACAAACTCTGTCTTTCTACGTTACACTAACACTGTGTTTTTTTTCTGCCGGAGAGTGACTCTGTGTTGTCTTTCAGGTGGTGACAAACAGGGACACACAGGAGACGCTGCTTTGTATGGCGTGTGTGTTTGAGGTTTCAAACAGTGAGCATGGCGCCCAGCATCATATCTACAGACTGGTAAAGGAATGAGAGGAGACCCCCACCCCTCATCCCCCCAAGCCTTCAATCCCTCTCTTGTCATAGACTTACCAACCTCAAAACAAGTGGCAGTGCCTCTACCTGAAAGTCACACCCACGATGCTTTTTGGTCATGGTATCGGGTGAAGTCAGTTGTTTTAAATTTGTGTTAATAAAATGTATTTGTTATTTGACTGCAGCTGTGAAACGCGGTACAGTTGTTTTTATGTTTAAATATGGGAATTCTCCTTTGAACTATGTTGAGTTGGTCTCTGTTGGGTATAAATGTGGCTGTTCTTCAAGAATTTACTCAGTTATTTTGGTAAATGGAAACGTGTCTGTTGTCCTCTTCTGCTTTGTTATGTAGAGTAAGAAAAAAAAAAGGATGCTGGCCTTTTCTATCAGCGGCCTGATGTGGTCTGTGTAATATGTTTGAGTGTTTTTTGTATGTCTGTACTTCATAATATTGTGAGCATACATACTGTGGATATACAGACAAGCACCCACAGCCAATAAGTTTTCCAAAGAAACTAAACTAACACATAACACTACAGAGGCAGTCGGATAATTTTCTTTAAAAAAAAATACCTTAGCTGTCATTGCTATATTTATTCCTGTTAAAGCACTCCAAGTCTTAGATATAAATTAAATGAATGCACTGTGAAATGATCATTTTTGGCTGCTTCTGCTCCATCACAACAACCTGCTAAGCGTTTTTTAACAGCAAACATCTCTGCGGCCACCGACAGGAGGAAACTTAGCTTTTAGATCGGTTAAAGTCATACCTAAAATCACTCAAATGTGACTTTTCCAAAAGCACTTTGACCCCTTTCCCCTGTTAGACCTGTGCTTTTAATCAACTGTAAATAATCACAAATCCCTCGTAGAAAGCAGGCCATGTTTACTCTGCTGTGGCCCCCCCTATTGAAGACTCAGAACACTGCCCCCTTCTGGAGTAGTGGTGTAATAACTCTTTAAGTCAGAGTCTTGCTGCCTTCATGCTCTCTCATATTTCCGTGGCCTACGCTGATCCCCAGCCTTAAAACATGTCAAAGCTGTGTGAACTCCAAAAGATGCCACTAAAACTGTGATCTCTACACAGGGAAATTTCTTTAAATGTTCTGTAAGAAATTCACAATACTATCTGCCAAAGTGTAGATGTACAGTGCCTTAAAATATTCTCTGACATTATCCCTTTGCTTTGTTTTTAAATTCAGTGTTGTGGACTAAACAGGCAGAGTTAGATTACTGGTTTATTTGTGTTTTTTTCCACCCTCACCTTTTAGAGATTTCATGTTCCTAGAATTGGTACACCCCTGGAAATACAGTTTTGGTTATTGTTCAGAGACAGTATGAATATGATCGGCACAGAAATAGTAAGACAAGTTTCAGGTTATCTTTGTTCCTGAAATGTCCGCCTTTTTTTTAAAAGAGTGTACCACAAACACAGACTGTCTCTCCTGTCGTCAAAGACCAAAAAAAAACACCGAGATCAACTCACTCTTTCGTCGTGTCCTGCATGGTAGCAAGGAAGTGCCTTTGGTTGAAAATTTCCAGCTTAAAAAAAAAAAAAATCAAACAGAAATTAAAAATCAAATGTTGCTAGACCAAAAAAAAAAGATACGCAAGTGAAACCAATCACCGCATTGCCTTTTTGAAGGATTGTAATGATGGAAAGGGAGAGCTATTTCCTGGTAAATGATATATTCATCAATTGAAAAGTGATTTCTCAAAAGGTGTATCTGTAGAATTTTTTTAATGCTTGAGGTCAAAGAGTGAGAGACCAGCTGATTCAGTCCAGCCGCTGACTGCATGGAGGATGCTAACTCATTCAGAAATAAAACACCGCAGCCTCTGCTTTGTGCACACTTGCAGGTTCAAGTGTCAGCTGACCTTAGAGACATTACAGTTTCTTTGCTTCACAAACCGCACGATGTAAACCTTTACTATAATGTCATAATACATTTGATAACGTAGACGCAACTGTGTGTTTACAAAGCAGGGAACAACATGCTTTAATAACTGTCCTTCAGAGAGATGAAACAAAAAGTTTGTCGATTGGTAATCTTGAAAGAACACGATTAATTCAGATTGTCGTAATGTGGTTCAATCTGACATTTTTTATATTTGCCAGTGTGGACGAGGCCTTTGAGGTTAATATTTCCACTGCAAACACCATAACTACTCAAACGTATCCTGTTTCTTAAAGAAATATATAATCATCTCAAGTATTTTAATGGGAGAAGCTCTTAATAGTTGTGGACAATGTCTCTTGATGCAGAAAAAGTTCAATCATTCAGTATTTTGCCACAGTCCTGTGGACACTGTGGAGTTTTAATAGACTTTTTTGTTTACCCTGTGTATCTTTTCACATTTATTGATTACTTCGTGTGATGTTCCTGTTTTCTTATTGTACTCGTAAACACTTGTACTTGGTTTTCGTGACGACATTGTCCTTTTTGTTCAAGCCCACTGAGATGATGGTGAAGGTGTTGCTGCTGCACTGCTGGTACATTTTGATTTGTGGTTTCAACACTAAAACAGCAGGACTGGGGCGTTCAGTGGCAGTCTGGTGGACTGTATGAAGAGAGAAAATTAAAGAATTAATCAGCCAAGTTGAGGAATCATGCTACAAACATATCAGCAGTCTGGCTCTTGTTTTTTTTTCTTTTTGTAATTCTGTTGAAGAGTAGGTACTGGTACCTTTTTCGTTGTTGTTTTATGACCATTTTTCAGACGGCGGCTTTAAAGTGATTTCTCAAAAAGCTCACATATAGTTGTCAAACACGTTTAGGTTTTTGTGTGCAGACTCGTTTTTGTAAAAAGGTGCTTTGTACAAAATTATATCCTAGCTTTTTTCTTGGTACAGACGTGTGATATCTTTTCGTATCCATGATAAAGTGTTGGAGCAAAAAGGAGAGAAAAGAAGCTCTGCGATGTTTGTGCTCTGCATATGGTCTTGTCTTTGCTCCGTAACATTATGATGCCTTCTTGATAAATAGTAGATATTTTGTAGCTTTCTAGACACTTTGTATGTATGCAATATTGAAGTTAAATAAATCAGAAAATATTGCCTTCTTTTCTTGTTTTTATTTAATCAAACATTTGCAGAAATCTTATGTAAGTTTGCACCTCATGGGGTCACATGAATTTAACTCTTTAGGCTGTAAATCCTCAGACCAACAGCAGGTGGAGGCTCTCACTGGTTTGATATACAGTGTACTTCAACTGCTCAGTTTCTCATGACTGCAGTGACAGAACTCAACACCAGAGGGAGGCATTGCATAATTAAACTGAAATTCAGCACCCAAATTGAAGAGTTTGGTAGTTTCCAGTAAGAGACATGGGAGTTCTCACAGGAAGAATTCTAATCATAGTTATAATGCATCAGATTTCATAAAGCACTTTATCAGAGACCCTTAAAGTGCTTTACATCAGATACATCATTCATTCGCTCACACAGTCACACTTTGGTGGTAGTAAACTACCTTAGGGGCAGACTGACGGAAACGTGGCTGCCAGTTTGCGCCTACGGCCTCTCCGACCACCACCACACAACACTCACAATCATAAACCAGTGGAGGACACACACTGGGAGCAAAGTGGTTTAAGTGTCCTGACCAAGGACACAACAGACAGACTCGGGATAGAGGGGAATCGAACCGCCAACCTTCCAGTTATTGGATGACCGCTCTACCTCCTGAGCTATTACTGCTCGTATCAGTGAATATCAATGAGAGCACCTGCCAAACCAAACTGCTGGTAAAAATAATGTCTAGTAACGCCCTGTTTCGCATTCACATTTAAGGCCTTTAACCCAAAGTCACTTCAGCACTGACATACTTTATTTACATCTATCAGCTTCAGTACTATAATCACATGCCTATTGGCCTCTCCCGACTAGACATGGTCCACTTCATTTCATCCTTGCATTCCTCGCTTTCATTGTTCACTTCTGGTTTTAGGCCCTCTCACCAGAGCAACATGGAGAAATGCAAAGAAAAGAAAAGAGGGGGGCAAGGAATTTTGATTAAAGAGACATGAGGCAACCTTTCCTCTAGAATGTCATGTGACATGGCGTCTGAGATGTCGGCTGCAGCTGATCACTGGATTAACCGTTTCCTTTTTGACAAACATGAAGAAAAATCTGCAGTCAGATCCGTTTGTAGAGCCAAAATGTCTCATGAATAAATAATGTATTCATTACTGCACCGATGCTAACTGTGGATTCTTCATTGTATAAGCACTGACAGCTGGGGCACTGACTCCACTGGACCTATTAGGAAGATGTACTTTGGTATCTGGTTCTACGGCATCAGCGGCAAACCCATCAATCATTTTTTTACTCTGCACACTACAGACTTCCACCTGCAGAAGTTCTTGAACATCTCCGCCATTGTTGGCCTCATCATCACCAACGATGACCAGAGGGAGTCCAGAGAACCTAACCTGAACTTTGTGGACTAGTGCCAGTAGAACTTCTTCCAGATCAATACTGAAAAAACCATGGAGCTGACCCCTACCCCTCTCATGCCAGGGAAAGGACATTGAGATTGTGAACTCTTACAAGTACCCGGGTGTTCACCTGAACAATAAACTGGACTGGACTGACAACACAAACTCCAAGGCCGAAAAAGACTCCACCTTCTGAGGAAACTGAGGTCCTTTCAGGGTGGAGGGAGAACTCCTGAGGTCCGTTTAAGACTCTTTTTGTGGCCTCAGCCATCTTCGATTGTCTCTGTTTGCAGCTAATCAAGTTAGCGCTCACTTGCCAACTACCAACAGGTAAGTCGCATCACCTGATCTCTGGAAATCGCTGAAACTGAATCGAATGTTTTTATTGTTTAAAACCATGACATATCAAGGATATAAGGGTTCCCAAACACTCAGATGATAAACTGTGTCCATGAATACTGGCAGGCAAACGAGACCGAGACATTTTTTATCATTGTTTGTCATGATGTTTAATGTTTACACTTGTTTAAAGCCTTGGATGGATGAGATAAGGAGGACTTCTGAAGTGCAGAGTCAAACTATCTCCAATATAAATCGTGTTGAAGGTCAAACTTGGAGGATTAAGATTTGATTGATTTCACCGTACAGACAACAGACTGCAGTGGGGATTGATGAGCTTAAACTCTGACAACAATGAGATCTTTTCAACATGTAGGTTAACTTGAAAAGTGAAAAACTCACAGACTGTAAATAATGAGTGAGACAGTGGTCCTTCTTACTGATTGAACTGCAGTTAAGCTTCATTCTAATCGGGACCGACTTAATGAAAAGCTTACAGAGGTCATCCATTCCTATTCTTTGGTTTAAAGCCTTAAAGCGTCTCGTGGTGTCAGAGGGTCAAGACCCCTGGACCTCAGACTTACATGAGACAAACAGAGGACAGGACCTGGACCTGCTGATGTCTGGCTGTGTAAACTGCTAGTTATGTTGAGTTTGACTGAGTCTTTGGCGGTTAGACCCCCATTATAATATCTCTGTTTGAGGAGGACATGAAAAAATGTGTGTTGTTAAAAAAGCACCAACAAAAAATTGGAATGTGACCCTTAAGTGATCCTCCAGCAGCCGCTTGTTTGTGGGGGAGCCCTGACGAGTCGATCACTGAGTGCGGTGGAGTTTCGCAGCTCAAGGAAGAACATTTATGATCATTACTTCATGGAAATGTTTGATGGCTAGTACTATGGCTGGGACCCTATATGTCCTGTTGATGAAGTTAGGTGCTGTTCTGAGCAATATTTGTGGCTATAGAGTGGCGTTTTGGTTGAGGTTTGTTGATGGCTCCTCAGACCGCTGTGTACTGATATCGTTCCTAAAGTTGGTGTAACTAGAGAAGCAAGCGGTCAGCAACATTCATCTCTCGAGGGGGTGTCTAACCCGGTGTTACATTGTGTTTGACCAAAACTTAAATTTACACCGGACTATCCCTTTAAGTGATCCTAGCTGCAGCAAGTTCCTGATTCAAAAATGATGAAAATCTGATCCAGAGACATTAAATGTGAAGAAAATAAGAAAATGAATAATTTGTGTTTTACTTCTGATTATAAAAACTGTTTTCCCTCACAGCTGTCTGCCACCTGGAGAACATTTTAAGATTCAAATCGTACTTTTAGAGATGAATTTATGTAAACTCCACACAGAAAAGCCCTGACCCGGATTCGAACCGATGGACATGAATATAAATGGAAAATAAATGACAAGTGAGAGCATCCTATGGACACTTGTAGTGACTGTCACACTCCTGTTTCATCCCTGTATCCTGTGAAAACATATTCTATATAATATATATCTTAGATCATAACTGTGCTTTCTCTAAGTCGTAGTTTTTGCAGTGTTAATAAAAAATGTAAAGGTAACTTCGACCTTTGGTTATAAGATGGAGTGACCATTACAACACAAATCATCATAAACTAAAGCAGCAGCAGCAGCAGCAGAGTGATGAACTCTGATGCACTGAAAACATCTCCTCAGAGAAAGTCTCCATGGTGTTGAACACATGCTAGTCTTGGTCACGTGAGGGCGCAGCATTAATGGACCAGAAGTTGCTCGTAGTCTTGGCCTCAGGGGAGTGTGCACACCGAGGGACCCGTGGACCTTCACAGCTCGAGTAACTTGTCAGATTGGTCCGCAGAGTCAGCGTGGACACATGCGGAGCTTCACTCCACACATGAGGATTTACGTCGAGTTTCCAGATTCCAGTTTGTTTATTTTTTTATTCTTATTTTATTTGGAGGTTGAGTTCAAATATTCACGATGTCAGAGTCGGAGGAGAGTAAGATCTCAGTGTGGGTCTGCCGAGAGGAGAAGCTCGTCTTTGGACTCTCGAAGCGCACAACCTGCGCGGATGTTGTCCAAGTGCTTCTGGAGGATCAGACGTCCCAACACGGCCTCTCCACAGCCTCCCTCTCTGGAGGCTCATCGGCTTACTGCATCGTAGAGAAATGGAGAGGCTTTGAGAGGATTTTACCAAACAAAACAAAGATCTTACGGCTGTGGGTGGCGTGGAAAGAGGAGCAGACGAACGTTAAATTCGTGTTGGTGAAAAACGAAGCGTCTTTGGCGAACCATGGAGCCCGGAGCGCAGAGGCGCGCGTAGTACCGAGCAAACACCGTCCCTGTGCGTCTAAAGGGACCGCACGCTCTCCCATGGCGGGGATTTCACCTGAGAAACAGCGACGGATTGTTAGGAAGGCTTTCAGAAAGTTGGAGAAGATGAATAAGAAGAGGGCTCGGGCTGCGCACAAGGACGCGTCCTCCATGGAGAGGATGGAAACTCTGGTTCATCTGGTGGTCTCTCAGGACCACACGATCCGCCAGCAGGTTCAGAGGATCTCCGAGCTGGATTCAGAGATCGAGAGGCGCGAGGCAAGTGTGCATTTTGACAGAATAAAGAGACATGGGGTGAATTATGTGCAGGACACGTATTTGGAGGATGCTGCTGCGTCCAGTCGGGAGGGGGACAAGCTGTGTTCAGCAGAGACTCTTGAGAAGTTTGAGGAGTATGTCCAGCAGTGTGAGGAGGTGGTCAGACTACAAGGGGAGCTATGGGAGCAGGAAGCTCTCGTGGATATGATCACGAAGCAGATGCAAGAGGAGCTGAACCAGCGCTGGATGCAGAGGAGGACAGAGGAGCTGCAGAGCAAAGACGCGGAGGGCGCAGCGTCCCCAACCTGCACAGAGGCGGATACAGAGTCAGAGAATGAGTCGCTGCTGAGAGAAGAGAGGATCAGGACGCAGTTAGATGTGAGTTTATACGTCGGTCTGCGCCTCAACACGGATTTGGAAGCTATTAGGAGCGATTTAGAGCTGACCGAGAGGATTTGCGCGGCGAGGGAGAAAGAAATGAGGGATTTACTGGAGAAAGTGAACACTTTGAGCGTAGAGGAGGGGACAGGCGGAGAGGAGGGGTGTCAGCTCGGGACAGATGATGAAGCGGGGATGATGAGCACTTTGGAGGGGAAGAGTGAGTGGGTGGAGCAGGCCAGGGGTCTGTCAAAAGCTCACAGTGGGAACGACGACGACTCAGACACTGGGTTAAGTTCTCTGCACAGTCAGGACTCAGACAGCCAGCCTGTGTGGGAGTCTCTGGTTTAAAGTTTCACATTCAATTGATCATTTTCCAACTAGTAAATGAAGTGAAGTCTCAGGGATCAGAAACCTCTAAAGTCAATGAAATTCACTTTCACATTTTTCCAAGTAGTGCACTGACTTTATAAGGCATCATGTTAATCCTCACATGTTCCTCTTTTTTAATATCCTTAATCTGGTTGAAGAGCTTCGGTTCATTTGGTGGGTGATAAGTTTTAATATCTCTAGGAAAGTTTCAGTTTGAACATTAAAAATAGAACTGCTTCCAAAGATTTAGTTCACTTTCCCCCTGACCCAGAAACTGTGACGTGATATTAACACGCTTGGTGCTTAAATCAGGGCTACAGGGTTCAGAGATGAGGTGTGATGAAAATATGACACTGTAAAAATCACAGCGTGGCAATAGGGCTGGGTGATAAAACGATAATGATACATCCCTCGATATCGATATAAAACATGGTCAATATGTGTAGCGGCTCCAAAGATCAACCTTGTTGCTCGAGAGGAAAGTTGAGAGTCCAGTATTTGTCCGGCGTGCTATCGCTATATCAATAGACAAGCATGAGGCTTTGAATGCACTTCAGGGTGTTAAATGATACATCTGCTAATATGGTCACACACACAGGACTCCTTTTGGTGTACAGCAGGATCAAACAAAGGCAAACCAAAGTGGTGCAACGCTGTAGTATGTGATGTGAAGCGATGTAAAGCAAAGCAAAACGGTCAACAAAAATGAACCCCGCTCCCCTCTCTCAACCACAAACACCACGTGACACATACAGACCTATTACCTTACGGCTCCAACAATATGCTTTTCGATAACCGGCATTCTGCCATGATTTGGTAGACGATACGAAAGGCCAATGAAAAGAGGAGTTGCTCCGGGTTTGCTTTGCGCTGAACCAATCATGTACTGAATTAATAGCAGCTACACGCAACCCCAGCACTTGAACACATGAAGCTGACAGCACAGAAAAAAAGAAAATGAGCACTACCTCAAGGCTCAACAGATGACGGCATCGTGAACAACACTGGCACAAAAACGTTGGTGGTGTGGAAGTATTTTGTTTTTTTTAGGTCGGACATGAAGCAGAGTAATGTGCGCTGCAATTTATGTCGAGTACATGTTCTTGCAAAGTCGGGGAATACCTCAAATCTTTTTTACCATTTGAAGATGTGACACGCAGCAGAACAGGTGCAATGCAAAAGGTTACAAAGAACTAGCCATCAGTCGACCATTCAGTCCGCTTTCTCTAGTGCAACGCCTTATGACAAAACGTCAAAGAGACACAAAGACCTCACAGATGCAGTAGCTTATTGTATCGCAGAAGACATGCTACCAATAAGCACTGCTAAATTTCATTTTTTTATATCGTGATAAATATCAATATCAACTGATATGAAAAAATATATTGTGATAAACTTTTTCCCACATCGCCCAGCCCTACATGTCAATCAGCTTCACAATCTCTGCTAGTCCTGAACACAGCTCAGTGCCAGTACACTAAATCCAGAGATATAAAGTGTGAGACGTGATGCTCACAGCTGTGAAAAACAGAATCTCAGGTTTCACTGTGACCCAGACACGGTGATAAAGAACCTCTACAGACATAATAACATGGGAAGTCAAAACAGAGAGAGTTTAAAGCAAGGCTCTGCTATCTCTGACAGAACAAACCTCTCTCTCTCCAAAATGATGGTGACAGTTTATTCACAGACTGTCTGTCACAGAGAGAGAGACACACAATGAGTCCTAAAATGATGATATCTCACTGCAGGATGATTCCTGGGAGAAACAACCCAGTCAAGATTAAAGATATGAGTCTTTCTGAAGTTTAAGGACAACAATAAAAACTGAAACTCAGTTATTCTTGTGGTTCAAACACAATCCCTGTACATGAAAAGGCAATAGCTCTATCTAATTCAAGCAAAATGCTAAAATACACATCTTTAAATTCAAATGAAGGTGATTTCATTTTCCTCTCTGTCTTAACAACATCAGGACAAACACCTCTATAAAAGGCAATTATCATGTCAGCTTGGTGATGATGTTATATCAGGGAGGACTTCTTTTATTTCTCCTTTATTCTCTAAATCTCCTGACTGCAATAAACTGTTAACAATCATTTATGGTGTTTTGACTTATTATTAATCTTGATGTGCAAATGCTGAACCCTTTTTAAAATCTGCTTCTGTGCAATTTTAACCCCCCAAAAAGCAGCAGTTTATGAGGCGGCCCTTTATTAGTATGAAGAAGAAACACTTTGAGGCAGCGCAGTCAAACCCTGGAACTTTGGCTCCTCTGTAAAACATCACTAGTTGGTTGAACATGATTATTTGTCATGATATGTTCTGTTTATTTAGTTTTCTCTTGGTTTGAGTGCATTTTGTTAATTTTTTTCCTAGTGTTTCTGTCTTGTGAGTTTTCAGTTTGTGTTTGACCCTGTTTCCCTCCTGTTCTCTCTGTTTTATTCCTCAGATCAGTTTTCAGTGTTTCCTATTTTATTTTGCAGTAGCTGATTTCTTGTGTTTCTCGTCTGGATTTTCCCTCCTTCATTAATCATTCATGAGTCTCACCTGTGTCTCGTCTGCCTCACCTGTTGCTCGTTTCCCATTGTGTATATAGTCCCTGTCTTCCCCTCTGTTCTTCTTAGTTCATTCTGTCACGTGAAACAAACAGAGTGAAACAAAAAGGGAAAGGACCCAAAATGCAGAAAAATAAAGGCTTTATTTAAAAAGGACTAAATGAAAAGCATCAAAAAGTCCAACGAAAAAATACAAAAGGCAAAATCCAACTAAAGACACCGGGGAGAAAAATCACAAGGGGCAACTGGGGACACAAGCATACGCGCATACACACACACACACACACACACACACACACACACACACACACACACACACACACACATTAACATACAACGAACCAACAAAGATAAATTGAGCAAAAAGCACATTTTAAGACCGCTCCATGATGTCAACAGTAACTATTGTTTGTATATCTGATGATGTGTCTGTGAACAGTAAAGTGCCCACCTTGTCTTTATAGCTTTTTGAGTAGGTTTTCTCTAAAAATGCCCTAAAAATGAAATGACCTAAGTGTAGAAAAAAGATTTCTGACAGAGAAAAGACTGATGAGAGTGAGTTTTGGACCTAAATATGCTCGGCTATGATTGCTTGTTGTTTGGCAAAGTTAAGCAGAATTTAAGCAACTAAAAATATCTTAAATAAGTTAAAATGTAAAATATGTATTTAAATCTTTTTTTTTTTTTTTTGGCCAAAAACTGGTTCTTATTCATGCTGATGGTTAATATGACTTTTTCTCAGCAGACATTTTTTTTTTTTTTTTTGTCAAATTGAAGGAGTTTCACATATTTCAATTTTAATTACACTTTTACTTACTATTGCAAATAGTTTCCCCCACAAGTTAGACTCACAGACTGGATATAGGATGGACGCCGTCTGCCTCCTTGCTGGGTGAAGCCACCCTGGGAACAGCACCCTCTGGTGGCGGGCTGCAGTATAGGTCACAAATCCGGCCTCCTCCAGCAATCCCTATGGAGCTGTGGACAAACTTTAGAAATCTATTACACAGAATATAAATTTTTCTTCCCCCTGCTTGCGATGTTAACATGTAGTTACTGTAAGACCGGTTTGTGTTAAAGTCCGCTTTTTTCTGTGCAGCTCCATTTTTAAAGTTATTAAGGGGGTTCATGTTTTCTATGATTGACACTTGATACAGCATATGGGCGTACGAAGATTGCTTAGCTCACCCGGGGGATACGCTGTTTGAGCCGAGCGTCATCACAGTGACTGACCCGCTGAATGCGTACAATGCTACTGCGCAATGTTGGTTTCAGGACGTGGAGAAAAAAACGCAGAAATACCGAGAGCTTTTCAGCTTCAAATACGTAGACTGGAGAAAGGCCGAACTAAGTTGTTCGTAGAATAAACAGTCTATGGTTACACTGCAAAATACACATGTGATCACCATCACAGCCTCACAGAACTGGAAATCCACACAGACACACACCTCGGGGCCACCTCGTGTGTCTTTGTCCTTTGAATTTAGGACAGCATCATCAAACAAGGGGGAAGTACTGTATTACAATCTCTGTGAATGTCAGCCTTCCTGCCCCCAGCACCCACTCACTCTCATGTGTCTCTCTTTTCACTTACCTCTCCATTCCTCTGAGGAACATAAATTAGCCTGACCTGACAGAATACACCCTTTATCTCACATGCTACGAGTGCAAATGGAAAACCGTGTGCCTTATTCTCAGAGGGGAAAACACGAGTGCATTCCTCGTCTTTTGTTTCAGAGATGGGGTTTGCGTGGAGTGCTTCCCACACTGCTGAATAAGGTTGCATAAATGTCAAGTTTGGATTATTTGGAGTGTCCTCAGACCTCTGGAGCCACTCCAAGGGAAACTCAGGATTCTGAAGTGTCTCTTGTCTAAAGCTGTTCCCTGAGCTGGTTTTATTAGAAAGGCTAAAGATTTGGAGGAATGTCAGTCATAGTAAGAGCATTTTTCTCTCTAACAAAGAGGTAGCATGCATCCTAAAGCCTTTGTCATTGTTACAGAGATTTTATCAAAGATTCAGTCTCTTATTACAACTTCCTGGCACGTACAGAAATCTGCACAATTCGAATCCTGATGCATGAAAACAAAACATGCCGGAACATAACAAAGAAGATGTCACCGTCTTTGTTTTGGGGTCATGGCAGGGTTCATAGGTCATGTTATCAGAGGTTGAAATTACTGAAGCATCCCTGCCATCTGACTCTCTCTGCTGGGGGGGTCAAAAAGGTGAGCAGTAGGGGAGCAGGAGCCGATAAAGAAAGCACGCTTTAGCAGCATGACTCTCTAACTCTGTCTCCTTTTTGTGGTGCCTGAACGTTTCAGGTCCAGAGGTCTCTGCGTGACCACTAAATCATCATGTCACCTTAGTCCACTTCATAAAGAGCTGTGAGACTGTTTCCATGTATCGGGTCTAAACAAGGAGAGGAAGTGTCTCCAAACGGGACTTTCACATGGATGTCTAAGAGTGGTGTGTTTACTTTTATTTTGATGGTTTGATCTGATGTCAATGACACTCAGTGTGAGTTATTTCTTTGCCAAAATTGCAGGACATTAAACCCACTCTGATGAAAATCATGTTTTTCTTCTTGTCTACATGTTCATATGGCAATTTTCTGATGCTACAGGATATATCATGAGAAAATTAAGTGTGAAATTGCATTTCTGAGTATTTCTGCATTTAAATAGCTGTGAATTTCTGGCAGACCCAAACGGCAGGTTTAGAAACAGTGAAATTTTCTATGTAGCAAATCTAAGCTCCGCCCCCGGGGCCCTGCTATGCAGGCCAGACTCGAAGAATTAGAGAGGATGATCACGGAACAAGCGTGTGCATTAGCAGATTGCAATGCTTGTAAGAAAGCTAACTATGATATTAACTTTCATCATGTCTCCAAAGACATTAGTGTCTCAGAGCTGAATAGCTCCTATATTACCTGCTACTTCTACTACACCAGCAATGTTAGGCTACAAGCTAGCTTGAAAAGGAGTGTGCAGAGCAGTGCTGTCTCCACCCACGACTCAGAGGTGAATTGCTAATGAGCTACTGGAGCTCTAAGGAGAAAAATCTTAAAAATGACACAAGTAATGTGATTTTGGCTAAAATCTTCATCACAACTTAGGGCACATTCACATCACCCTCGTTTAGTCTGGCTAATGAGCCGTTCATGCGCGCAATCGACTAGCATATTTTGATACGCGCTCCAGATGAGTAGCAAAAGCAAAGTCAGCCTACGATGCTACATGACAGGCGAAGACAGCAGAGCGGGGTTTGTATTCCCACATCAACTAATGACCAATAACCGAACGATATTCACGGTCACGTGACTTCCGCTTCTGTTTTCTGTATCGTCTTGCCTTGGATTCGAATCAGGAAACAGACCTTTTTGGTGTGAACACGACCTTAAAGACGACTAATAACACTCGGAGTGGGACTTAAAAAATCTCATGCAAATCAAAACACTAGATCATATTATTTAATCATTAGAATTCACTTCCATAGCTTTAAAAAAAAGAAAATGTGTTTTTCAAGAGGTGTAGTGACGCAAACGTGTTGGTCCAATCAGCTGGTGAGGTTTTACTGAAGGTCCAGAAGCCTGTCTGTTTTTAACTCGTTTGTAAAAAAGACATTCATGAAAACTTGAACTTGCTGCTTTGACAGCACTGGCATGTCTAATTGTGTCTCACTATGAGCTTAAAAGAGGACTGCATACATGGGCCCCCATGTAAGAGGGGCCCTATTAGGGTTGCCAACAACCTGGGAAAAAAAGGGGACCCCTCACAAGCAGGGCCAGCAAACCCGCAGCCTTCACTCCTCTCAGCATGGTGAATTTTTAAACATTGATTTAAGTCGATACATGCGTCGATACAGGACGCATACTTTTATTTTTAAATACAGGATGATTCTGTTTTGTTCCGTTTTTCAAGGGACGGTTGGCAACCCTGGGTTCTATCAATGCTATGCTAACCCTAACCCTTTACTCTTGGGTATGAGTAAGGATCTAGAGTAGAAATAGTTATAAACAAACAGATATCAATAGTGTAACACTGATGCCGATCCAGCTCAGATATGAAGTCCCCATCACTTAGGCGGAAGGCAGCTTCTTTCACAAATATCTAGGCTCTCCAGCACTGGGCTGCAGGGGAACAGCAGAAAACTGAGGGGTCCCATCCAGCTCTGGCAGACCCTCTGACAGAAGTGTTTTGTAATGGGGGCAAGACTGGAATAAACTACAGTCCACAGGTTTGGGTATCTGATACAGGGATCACTAGGGAGACAGGGAGGAAGTAAGCTAGAATAAAAGACAAGGTCCCCTGGTCTGAGCTGAGGTCCTTGATTCCCGAGTGGTCTGAGTATATTTTTCCCACTGAGCAGTAGACGGCTATTAGATGTCTAGTTTTCTTTTTAGACCTAATTTCAACTGTCTAGATTCTGTATATTTTGGACAGAATTTAGACGTTGCACTTTAACCCGTTATTCGATAACTATTTATTTCAAAAAGCAACTGTGAGTTGCATAACTGACCTCCAAGTACTTAACGAAAATAATTATGATAGCTGTTGAGCAATATACAGTTAGACCTCTGTTAGCCGGCTAGGCTAAACTTGGTCTAAATTTGGACGTCTGAACAACTTTCATGTTTAGACCTGTGGTAGCCTTATTTTAGACCAGTTGTCTAGGCTACATTTAGACGTCTATCAGACCTCCTTTTAAGACCAAAAAATACTCAGTGGGTTCAAATAAGGTTACCACTTATAATCAAATGAACTAACAGATAATTTCTCTATATCTACTTCTAAAGTATGTTCCACCACGCCTGTTCAGCTAATTTCCTAATCTAATGGAAGTATATATGAAGCATCCTTTCAAAACAACAAAAAAACTAACAGGCAGTAAAAAAATAAATAAATAAAAAGTACCACAAATCAAAGCTTTATTAGACATAAATCATATAATGAATCCAACATTGTGAATCCTATCTTACTTCTCTTTTTAAAAAGGTGTTTGTCTGCCAGTCTCCTGTCACCTGTCCATTAGAGACTATTGCACGCTACGATGTACGCGAGAAAATGCCTCTGATATTAGAAAAAAATGTCAACACTACTTTAAACGACATCGAACTGTTCAGGAGGGAAAAAAACCACCTTGTCCGATCAATTAAAGTGAAATGACTTCCCCTGTTGTCAAAGCAAATTCCAGGCAGGAAGAAAAAAAGGAACTCCTCATAATGGCGCTACCTGCTAGACTTGGCTAATCCCTGGAATGTGTCACTTTGTGTTCATGGGAGTCTTTTGTTCAGCCTCAGAGAGGGATCCGCCATGAAGTCACTAATGAAGGTATTGACTCGAAAGCCAGGACTTCAATACCGGCGCTGAGGTGTGAGCCACTCAGAAAGCACTTGGCCTGCTGCTAACGGACTGGGGCGGCCAGTGTGCACTAATTGGAACTCATTGTGCCGCTGGCAGGTGTGTTAATCCTGCAAGACCGAGCGCTGACCCCTGGGCCCTTGCCTGTGGGATACTGTACAATCTCTCTCTGGGTTTTTCAAGGCCTGTCACCTCCTATACGAGTAGATGTAGCCTAGATCTGTCACCAACAGGCTCATAACCCTCCAACGACCATCATTCATAAAACTTTATAAAACTATAGCGTGGTTTTAGTGGTTTTAAGAATCTGAAAAAAGTCAGGAAATTTGTTCATAAAGATTCAGATTTCTCTTTTTTTGTGTAGCACATGGTAATGAATATCCCTCCAGGCAAATATATGTCATGATTCATCTCACAGGTGCGCAGTTGGCAGAAAACCCCACATTTTGAGGTTCTTCAGAAGACACCAAAGATTGAAAAGATTTTACTTGTTTGATTTTTAGATGTATGTCCTGATTAAACAGAGCGCTTATGAAAGTTGTAAAATTTGTAGTGTATCAGTCTGTCTGTCATGGGAACTTTCCTTTGAAAACAGTTGACAACACTTCCTTCCAGGCCATAGACTGTTTATACTATAGACAACTTGGTTCCGCCTTCTGCCACTTTAAGGTTTTGAAGCCAAAAAGCTCTCTGTAATTCATTTTTTTCTCCAATTCCTGAAACCAACATTGCGCAGTAGTGATGTGCGCACTCCACCACTTGCCCGGTAGCGTTGTACGCATTCGGCTGGAGAGTCGCTGTGATGACGATTGGCTGAAACAGCGTACCCCCCAAGTAAGCTACGTGATACTCGTATGCCTATAGGCTGTATCAAGTGTCAATCATAGAAAACGAACCCCCTAACAACTTTAAAAAAATGGAGCTGTATAGAAAAAAGAGGACTTAAGCACAAACCTAGGGCGACTATGTTTCAGAAGATGACAAGAGCGAGACTTAAGCGTTATGATGTGTTCGGCAACTGACCTGTGGATGGTGGCAAAAAAAATTTGGCCTTTTTTAACGTCGATTTATACCTTAAGACTGATGTCCTCATCTCCATGCCAGCTGCTCTCCCTGCACTGTGGCCTCCTAATGCTAGTTTCAATTGACCAGGAATAATAAAGTGGGTTTTAAATGTTTAAACGTCGGCACTGTTGTGTGTGAAAGATAGTTAGAGACGCCTTTCTTTGCTTCTGATTGGTTTATATTGCGTGGCGCCTTCCGTGGTTGGTTAGATTTAGGCACAAAGGACTGATGGATTGGTCTGGGATTGGTTATCTTGGTCAGCCCATCAGAGTTACTCAAACTATGGCAGAGTATTGAATGGGGGAAAATAAGCATGAGAAATGTCAAGTGTGGGTCAAATTGCGTGACTGTCACAATCAAAGCGTAACGCTGGCAGCTCTGCAAACCAGTCTTTAACTACATGTCAACATCGGGATTTACGACCTATATTGCAGCCCATCACCAGAGGGCGCTGTTCTCAACGTGGCTAGACTCCTGGCGAGGAGGCGGACGCTGTCCATTCTATATACAGTCTATGCTCCAGGCTGAGCCATGATGCTGCGGTTAAGTCACAGATCTGTATCTGTCATTATGATAGGTAAAGAAAAATTTTGTCAGGTGCTTTTCTGCTTCGATTTGAAGCCCTTTCAACTCAAAGCGATCTAAGCACCACTGAAAAAACGTAGGGAAACCAAAGGGTGGGAAATGACCTCTGTCTTTCAACACTGAAAAAAGCTGCCACAGTAGACACTGCCTACTGTTTGATAATGGCCTATGCCCAACATGTAACTTAAGAAACGGGGGCACACTCAGTTGGAGGTTTACAAAATGATGGACCAATCCACCCAACGACCAATCAACCAGTGGAGTCATTATCACCAATAAAGAGCAAGGAAATGCAGAGACGTCTGGCTAAATCTTCATGACTCATTGTAACTTCTCTTAGTAAAACTCCACACAGCTGGCTCAATGCCTTTCTTGGTAGGACTATGTTAAGTTTCTATTCGAATGTTCTCGTGTTAAGAATGAAATACTAAACTACATCTCACAAGTGTCGAAATCCTGGTGGGGCATTTCAGAATGTGCCACACCCATAAAAGTAAAGAAAAGAGATCGGTATAGAGTCCAGCTCAGCACGTCGGCTCAGTTCTCTCCCTGAACGACACTTAAACTCTTATCTTGCAGAACAGAGGCGTTCATGGGTGTGCTGGCTGTATCAGTTACAGAAAATCTCATGAAGACGTCTGGGTGTTTCTGAAATTCCCTGAATAACCTTCCTCTCTTCATAAAAAGTGAATGGGTTCTGCTTCAGGGAGTTATCACAAGATCTTTTCTGCAGAACAATCGCTGTAACCCTCCTCTCTTTATCACCTTATGGGAGACTTTGCCCTCTCATACAATAGGGATGGATTGTGTTGCAGTATTTGTGTAGGTCACGCCACTTCTCCTTTTCAGAACATACAGACTGTGTACAGTAAAGACTAAAAAAACAGTCAAAACAGCATGAAAAGGGCTTTCCTATCCTTCACTGCACCTGTTTTAGACAGGAAGTTTTAGAATGGTTTGACAGGAGCAGCTGCTGATATTCACGTTTTAGCTGAGATGCATTTTTACTTGATGAGGGAATTATTATTTAGGTTGAAGGAAAAAAATGTTTTAGTTTCCATAACAAACTTGTAACAACTTAGGAAAGGATTATCAGTTATGAGAAATAAATGTATTCATCAGAAAACAACAGAAGATGAAAACTCTGGAGCTGCCGTTGTAAATGCGAGAAAACACACTGCATGAAATCCTAAAAAGACCTTTTTAAAAAGCAGAAACCTGATATTGTCTGGACTAGGGGTGTCCCGATCTGATATATCGATATTGGATATCAGTCCGATATCAGAGAAAAAATGAATATTGGATTATATCGACCTGCATTTACAATCTCCGATATCAGCACTCTGTTTATTCCAGACTCTGTTCCAGCACCTCTATCTAGCAGTGCCTGGATCCAGCATGCAGAGCCCACATGATCACAGCAACAGTGTGTAATAACGCTCCAAGCTGCGAGTTGGAAACTTATCGGGAACGCCCCCCTGAAGTCGAATTTCCGACTCAAAAAGTTGGAGGATCCTCACCAACCCTGACTTCACAACCATGTCATAATTCAAGATGGCAGCACAGTGCATCGACAGTAAAGAGTTACAGTGAAAACTCTCATAATGTATTATTTATTAGCACTTCTGTTTTGTTTTTGTCAAATTAAACAAGTGGTTTATGTTGTACTGCCCAATGTCAAACTGTGAACTCGGTGCTATGGTGTTTGTACGAGTAAAATACTGTGTTATGCGTTGTTTACAACTGGTATAGCTAATAACTAACAACCACTGACAACGTCTAACAACAACTGACAATGTCTAACAACAACTGACAATGTCTAATGACAGCTGACAATTGTATACAACAGCTAACAACGGCTAACAGCAGGCATCCACATTGGTTTTCCCAAGTCCGCTCACTCGGATGTGATGTCATTCCCAGCTCCGATATCCAACTTCAGAGGTAACTGGAACGCAGCGTAAGGTACTAACAAAGCAGCAAGGAGGGGGAGGGATGTTGGCCATGTCATACACAAATTTGTGCTAATATCGGATCAATATCGGTATTAGCCAGTACTGAAGGCTACAATATCGGTATCTTATCGGAAGTAAATTAGTTGTATCGGGACACCCCTATTCTGGACAGGCAGAGCATGAGTTTCACTGATAACATTAATGATGGTTCATTTGTACTTCACTTCATAGTCACTGGAGAGGCTGCGCTCGTTTAAATAACAGTTCATATTAATAGTGCTCTCTGTCTAGTGGCTTTGTTGCAATAATCAAATAACACAATGATATACCTGCAGATGTGCAAACTGGGACAGTTTTTTCTAGAAGTTAGAAGTTGTCACTGTTAGTTCATTGGTTGCTTTAACTGAGTATCTTAAGCTTTGGCATCACACATCATTTACTACAGGTGTCACAATGATCATGAATAATCCAAGAATTCACATCCTTTAGTGAAGCTCGGCTTGAAAACACCAGAATACGCTTATATTTGATGAATCTGTCTCCGTAATTAGTTTAAAAATAACTAAAGCTGAAGTATGAAATGAGTTAAGAGGAAGACTACCTTTACTCATGTCACTCTACATCATTAAAACCTCACTAAGAGGCGAAGAGCTCTAACACAGATGGTGAAAAGGGTAATTATTCCTCTGTTTTGCATGATGAACTTGTGCTTATCCTTCAGTTGTTGTGAGTTTCCTTTTTTGCTCGCAGCCAAAGCAAAGTAGTAGGAGGGGTAATACTTATTATGCAATTTGAGGTGCTGATACAGATGGTGTTCGCCTGAGTAGTCCTGCTGATTAGCATTGAGAAACAGATGACAAGAGCCTCTTGTTTCTTAGTGTAATGAACTCATCCTCAACCGCTTTTATCGTAAACCTCGGGATCAAATCCTCCTCTTGTGACTGTAATTGGAGGGTTGCAGTAATGTAACTTTAAGACAACGTAATTTTGATTTCAAGGTGTAATTTTCCTGTGGCCAACTCTTTGTTTAATCACAGATATATAAAGACAGCTCCTTTTCAGGATGTTTTCTGGAAGATTTAAAGCAAATAAAAGTACAACCTAAAACAGGGTTTTAAATTAGATCATCGCTTCAACGACAATATCTGAAGAAATGTTGGAAAATGTCTTTTCATTCACAAAAATAATATTTTCTCAGGGCCTGTCAGATCAAAATGGGAAAGCACTCAAAACTCAAGTGCCCATCTCAAAAACACAGTAAAAAGAATAAAGCAGAAAAAGACTGATCTCATGGCAACCAACCATCTGGACTCCGCTGAAGGACACTCAGACTGTATTTTCGGACCAGTAATTGTATAATCTACCATAAGTGTATGTTAAAACCTCATGTAAGCTTGGCTGCATGCAAAGATTATGAAAGGACTATTTCAGAGACTTGGAAGGTGTATTTTTTCATTCACAATGATGCAGCTGTTCAATATACTGTTTCCAAAGTTGATACTAATCAGATGGGTCAGTTAAATAAACAATTTTGTAGGACAATGAGTCATTTAAAATGGTTCGACAGGAGCAGCTCTCGATGTACACATCTCAGAAAGGTCCTGAAAGGGGCGAGATATTATGAAATTCAAGTACTGATCTTTTTATATTTATGAACAAAATGACGCATGTAAGAAGATACGCAGGAGGCTTTTTCATATCTTTACAAATCTGTAACTAAATTTTTAGATCTGCATATTATTCTCTGGTAATACATCTAAAAAACATAATAATTGCAATTTTTTAAAAAAAGTGATTCTGCAGAGGGAATCACTTTCTCCTTCAGACTAAAGCAGAAAAATATTATTGAAAATATATATGTACATATTTTTTTCTTTTTTTTTAAATAGTAGTCAGTTTTATATCCTAAATGACCAAATTCGGGCTTGTACATTTTCTCATAACCACACTGAAAGGTTTGGCCTAGAATAGAAAGTGAAATAAGTCAATACTAATGATAGGATAAGGTTTAGTTACCTACTGAGTGATGGGACAAGTACCTGAGAATTTATGCGTCATATACAGATTTATACTTGTATCGATTTATTGATTTATTTAAGACTTTAAACCAAACAGCTGAGAAGAAAGAACGCTGTAAGAGTGTTGAGTCAGATACTTTGAACGGAAAGAGTGAAAAGACATCTGTCTCTAAACAAAACCATCTAATCGTAAGGTTTAGTTTTGACTAGTTTTTCATCAGATAATCATGTGACGCATTGTCTTTATTCAACAGCTACACCATCGTCAGCAGCACACTTTGTGTATCACACTTCAGGCATCACCTCCCTGAAACCCAAACATCACCAAAAAGGTTTTCATGTCTGCTGACTCACTCCTGACACATGAAGTGGTTCACAGCAGCAGCAGCAGCACACAGGAGAGGAGCAGATGTAGAGGTTCAAACTGTTCATGATTTACCTTAAAGAAGCAAAAACAGTCAGAACCTGAACACAGAACTTATTCATGCTATGACTTTGATTTGCTGTTACTCTGTGCATAATCACATGTACATATTTAGATTTGCTTCTCATCAAGAGACCAGTTTATTTTAATCCAGAGGTACTTTGTCTGAGACTGACGAGAAAAGGATCAGACACATATAATGCACACTCTACATTATGATATCATAAACATTATAATCACACTAACATGATTGATGATGATCATCCACAGCGGTGTTTCAGCCCATTAGCACATTTTAGGCTCAGATCACATTCGTCGCACTTAGACGTTTGACCTTTGGTGTTGTTTCTGCATCTCAGGTTTCACACTGAGCTGCTATTGTTTTTTTTTTTATCGAGCATAGAGGTTATTTTAGTCAGTGTTGTCTGACAGGAAAGCTAATGAAAGCTGCACAAATTAAAACAGTCGATGTTAGGACAAGATTCAAGTGTTAAGAGATCATGGTATTTCATCAAGTATAAGGTCACAGAAAACTAGATAATAATTACAATAAATCTATTTCTATAGCACTTTTAAAAACTGAAGTTTACAAAGTGCTTTGACAAATAGTCATAAAGCACATGGAAATAAAGACAAATGAAAAACGGAATTGAAGGCCATTTGCATATGTCATAATAAGGAACCCAGACAATACAAGAACTATGCAACATAAAATGAGACCATGAGGACCAAAATAAAAACATCAAATAGGTTAAAAAAAAGAAAATAGAATAAAAAGGGGGCTTGAAAGCAGAAAACAGGATAGGAAATATAAAAGAGAATATAATTAATGATAATAAAATAACAAAATAATAATGATAATAATAGCAATTATAATTTAGAACAACAGAAATGAGCAATAAATGAAATAATAAAAGGCCTAAAAGATAAAATAAGAAAAGACTCAAAGTATAACAAAAGCTAAAAAGACAGTAAAGCCGAAATAAGAGAGGTAAAAAAGAGATAGAAGATAGATGGCTGGAAGATTAAAATTGTTTCTTTCTAACAGGGTTGCTGTAGTTGCAAAAAGCATCTTGTTTTTTTTTTTTTTAACTAAATTCTCTCTGCTCACATTTTTTTTTAAATAAGGTATAATCCAAAGAAATAAAGCCACAAATCTGTGAAATGGTTCCTGTTAATTTGGGACATACTCTAAATAACAGCAGGTATGACTCGGTCTAATCACAGAGATGACTTTTACCTCGGGATTCAGAAAATGCTGCATCAACCCAGACGGCTCTCTTTAGATTTGATTTTACACATGCCAATATGTGATACTCTGACACTCCATCCTTTACAAAGCGAGCAGATGGTTGGATCAGGTCTGAGTTAACAAGGTGTAATGTTGCATGTTAGCATCTCTCTGCCTGAATCTAAATTAGATTAGGAGACAGCACAGTCTGTTCTCAGCCAGCTGCCAAGAAGGGCAAAAAAAACTACTGAAAGGAGAGAAAATAGTTTCTCAGCTCACCTTGAAATTAAACACTCGTTGTCAGGAGAAGTGTCATGATTTATCTTTTAATTTCAAGTCTAGCAAAACCTTAATTGTGACTTTTTCTGTAGATAAACCCTCGCCTGGATCCATCTGAGTCAATTGATGAATAATGTACTTATTCATCTTTGTTTGCATGCTGTTAACATGGCAGATTTCCCCACTGTGGAATAAATAAAGGTTTATCTTATCTCATCTTATCTGAAGCTTGCTCTTTTGTGTTCTGACTCAGATATCTGTGTTTTAATACTGACGGGCACATAAACTGACTGTGAGCTTGCACAGAAAATTCTCCAAATAAACGTTACATGAATAAATGGAGAATCATGATAATTGTGTTTGGTGGACGCCAGTTCAGAAGTGGTGTTTTTTTAGATTCTGTGGAGGGGGCAGACTCCACAGAGTCTCCCTGGCAGCAGGATTTTGGGTTTGTGAGAGAGACTTCGCAGAAAAATGGACTGCTCTGCACTCAGTGACCTCTGGGTGCAACTGCAGAGATGACTAGTCTAATTGAAGTCTGGCTTTCAAACTGTAAATTTCGGATTAGAGCCAAGCAAAAGCCTCTGCTATAGTGGCAATGGATAGTAAATTTAGCTTAGCAAGAGATTTCCGGTGAGTAATATCACCAAAGTAGTAAAGTTACAGTGAAATTTAGTCTGACTCTTCTTCTTTTCTCTGTTAACCAGTAACGGTAAAAGAAAGTACGCACTTAAAGAAGACAGTCTTGAAGGTTTGTGAATGTGTTTCACTGTAAAAACCAGATAGATTTGTCAGAATGTTTTTTAAGAAGATAAGGTCACATGCAATTGTGTCCTCACTCTTTCATTAGTCTATAAACATACCAGACAGTTATGTAATTCATTAAGTGTTCATTTCAAATAAAACTCTTACCTTAGATCTTGATAGATGCAAAACAGATGGGCTACTATTAACTTGGCATAAAAATTAAACCCCCTTTAGTAAGAATTAATACAACATCTCTATTCAAGCACTCCTTAAAAATTCACTGATTGTTTGGTGATTTTTATTTGTAATGTAAATTAAGGATTTAGAGGCTCTTAATGTTTACAAATCTGAAATCAGAGGGTTTTTAATATGTTTGTTGCACACTGCTGCCATCATGTGGTGAGAAAAGGTGAAGCTGTAAAAAAATAACCATGGATAAACAATGTCAGAGGATAGACTCGTGATTGACTGGAAAAGTTTGATCCCCCCCCCACTGCTGCTCAGAAAATCAAAAAAGTGCTGGATATTTGTCTTTTTCTTCTTCCAGGCAGCAGAAACACAAAAACATGATAATCATAGTCAGTGTAGAGGCTGCTTTTTAGAGATCGTGAATCAAGCAGTTTATCGCCTCATGAAAATATAAAAAGGGCACTGACTCATTCCTCGGGGTTATTATCATTATTTTGATTAATACAATTTTAATCAACTCTGCCTTGTGCCTGTTAGATCTGAGCAGCAGGACTGAAAAGTAGCTTTTAAACTCACATATTTGATGTAAAACACTAAGTGGCATGGTCATGCCGGCCTTGAATCAAGTGAGTTTATCATATTTTGGATTTTGCATGATTTCTGCATTATGTATTAGTCCACCTAATTTCTGCAGAGATTTTAGTGAGGCTGTAATGAGAATAAATGAATGAACCACATTAAATGGGACATGCGTTAAAAAGACCTCTGTGTTGTTTTGTCACTAGAAGACATAATCAGACTAAATCAGCAAAACTACATCATGCAAAACTGAACCTGCTCATCATGAGCTCTGCTGTTCCTTAAAGCTCTGTGGTTAAGTTTCGAGTTCTCCAGAATACTTGTTTGTTTTAGCAGCTCTTTAGTTTTTCTGCTTTCATAAGGATATTTCTATTTTAGGCAAAAATCTCCTAAAAATCCAAACTAATGCGCAGCAAACACGAGCCAAGTATGTGAGGGCAGCTCATTAACATAGAGGGGAATTTGGCAGCGAAAGAGCCAGGACTTAGAGGAGTTAGTGAAGAGAGGAACGGAGCTGAACAGTGAATGAATAATGGACTAAGATTCTTCAGGTGGCTACAAACAGGACCGAGAACAAGCAGTAATTAGATTATACTAATATATTTCAACAGCTTCTTGCACAGCTCACAAGTGGTTCAAAATCCATTAATACAGATTTAAAGTAATTTGGGAGGTTAGTCGTTTGCAAGGAAACAGGGAAGTAATCCTGTTTTTATAATCAACTGAAAAAGTAGAAAGATCTCTAATTCAACCCCCAGCTTTGTTCATTTTGTTTCGCTGATGTCTCTGGACGCTGGAAATGTTGCGGGTCAGGCCAAAGCCTGACTCACTGAAATAAACAGAGGGAGGAAATGCAGGAGGGATCACGTTTCCTTGCAGGCTCAACGGCCGGGCGATTGTTTGGAGAGAATGAGGAGGAAGTCTGATAGGAAACGATTGTGATCTACTCTTCCCCAGCTGGCGCTCAAACACTGACATCAGTGGGAAGTTGGAAGAATGGATTGATCCAGCATTGTCGTGTTATGCGGCGTCAGACGTCTTGTGACTCTGACTGGGGTTCAGATGTGATCATTCAATGGCAGTAACCTGTGATCTTACCTGTGACACAATAAATTTGTCTCTTTCTACCCTCCTCTGTAGAAGAAAGCTCTTTGTTTACAGAATGAAAATGCTGGTTATGAGTCTAGATGTTACTTCAGGGTCCAACTTTTTACCAGTATGCATTTAAAAACTACAAAGAAATTGTTAGATTTTGTGTAAAACTATTGGCTGTATATTGCTCACTCATATCCTTTGCAGAGCCTTAGCTTGCTGATGAAGCAAATTACTGCAATTAAGAAATGATCTATTCAGTCTTGGCCAATTTGGCATCTTTACCTCAATGGTTGCTGTACACTGCAAAAACAGCCCCACAAAAAAGAAGCAAAATGTTTTTATATTTAATCAAATAATCTTGTATCAAGCAAAATAATCTGCCAATGGGGTACGCTGTTTTTGCTCGACAAGAATTCTCAAAATAAGAACAAATTTCTTGGCCCTGACAGACTCAAACGAAGCTTAAAACTCGACAGAAAATCTTGTATTAATCTAATTTTTTCTACAGCAAGCAATGAAAAATGAAGATGAAGTTACTTAAAATTAGAATTTTAGTCTCTTGAATAAATGAACTTCAATAAAATACACCTTAATCTAGGATTATTAACGAGCATGACAGTAGGTCAAATAAGACATAATTTCTTCAAACAGCAGAGCAAATATAAGTGATGTTGTTTTAAATCAAGATACCAAAACATTCAAGCAAGCATGTGGAAAGCAAGCATGTTCTTTACTGTTTTGCAGTTTTCATCTGTTCATTGTATTATGTTGTCTGTCGTACAGACTAGCCTACTGACATCTTTATATGTCCGATAATGTAGGAGGCAGCAGATTCTGTCAGATTCAAATGACCTGCGATGGAAATCTTAATTAAAAAAAAATCAACTTTTATTGTTTCATGGCATTCTTAAATTGAGAATTTGTAGACGTCTTACACGTCTTATGAGACGAATGAGCTTGTTGCTCCGCTGGATTTGATTGTGAAACATTTTTCTGCTCTATTTCTGGTTCATTCTATCTCAAAATTAGCAGGAATATCTTATCAAGAAAAAGTCATTTTCTCTTAAAATTAGATCATTTTTCTAATGCCAAACATGCTTGACAAGTTTAATATTCTTTTTGTACAAAAAATAAGACTTATTTTCTTCATACGAGGCTGTTTCCTTTCTTGAAATGTCTTTTTTTTGCAGTGTAACTTCAGTTCAGTGCTTTCACAGGCAGGGTTTGTACCTCACAGAGAGGACAGTTCATGTACATTACACTGGCTTATCCTGTATATGTCAGCCTGGTCTGCTCTGCTGGTAACAATGACAACAGTGTTATGGTTCAGTCTACCTATGGACAGTTAATCCATTATCTGTCCTCGTTCCCTCTGAGCAGACTGCTGTGAGTGCTTCAGAGGAGAGCGATCGATAACAACAGCAACGACTCAAAAAATCAAAGACGGCTCATTCGTCACAATAAGAAGCTGCTGGTTCAGTTTTATGAACCTTTGTGCCAAAGAGTACATTATCAATCCAATGTAAAGAGCGCTTTGAGGGTCTCTGATAAAGCGCTATAAAAATCTGATGCATTATTATTATTATCATCAATCAATACTGTATCAACAACAGTCATTTTATAGCCTAGAATATGTTATTATGTGTCATTAAAGTGTAAAATATTGTTCTGTATATTTTCGTCTCTAAAATGTGTTTGAAATGCAGAGGTAAAACTCATTATTAATAGTATTTTTTAATATATTAATAAAGCAGGGATGATATTGAGAAGGCCTTTCAAAAGTTTGAAGCGTACCATCATGTGGTAAAATCCTATCGTCTTGTCAGTCCATCTGAAGTCCCACTCCGATTGTTTTGTTTTTTTACTACTTAAAATGTTATAAATGGGGTTTAAACTGTGATTATGATGTTACCTGTGTCATTTTCAAGGTCTTTTCTTCTGCAGAGCTCCAGTTGCTCATTAGCAGTTCGCCTCTGGGTCGTGAGCGGAGACAGCGCTGCTCTGCACACTCCTCCTCTTCATGCTAGCCTGCAGCCTAACGTTGCCTGTGCAGTAGCAGAAGCAGGTAACATAGGGGTTATTCAGCTCTCAGACACTATTGTCTTTAGAAACATGATGAAAGTTAATATCAAAATTAGTTTTCTTACGTGCATTTTAATCCGCTAACGCAGACACTTGTTCTGTGATCGTCCCCTCTATTTCGCCGAGTCTGACCTGCGTAGCGGGGCTCCGGGGGCGGGGCTTGGATTTGCTATGTAGGAAATCTCACTGTTTCTGAACCTGCCGTTTGGGTCTTTCAGAAATTCACAGCAATTCGAATTAAGAAATATTCAGAAATACAATTTCATACTTCTTTTTCTCATATGTCCTGTAGCATCAGAAAATTGCCATATGACCATGTAGACAACAAGAAAAGCATGATTTTCATCTGAAAGTGTGAAATCCATACAGCACAGTCTGAAGCAGCTTCCTCATGAGTTCAAGGTAACAAAAAAACCTTTGATTTAATCCCCCCCATGCCCTTTGTAAAACAAACTAAATGAGCGTAACCGTGTTTAAGAGCCTTTTTTTTTAATCTTGTGGTGTCTGCAGTCCAAAGTGCTGGAGGGCGGTGAACATCACATGAGGAAGCAGCACCAGATCAGGCTGAAGAGGATGTTTTTGAAAAACTGCAGGCTGTAAAGTTATAAACACTGAGGGCTGTGAACCCCAGCATTCAGGGCAAACTGAGGGCGAATTTGCCAGCGTGATGTTTTTCCAACAAAACTTCAGTACAGACATTTATAAATGAGACAAGAGCTTTGTGTCCAGAGTCATCAGTTTTTCTTTGACAATTAAATTAGAGGAATCAGCGTTATGTAAATTATGAAAGATTATCCACTCGGGATAAGATGTCCCTGTCAACTGTTTCCTCTATCATTACTCATAGCAGTACCACAACAATTTCTTCTGTCATGTTTTACAATTAGTAATCAAGTATAGAAAAATTATGTTTTGATGTCTTTATTTGATGATTTTAATTTGAATTTTTTTAACAACAATTTCAAGCTTTGCACAAAAAGATTCGGACCACCACGACAGCCTGTGCTCTGCTTCATATCTCAGTTGTGGGAGGAGCATAACATCACATTTCAGATCCAGCCGATGAATACATACCCAATTACAAGATTCAAAGACATCTGAGGAGTTCAACTGGATATTATGATTTCCTCCGTCACCAGAGAGTCACATTTTTTATTTTTTTTTCTGTAACAAGTCTTTTTGTTCTTCCCCCAAAGCACATTGAGTAGTTAGGCCACTGAAGAGGATTAAAATCATTTATCTTTGAAATAAAAACTGTGAGAAAACAGTGACACCACAGAAGTGCTCAGCCAAATCCATCAAATTAAAGTACAGAACATTGTAAATAATATCGTTAATAATAAGTGTTTTACTGATCTTTTCCCCCCCAAACAGAAAAATAAATTCCTTTGGTCAAGTAAAGAACAAAATGAAAATAACAGTGAACTTTTTTTTTCTTTAAGCACTCTCATGTCCTTCATGATTCTTTCTCCACAGTCACCCAGGTTCTTGAGGCTCTAAGGCTGCAAAGGAGGTGTCAAGGCAATATGGTTATGGTGCCCCTGGCGCTCCATGCTGCAGCATGCTGGGAGGAGGACTAGAGGAGGAGGAGAGGGGCAGAGGCATTGAGAGAGGACGGGGTGTGTCCTCAGACAGCAGGTGAAGGTGCATCAGGGTCAGGCTCATTGCTGTAGTTGTTGCTGTAGTGATTCCCACTGGGTGGGTGATTAGGAAGGATGTCCAGTTCATCCACCTGAGGGCCAGGGTGCATCACCACCAGCTGGTCCTGGGGGATATCTGCTGCTGCTGCAGCCAGGTTAGTGATGGACTTTGATTTCACACACTGAAAGTCCACATGGCGACTTTTACCCTCTTCCTTCTCCCAGGACATGCGGATGAAGGGCCTCTGGACGTAGTTGTAAATTACCTCTGGGCGACCTCCTGGTCTTTTTTTCACTTTCTCTTTATATGTTGGATAACCTGCAGAAGGAGGAGAAGAATTTAATCATCAGCTCAAATTGTGTTGACTGAGTCTCCTAGGTCTTTTCTTTTTCTCAGTTTATTCGCAGCATGTCAGCCTCTACTCTCTCCTCTCTGTTCTGACTTTATCCACAATCTTGTCTGCTCTAAGGCATGAAACAGACATGAAAAAAATATCCTCTATCTAGAAGCAGCTCACCAAAATTATTCATCTGAGGGGAAATTTCCTTGTTTAGGCAGCATGAATCTCACTGAATGATTGCTCTGCTGAAAAGACACATAACTGTTGACAAACTTACCTTCAATGCCCAGTCTTATTTTCTTTAACCCTCTTTCCTTCAAGACTGATTTGGCGACATCTCTGTTCTCAATATACTTGAAAAATCTGTACAGTTTTGTGCTGTAGATGACTGAAGAAAGAAGAAGAAAGAAACAATCAAGTTTATTTTTCATACATATATATCCAGCCTTGTTTTTCTTAACTCTCCATGACACTGTACTCACTTTGTGAATACTCTTCTCCCATTTGTGGAGGATATTCTTCATCCCAGTCGACCACATCATCGTCAGTCAGGACGACAATGTGACATTCCCTCTCTCCACTTTGGGCACTGGCCACCATCAGAGGAAGAACCATTTCCTCCAGGTAAAACTCAAACTGTCGCCGAGCTCCATCGTTGGACAGCTCATGCATCAGGGCACCTGATCACAAGGGAGACGGAGATTATAAGTGAACCAGTGATTCTTAGAGCTCTTTAAAATTTATGAAAATTTCCACCTACGAAAGAATTAAGACTATGATGCTGTTCTTGCTGCTTTAAATATTTAATATATTTCTAATGTGTATAATGTGTTGGTAAAAGTGGCAAAGCTGCTGTTACATGCGTAACACCAAGTGGATTCAGCGCCCCATGATAATACTCACTGAGGTCTCTGCATTTAATGGTGCTGTAGTCGAAGGAGATGCATAGATAGTCACACGCCTCCCGCAGCTCAGGGATGGAGATTCCATCAGGACAGCGGATTATCCCGGATTTGTAGTAATCCTTCAATTAGAAGAATATAATATCAAACACTGTCTTAATCCATTAACTCATACATAAAATGTACTGTACATTAAAAAGGCACCACCGACATTTGGCCAAAGATTTCACACAGAAAAGCAAATCAGTCTCACTTGCTCGGCAATTCATCAGGTTAGCCTTTACTGGTTATTCATCATGTTTCAACTTTTTCAAGTCGGATTTTAAATGAGCCAACAAAAACAACACCCAGTCAGATAATAGTGCCGTTGACTTTCATTAGATAACAATGTGTTGCATCAATATACTGACGTGTGACACTGAATTAAAGAATCGGACTGCAGATCTCTCTCTTAGATGTTGTTGAGACCATGTAGGGAAAACGACATCTATCAGTGAATCTAGTCAGGAGGTATTAAGCTGTCAAACATTTACAAGCCAAGGAAGTTATCAGCAGCAGCTTGTTAGTTACAGTCATTAATTAGTTATCACTTTTTGACAGTTATGCAATATATCTTAAAAACAAAGTCCTATGAGATCTTAATTATCAACCACAGGTTACTGGGATGCAGCTGGTCAGATTAAAGGAATGTCAAACACAGCAGCTGCTCTACAAATCATTAATTTGAGGGAATAACAGTCAGGTTTGTTGATGATATTTCTTTGTTTTAATCCGTTTTGAGGCTGTGGTATGTTGAGCTTTTGAAGTGCAGTGTGTTATACTGTGAGTCATTTCTATTTTGGTCCGCTTTTGTTAATATAAATATAAACAATGTCAGGAAGACTCACCAGAATTGCTCGGAAAACTGTTGAACTAATTCCCTCGGCCACTTCGTACTCCCCCTTCTCGTTGGGCCGTGTGAAATTGTGCTCCCTTCCAGATCCAAACATTCTGAGATAAAGAAGCTTCATTTAGCTTTAGGAACCCGAAATCGCAACACCAATTTCATACCAGTGCAAAGACGTTTAACTAAAAGTAGTATCATTGTTTGAATTATTAACGTTTACAGAATAAGAAGACAACTACAGTTTTGTTAAAAGTATACTGTACCTGCCCAACATTGTATTGGGTTGTGCAGTGAAGATGGAAGGATCTACGACAAAGCGCGTGTTGTCGACGATCAGAGTGACTCTCTCTGAGGTCCGAATGTTTCGGCTTCCTACTGTGGCACCAGTTCCTCCCTCCTTTGGATTCTCGTAGACGAAAACCATTTCTCCAACTCCTAAGCTCTTGAAGGTACCTTCAGTACTGGACAGACTGCTGTTACGACTGCTTACCACCCCGCTGCTGCTGGAGCCGCTGGGTGAGACTCTCTGAGGCCGTGGGCTACTGGGCCTTGATGACGAGCCACCATCTTGTTCACAATCAACACACAGAAAGAAAGAATGAAAACACCCGATCATAAACCAGTAAAAGCTCATTTATAGATTTAAAGATTATCTGTCTCTTTGGAGGTTTTTATATTTATGAGACACACTAATGGTATCTATTTGAGTACCGTATTTTTCGGTATGAACACGTCTATTTTCATACATAAGGCGCACCGGATTATAAAGCATATTAAGCCAAACAAAACAGTCAGATAAGTCAAACTTTATTAACTCATTCAAAAACTCTGCGAGGCTACGGTAGCTGCAGTGCTCCGACAAGCCAAAAGGAATTTAAGTGCGCCTTATAGTGCCTTGTCTGTTGCTCGAGTATATGATTTAAGACAAAACCACCATGGACAGGGCATGTGTTTAGTACCTTGAAATCCAGACTTAAAGTTTGCACTTAATTGATGCACAGGAAAATACACCAAAGGTATACACCATGCCTCAGCTGAAAGTTCATAGATGCAGTCAGCTGTTCTCTGCAGCTGCTGCCAAAAGCAGCAGACCTCCAACACTACTTCCATATAAGCCCTCTATTCTTTCCATGCACACTCACCACTGTTGTGTTGGCGGGTGGGTGAGGTGACGTTGCGAATGCAGGGGGTGAGCTGCCCCTCTCTCTCATGCGAGGAGTCCCTGGAGCGATCGCTGGAGCGGCGGCGGTCACGTGAGCGGTCACAACCTCCACTGGCACCATGCAAGCTCATCTTCCTCTCTTCTGCCTCCACTCGAGATGCTCTGGCCTGACTGCTGCTTTTCAAAACAAAAGCATACCAAACATTCTTCCCTTTTTTCTCAAGACGGCAGGGTTATTTTTGTCAAGGTTTTTAGGTTGCGGTGAACACACAGGTTCACGGATTCCTGCTGTGCGTGCTTGAGCGCATTACAGAAGTTGAGCAAACTAATTGTGTAACAAAACCCGAGCATGAAAAGAACTCACATCTCACTGAACATGACACCAAATTACACCTGAACTTCAACTGTGTTTGTTTTTGACAGGTAGTTAAAATGTAATTGCTCTCAAAGGTAAAAAGTGTAAAACAATACCAGTGTGGTCCATTTATCCAGTAACCTCAAGTATGAGGCTTTAAAAACTAGGTAACAACCAGACCTACCGCATTCTGTGAGGGCTATAAAAGGATGATGACACACATGCTTAAAATGCAACCAAGTCCTGTTGCCGTCACTTTTGATGTCTAATCTGACACAAAAACAACATCAGAGACGCCTGTGCCTGACAAACAGAGAGAAATATAATGAAACAAACTAAGAATAGAAAAAAAGGCGATCACATCTGGTTGGGTATAAAAAGACTGACAGGAAGAAGTAAATTTCACAACTCCATGTTCAGCTAAAAGGGTCCCTGAAATGTGAAACTTGATCACTGAGAGAGAAATCAACATTCATTTCTTTGTTACTTTGTCAACAAAGAAACAGGAAGAGACAATAGCTGCAGGGAAAAGTATTGTCAATACAAACCCACCTCAGTCGAACATCACAGACACAGCCCCCTTGGTCTAACACTGTATGCAAAGTCTCAGCTCTTCCTTTCTGCTTGGTTCTACTATCCTTTAAGTTACTAATATATAATAAAGACAAACAACCTCACCTCACAGAGAAAGTAAGGGGATCCATTTCCACAAACTACACTAACATGATAAAACAAATAAGGCCACCAGAATAAATTTGAGATGTTTTTTTAACTGTATTATGAATTGAATTACATCAAACTCAACCCCTGTACACTTCAGTGAACTAAACTGCAATAATGGAAAACAGTTCCTTTATAAGCACAGGTAGTATGACACATTGTTAATAAGGATTTTCTACATATACTAACCAAATTATGGCCCAGAATATATTTTAGATATCGGTGGGCAACACTGATAAAAAAGTCTTCTTTACAGATAAAAACATAAAGCTCAATGTCAAAAAACACCTTGAATAATAAAATTACAAAGAGCAGACAGATTTAGGCAGTTTGTAACTCTGCCCATCAAAGCGCTTTAACTGACATCAGATTTTGTAAATGGACAGCTGATATTGATTACTGTTGGTTTTTTGTGTTATTTATTATTTCCCAAAATTTGACAACAGGTATATAAAATATCAGCTTCCTTTGCAAAAACTGTTCAGCCAGCTATTTCATCATGGATGTACTTAAACTTAGGGCTGGGCGATAAAACAATCATGATATATATTAACAATCAAAAGTCAGAGAGACACAAAGCAGTGTTTCCCCTAGATTTTTTCTGCAGCGGCGCTTCTCTCTCTGTGTGTAAATCAATGAATGGAGGGGAACACTTCAAAGACCTCACAGATGCAGTAGCTTATTGTATTGTAATCATTCTCTAAACTCTGGTTGTGGTCTACATGTCAGAGAAGAATCAACAAAGATATCAGTCACTCAATTCAAGAAAGGTACAGCAGAGTTATAAATAATAAAAACAAACAGCTTCAAGAGAAACCTCAAACATTAGATCTTTTGTCATGTTGTCATCTCACCTGTTAATGCCACATATGTAGCTGAGTCGCATTAGTCGCTGGTGTAATGGTCCCAGCGGCTCTGACAGACTGACTGCTTTAAGGCTCACCTCGAGTGTTTGCAGAGTTTGCGGGGTCGGCTTGCTGCGGTTTGATCCCAGTTTTCGGTGTCACTGGAGTTACTGTCATATGACTGCAGACGCTCTGCCATCACCCGAATAGAGGGGAGTCCGGTCTGGATCTTTCACCGTTCATAATCTGGCTAATGGCGAAATCAACAAATCAGTTCAATCCCCTGTACATCAAAACCATGAGCTAGCAACTGTAAGCTTTCCTTAAATCTATGCCTGTGGCTTCACGTGTGCTCACGGTTGTTTTCAACGCTAAATACCTTTAGGACTATTTCCCACATCGGAACATGATCTTGCCAACGCTGCGGCTAGACTGAGTCAGCCAACGATTTGGCTGTCTGGTTTTAGGTATTAGCCTAGCTAGCCATCTAGCTAATACTAGCTAACTCTGCTAACGAGGTTCCAACATTATCAACATGATACTTTGAGAAAACTGTGTGACTAATGAAGCCACCCCAGCACTACAGACATGAATACGGTCATAACTGAGGCATATATGTGATGAGAAATAGAATAGGTACCCGGTTGTCAACGTTTCCGCCGTAGAGTAATCCCAATCGCTCACAGGCTAACCAACCATCTCCGTTCAAAAACACTCACCCAGCTGACGTACGACGTAACGACCGTTAATCGTTGACGTGCTGACGCAAACACGTAGCATGAAGTCGTTTCGTTTCAAATGAAAGTTTGTTTGGATGAAGATGAAGCATTTTAAGGTGAAAAATCGATGTCTACCCTCACACGAAGAAACAATTTTATAACTCATAAAAGACAAAGAGAGGTGACTCTGGTAAGATCTCCTGACATAACGTATTACGAAACTTTCATGTCCTTTTTTTGGCTAAATTTAAATGGTGGCACACATGTATGAGCAACGTTTGGACGACAAAATATCGAAAGATATCCATAAAATGTTTTGATAAATGATCAGTTAATTAATAATTCTGATTAATTGAGATTAATAAATCTTAGTTCATGATGCCAGAGTGCAGAAATTTGGATTTAGTAAATGTAACAGTGGGCTCTGGCCTGTGTCTCCACTTCACTGAGTGTTTTTCCCTTAAGTAGGCCTCCTCTCTCCTTCCATTAAAATAGTCTGGCAATCCTTGATATTGTGTTTGGGTCACAAAAGGTGAAATCCTTAAAACAATGTAGCCTGTATATTAAACAAGAAAGGACGAAATGATATGGGCCACCAAGTACTTTAGAGCAGGGGTTCTGACCATAGACTGTATATAAGATGTGTGTATATATATATATATATATATATATATATATATATATATATATATATATATATACTGTCTATGGTTCTGACCCACATTTTCCCATGGTCCTTAAGCCGTGACCCACTTTTATAGAATTTAAACAAGCATATTTTTTATGAAAAAAAAAAAAAACTTTAATGACTCTACTTTTTAACATGAATCCACTTGTTTTATTGAGTAAAGTGCATTTCAGAGCACATGACAGGGACAATGTGAGGACGACAAATACTGAAGTTGCATGTACAGAAAATATCAAATATCTAATAAATATTGAATGAAATATTTACTTTTTGACCAGCTGTTGGTGACCCATCCAAAACGTGTCCGTGACCCCCTTTCTGGTCAGGACTCACCAGTTGAAACTCACTGCTTTAGAGGATGTTATATACCATAGCCATGCTTACATCTATGTTCATTGGAAAGGCGATTTTGTCAGGATAATTTCAATGCTTACAAATAGTTAAGCCCCATCTGATCATGAGAGCACTCTCACAATAGCAGCCAAACCCCCATACCTTGAGTATTAAAGATTTAACATTTAATTTTTAGTAGGGAAAATGTACTTTTTGTTAAAGGAATCAAAGTAACTCAGGATGGAGTGGTGAGGCTTTTTAGCAGACTACTGGTAAGACAGCAAGTATGAATCAACAAAGCTTGCTTAAAGATGGCTTTATGTTTGCCATAGAGAGACACAAAGTATTAAAGGAGAATACTTAATTTGCTGATAATAACCAAGTTTATATGTTATGCAAATAAAAAAAAACACTTGTACAATCATAAGATGTCTAGCAAGTTGTTACATGTTTCAGCTCTTTATGAACACTGAATGAAAGAACCTTACAACAACCTTGTTAGTCTTTGAAATAGAGACAATCCTATTTCATTTCTCAGGATAAACAACGGTCGAATTTTCAGTACAGAGAGAGGTAGGTGGGTTAAAACAGAGATTTATTCAGGGTGTGTTTTGAAAATGATCAGGAGTAGAGGAAAAGACAAGAAGTCTGTCTCATGCTCCCAGTAAAGCAGATCATGCCAAAACAAAACTGGAACACACAAAAATCACTTGTATTCATTATTCTTGAAAATAATACAATACAGGATAAGACTAACTGCAGAGTTGGTCCTTGTTTTCTCACCAGAATACAATGTAAACATTAAAAATTACAATTTGAAACAGAGAGTTTAATACCTAAAGAAATGATAACGTGTATTTTTCAAAACTTTGTTAGGTCCAATGGTTGGATGTATTGTTTGTTACTCTTTTAATTATGTGGCCCAGTACTGCAAACCGAACAAATTAATGAGATTTAAGATGAATTAGACATTAAACCAATGAGCAAGAAATTAATAGAAAAAAAAATTACATTAAAAAAATTGTATACAAAAATAAATAGATGAATAAATAAGCTGTAAAAAATGACAAACATAACAAAATACTTTTACCACAAATGAAGCTTCTGTTAAATGAAGAACAGCAGGGTGGTGAATGAAACTCTTCTTTCTTCTGAGCCAAGAAGATCATTTTGGAAAAAGATTTTTAATATATTCAGATTGTCCTTGTTGTGGTTTAACACTGGCAACAATGATGTCCTTCAACTTTTCCTGCAGCCAGTCCTGTCTGTCTCCCACTTGTTTGTGTTCCCGGACATTGTGCATGAGCTGAACCTCGCTGATGGTTCTTTTTCTGTCAAATTATTAAAAAAATCCCTTTTAACTTTAAGAACATATTTATCATCCATTTGTCTTTTAATTCAGTTATTATCTTTAAATTTATTTTCAGACCAGCCATGACATTGAACAATGTCAAGACACATAATAATAACAGAATTTACCTGATCGGTTTAGCTTCGGTGTATAAATTGACGAGGAAAAGTAGCAGAATGAGAACCAACATTTCCACGTGCCTCAAGGAAAACATGTTCAATAACTAGAAAAAAATGGTAAAAAAGATCATGGTCACAACATAAATTTCACTGTTTTCCAATCTATTAAACTCTTTTAATTATATGTAATTGTATAATGATTAATTTAAACGTTGACAGACTATTATACCTTGCTTACCTGTTTTTTTCTGTCCTTAAATCCAAAGGAAAATGTAGGGAAGAATTAGTCAAAGACGTACTGTGTCAGTGTGGTAAAGAAGTCCAACTTGTTGATCAGCCTTTGGTGAGAGGAACGTCCTCTCCTTTATATACAGCGTGCCCTCCCCTGGTCATCAATACAGCGTTTTCCCTGTTTGATGCTGATGTCACTTTTCTAATGCATCGATGGGTCCAGGCATCTGTTTGACACCACCTCCACCACCACTCACTGCTAACTCTTCTTTCAACACCTCTGCAACGCGTCCCGCTTGTCAAACAGTTTGTGAGCTTGTAACACTTAGTGCTGAATAATAAGACGTTTATAAAGATGCATAATCTGTGCATCAAATGTGAAAGAAAAGCCTTTATTAGTTCAACATCTCTAATTAGACATGTCTCATGCAATTGGACTGCAGTGAAAACATATACTCTCCAAAAGGCAATGACTGTCAAGTTTAATTTATTAGCAATGCAATTTATTTTATGGTTCACCTCATGCAAGCATCTAAAGGTCGTGAAGAGGTGCAGCTTGGCCAGCTTGAGGGGAATGAAGCAAAGCGACAAGCCCAGAGCTGGCTGATAGGCATTCTTCAGTAGAAGAGACATGAGAAAGATAGACACTAATATCAAGAGCAAGGTGTTCATATTCCAACCAGCATTTTGAGCATGCAGAGCTCCCTGACTCTTAAACAAATAAAGTTAAGTGTCAAAACCTCACAGAAGAATGTGTCGGTGCCTGTATCTTTGATCAGCTGTAGATCTATTGGAGGCCTCTGGATGTAACTGAATGTAGAAATGAAAAATAAACACACATCTTTCATAATATTTAAAAGTTTGTTTTGAACCGTTAGCCTCTGTAAGAAATCAGCTGTATGATGCAAACCCTTTGAATTTATAAGCCCATCGTACGAGTGGCCAAACCTTATCCTATTCACAGAAAAATATGCATTGCAAACAAATAGTAAACTTTTAAGTGTGCAGAACTGAAGTTTTGTGATGTATGGGCTGTGTATAACCTTGTCATGGTGTCACAAGGTGCATTAGGTAACCCTGAGAGACATTTCTAAATGTGGCAAAGGCACGGCTATGCTGTGACTGAAGGAATAGGTGCCACAGAAAGAGCCATATCTTACAGTCGTTAAGGTTTCCGGCACAATACTCTCTGTTTATACAGTGTTCTGGACGTTATACATCCTCATTTAATATGGGTAAGGTGGGGGAGGTGTTTATCTTTACAACCCAAAAAGTATTATTTTTTTATGATAAGTTCCCCTGATTTGATATATGTCTCATATCTGTCTTATTACTTCTTTAGATGGCTGTAAAAATAAGGGAAGCACAAGTATGATTAGTTATTATATAAATTAAATCAGATCACCCTGGTATGATCTTCCGCAGTCATCCATATAAGGGTCTGAGATTGATGCAGTGATGCAATAGATGAGTACACCTGACTAAGGCAGGTCTTCCTCCAGAAGAAAGAAAAAGAAAAAGGCTCGAGTACATGTGGGGCTGTATGCTGCTGACCTGTGTCTTTACCAGCTCCATCAATCATGCACGTAAACTGCTCTCAGCACCACCTGTGGTTTCATCTGGGCTAGATTTTTGGTACATGTGTAGTGTACTCAACTGAGTCGCTCTCATTACCTCATCCGCTTACAATGTGAGCCATCTCAGCTATGGTATGTAGCTGGTGTGCAAGACAACTTGACAGGGATTGATGGGAAGAATTGCACGCACATCATTAACTCGGGTCACCCCCATGTCACAAAGAAAGTAACGCACATAAAAGTGACTCATCCCTTTGAACTATATTTAAGTGTTTGGGCTGTAAATAGGCTACCTCGGGACATATTGGGTCTTGCGGTGCTTTTTTAATTTTCTAACGGCTATATTCACCACACTTTCTTTTTTAAGTAATGCCCTGTCTGTTGTGTTGTGCCCCGTTAAAGTTAGTTAAAGTGATTCAGAAAGTTAATCAAAGTTAGTTGAATTCATTTTACTACAGCAGATGAAATATGCTGTCGGACGAGGGGCATTTATTCCTGAATCCAGAAAGCCACAGATTCACGCATCTGGCTTCGGTATTTTATGTTTAAACGGTTGGATGCCAGGGCCATGCTTTCCCAGAAATCTATAAATGGAGTTACTTTTTTGTAATGAAATGAGGTCACCTCACTCAAAGATATCATGTAACGAAACGGAATATATTTAGACTGGCGACATCATCCCTCCTTTGCCAGAGAAACCAAACAAACACAGAATACATATCTAAATCATGCAGTTTGAATAACAACTTATTGCCTATGAAGGAGACAGAATCCAGAACAGCAATAAATCATTCAGATGTTTTCACATCCAAGTTGTCTTGGAACTAGTCAACACTTTGTTTGCCAAACCAAATGTTTTTATTCCTCAGTGTTACTGGCTGCAGGGATGTGCCTGGTTGGTGTCACTTATCTGGATGCCCACAGTAACATCAATCTATCACTTCACATATTGCAATGTCCCTCTGACTAACCAGCACAGGTGCTGGTGTCAGGTTAATGGTTAGCATCTCTTTACTGTTGCACTATGGCCAATGGCTCAAGAGACTACAAAGAACAAGTTTAAGGCAGACAGTGCTAGCTTGTCAGCGTATTTCATTCTAAAAATCAACCTTACTTATGTGACTCTAACAGAAAACTTAATCCTCATCTATCTGTTGCATGTAATGGTCTCAGGTTTACCTCATGCACCTTTTAATTAAGCTTGAGTATGATATTTTCCCTGAAATGACATCGCTGTCCAGTGTCAGTCAAAGATCGGGTCTGAAAAATAATCTTTTAGGGGTGTGGAGTTAGAGTTTACCTGATTTTGTTGCCCACTCCTACATCCAGCATTACGGTCTTTGACATAGCTATATTGTGGGGGTATAGAGCAGCCATGTTTTTAAAAAATGCAGAGAAGGTTAAAATGATATCTTGGATCGTGCTCCTTTTTAAAATATTCACATCATTAGCATTGCCATGTTTTAAGAATACCACTCAGGGACGTTTATCTTTTTAGTTGTAATATCAAAATAAGATTTAGGTTTTTACTAGAATTATAGATTCAATTTAGATATGGTTTCATGTCCTTCGAAGTAAAAGTCACAGATTTTAATGAGGGAGCTGTGGACTGATTTTTTGATAAAAGGGATTAAAACAAAAATCTTCATGTAAAAATATTGACACTGAAGTTGAATATATTTTGAGAGGAAACCGTAGATTGCTAGACTATCAGAGTAACTATGTTGGCCCTCCACATTGTACTGGTTGTTGGGATGTTAAACAGTCATGATCACCAGACTCCACAGACACATTATCACGGTGTTTCCTTTATAAAGTTCTCTGGTATCTTTCATTTTACATCCAGATGTCACACTTCTAGATTTGCTCCACCAGAGGTCGCTGTGATTCAAGGCTTCAGTTGAGCTGCTCACTTATTGATAGAACAACTTTGCTATGAAGAGTTCTCAATCAGTAGTTTGCACTCTGCACTTTGACAGGGGATTAAAAAGAGATGAAGCAGAGCAGTGAAAAAAACACAGTAAGGGCTGATGGATAAAGAAAGTACGAGACTGTGGTCTGATAGAGCTACCACCATGAAACTAGAGGCTAAAACACAGCTTGACAGTCCAGACGCAAGGACTCAGCCAAGTATCTACTCTATATCAATCTTATGGCAACTAAGTTGTACTAGTTTGTGAGAAATACAGGATATTTAGGAGAGATAAAAAAGAGGTACTTCAGTGTAATCAGCTTTAATTATTGTATTTGACAGATTTGACAGCAGTGTGCCTTTTATTCAGACGTTAGAATGAGACAGCACTTTGAACAACTCCAAACGAAATTAGTTTTCTTTGTATAGAGACAGACAAGACAGTTTAATGTGTTTCATTTGGGTCTGAAATTCTTTATGAAAATATATAAAGCATTTAATGTTGTGCCAAATAAAAGGGAGAGAAAAAGAGAAAAATAAATGAGTGTTAAAGGAATCTGAAGTTTTATGAGACTTTCTTTCAGATGTGGTGCATACTAAATAAGAACTGCCTCTCCATGTTTAATTTGGACTCTAGGGACAAGGAACAAAGCTGTACCAGACCATCTGAGAGGTCTGGCAGCAGATCAGGAATGGCAAATTATGAATTACATTATTTGTTTCATGTTAAATCACACTGTAACACTGTTTTTAAAATTGTATATTAGTTTTGAATATGCAGTCAACCTACTTTATCTTTAATCGCACAACAATCATTGATTTGTTTATCAATTATTCAGAGCTCGTCGGACCATCATTAAAAATATATAAACCAAAAATGATGATTATAGTAACAATAATTTGGTCATACAAATCTATGTGTCATGTATAGTGTGGTATGAACATGGCATTTTGCTTTTTATTATACACTGAGAGAATAAAAATGTTAAAAGACAGAGGTTCAAAGATTGAGCCTTGGGGAGCTCACCCTTCCATTTTGAAGTAATTATATAAAATGTTGCAAGTAGCCTGAGATTAGAGGTCCAGTTTGGACTGCTTGTCAGTTCTCCTCTTGCATTGTTATTACTTAATAGAGTGACATTGGGTATACTCACTTGTCCAACTACTCCGAGAGGACTTCAGCTTCTCACTAAATCAGACAAAACCCCGATAAGGAAAAAAAGTTATAAAAAAAATAAAATAAAACATTACTCATTTGAGTTCAGGTTTTTGCCACCTGTTTATTTTTTCTTGACAGAGAAAAGCAAAGACATCAGTCACATTTCTAATTAATTATGATTGGTCCTTAACTTTCTATAAGTCATTAACTGAGACACATGACAAGGTGGTGATTTGCTGAAAAAATCTCTCCTGCTTTTGAAGTGAAATACATTTTTTCTGACTGGATCTAAATGATAGAGAATTATAGAAAATTATAAGTGCCTTCAACCAGGAGGGCTTAGAAAGACTAACATCACTCAAACAACAGATGAAATGATGCAGCGAACAGACAATGTTATACAATGTGTTTTATAAACTACCAACAGTCTTTTGTTCACGGCAAAAGATATGAAATAAGGCTGTTATAGGACCGCAGAACATCAGGTTCAGTTGAGTGACTCATACAGGTAAAACAGCAGCATTGTCAGAGCAGAAACCGAGTGAAGAAAACACCAAAGTATAACACCAGCATCCATATTTAGATCAAGTGAAAAACACCTCCTGCTGGGCTTCAGCAGATCTACGTACTGGGCTAACACTCAGGTGCCATGTGTGATGTTGGGAATGAGATACGAAGGCTGTGAGAAGCTTTTCGAACAAATCAGAGAACATTTTTGTAAAGTAGAAAAGACTTGGTCAAACAAAACTTCTTTCTCTGTCGAGATGTTTCTGATGCGGTTCTTAGTGCCACTATATTCACATCTTTGATACAGTCCCTTTTTTATTCATGCTACATCTATAGCTTGATCTATATAGTACCTTGTGCCAGTCTGTTCTGCTGCGAGAGATATCTGTGGATTCCCAGGAGATCCTCTGCACTGTGGTTTTCTTTATTATACACTGAAACTCCATAGTGGAAGGAAAATTTACTAAAGCTTGTTTTCATTCTTTGTGAACAAACGTTTTCATCAGACAAATATAAGCAAAGATGACAAAAATGGAGTAAAATGTTTGACATGCCAGCCAGAACCATGAATTTTCATGAACAAAATGTGTTGATAAAGCTCGAGTTCGAAGGATCTGACGGATCACTGCTTCTCTATCCTTCGTTCTCAGGTATACAGGAGAGAGTGGAAACTTTCCAAACAGAACCCGGTGTATTTCCAGACACGAGGAGCTCATTCTAAGGTAAGAAACACAACATTTTCTTTTCTCAGCTTGTGCTGCAAATATGACTGTGAGAACTGTTTTTTCTTTCTGCTAGTAAATCTCCCAAATCCCACTCTTTGTCGGTCAGGAACAACAAAGAGACTTTGAAAACTTGTAATATCATCAAAGTCCAGCTTTGTCTTGCAAGAACAGAAACACACCACATCTTATTGAATCATACTAAGTTGCTTTAAAAAATAAATTTAATACATGATGAAACTCTAATCACCTCTGACAACCAAACAATTGTTAACAGCTTGCTATTCTACAAAGCAAGTAGTTCACTGTTGACGTAGACAAAGTATTCACTCAACTCAAAGTTGGTTTGACAGCTGCCACTTTTTCATATTTTGTGTTTGGATCTGTGCCACCTGACTTCTACCTGTATTATGATAATGTACACTGACATAAACCGAACCGCTGTCGTGCAACCTAAACACTAGAGTCAGATTAGAAACCTGCTTACCTCCACTCTGGGAGAAGCAGCCTGTAAACCTCACTCAACGGTCTGATGGAGAATCTGAGTGAGGGGGAGGCAGCTGACTACACAGTGAGTCAATGCTTCATATGCAGGAATCAAACACACACTGAGTCAACGATGCTGGTGTTCTGGGAGATTCCCTTTTTGGGTTTGTCATATCCTATAAAACTCCTGTTTTACATGGCAGGTCCAAAGATACTGAGCTGATTGTAGTCTGAAATAGTTAACAGTGGGTGGCATGATGAAGAAGAAGACTTCATGTTGTAACACGCTATTGCAAATTACCAGCTGTTCACCAAATTTCTTCCAGCATTTGCTCACACACAAATCAAGAAAGAATAGATAATTTGTATTGATTTGGAGTAATCTTCCTTCACTCTGAGAATGAGAATCCATCAATAACTCTTATTTTATATCTGTTAGCATTTGTTAAGTCCAGACGGGGATATCCAGCAGCTAATCCACTGAAAGCTTTCAATATGTTCCCTACAAAGTCTCTTTCTGAAGCAGGTAGTGTACCTTTGGGTCTTTTTCGAGTGTTTTCACTTGAAACAGCTCCTGTCTACAGCCAAAAACTACTCAGTGAGAGCCATGAAAGTAAACTGAAGAATTGAGGACTGGGGAACAAACAACCAAGCTGAACCTCACCTAAAACCTTTATGTGGCTATAAACATTAATACAAAAGATGCTCTCATCCATTTTTTCAAGTTCTTATACTGTTTCCTGGGCTTGATACTGACTGATGTGGATTTTTTGGGATTGAATTAACAACCTCCATTAAATTACCAGCCTGTGTGGATGGATGGATGCAACTGTGAATTATGTTTTGGCAACTTCAGATTCAGTCAGCTCTAAACAAATTAAGTCAATGGATGTGTTTATTGAAACTGACTGAATCACTATTTATTTAAGTTATAAATGAGCATCTGCTTCAAAATGCTTAGTAATTACAATTTGATTATGAATGCAGCTGGAAACGAGGGAGTGAAATTTGTCTATGAAGGAGCCACATCAAACGAGAGAAGAAAATGTCAACATCAAATCATCAGTCTCATCGTGCGTGAAACTCGTGTCCAAACAGTGAACTGTCGGTGAGTCCGCCAAGCAACAACAGGCAAACATCAGAATTTCAGATTATCTGCGTGGTGATGCTCATTCTCTGTAACATCCTTTCAATCCAGTCATAGATGTTTGCATACAGAGTTCAGACACAGACAGTTTTTTGCTTTTGCCAGAATGACAGGTCACGCACATGTGTGTCAGCACCAGCAGCACACACAACAGTCATCCGGTGCATGATCAACCAAGCGTGTTGAATCCACTATAAGAAAACCTAAAACTCAGGACAGTTAATTGGTGGTTTAAGTTGTGTTGTTAGTTTGTCCTGTAGATTATTATTTTACTAACTCGCTCAAACATTGTGATGTCCTTTATCTGTAAAAGCAAAATACTGCTGTGCACTTTATTTTGGTAAGAGGCTCAAACCAGGTCTGCAGTGTGATCAGTGATCGGCCAGAAAATTGTGATCGGTGCACCCCTAGTTGCAGGTATTTCTTTTCCAGAACAGTTAACAAGTCTTTGCAGTACAGCTGACAGTGTTAACTGCAATGAGCTTTGCATATATGGCATAATGCCGCCATAGTTGTAAGTGCAACCAGCATGAAACAACTCCAAACTGCCTCTGTAGTTTGATCCCTTTATGCTACATTAGGTTCCCGTATGGCAAAACGAACAGACCAGTAGAATAGTAGTTGAATATGTCTACCTCATGAATCGGTCCTATGGATCTCCCCTTTTTTCACCAATACCTGAACTGTTTTTTATTTTCATTTTGAGGCAGTATCTGACCAATACCTGATACCAAAATCACATTGGTGCAGCCCTGGTAAAGAATAAGTTATTTGTTGCTCAGGTTTCTGAACCGCTGTAGTCCTAGTCAAGGGAGCCCATTTCTTTTGTCAGGAAACAGGTCACAAACAGCCTTCATCAAAGTACAGTTTTTTGTCCATCTCTCTGTCCAACTCAACCACTGCTCTCTGTAGACTGCACAGCTAAAACACATCTAAAGTAAACACCACGGCTGTGTCCGAAATGGCCTACTACTCCTACTACTCCTACTAAACCCGCCTCTGAATTGAGTAGGCAGTGCGTTCACACTGTACAGTATGCGAATTTTGTGTATGCGAGAAATGCCCGGATGTATACTCAATCGGCTTCGATTTCTGAGTGTGCAACGGAGCTTGCTTCACGTACTGCTTCTGCCCCACAATGCATTGCGCACCCCAGCTGGTAATATGGCCCTCCTTCCCGAGGCTGAAAAGAATTAGATGGCATGTGATTGCAATAATATATATATATAGATAAACAATATTTAGTCAGTATACATTACACAATTTTTATCATTTTATCATATTTTGATCTTTTTACCAGATTTATTTGTATTTTAAATTAGGATTATAGGTAATGTTTTTAACTATTCGTATAAATTGACTTTATTTATTTAAGTGTCTATTAAAGATGTATTTATTACATCAAGTTTGAGCATCTTCTCATCTCTGAATGCATCATCAAAGTGGTCGCTCATATTAAGCACACACCTCTGATTAATAAAAATTATTATTGGTAGAGAGCACATGGTTCAGAAAATACAAACGGGGAGTTTCCAGTTGACAATCTATGTGAGCTTTTCTAATTCTTACTTGTGGTTGAAAATCTGATGGTTTCTGAAATGATCATTGTACATGAAAAGAATGTAGTCGGGAAATGATGTATTTGCCAAGGAATAACCGAACGAGGTCATAATAATTATGTTGTGTGTTGGTCATTTTGCAGCCCTCTGCTGCTCATCACACGCCTAGCAGGTGGTGTATAGCATTATCACCATGGATACACAGATGTTTGTGTGATTTTTTTCATCCACTGTCGCCCGGTTTGTGTCGTGTAGATGTTGATTATGAAAACACTTCGCAATAATTTGGAAACGTGAAGGGGGAGCTGCTGCTGCCCGGTGTTTACGGTAAATAGACGCAAACACCGACCAAGCGGACGCGTCGGTCTCCGAAAACGCCGAGACAAATTTACAAACAGCCACTATTTCAAACAACTGGGCTCATAATCGTGATGTAAACACTTACTTTCTCGCTAGAAAAAGTATTATTATTGAATGAATTTATATAATTTGTCCGGAATGCAGTCGTTCTGTGTTGCTTGTGGTAGGACTATTTAAATTTTCCCGGCGCTGCGTCCGGCCGGCACGAAATGCATTCTGGGGTATTTAGTATGTATGTGTGTAAACGCTCGGGCAGCTGCGGCATACTCAAATCATCTTTGAGTAGTCAGTAGGCAGTAGCTACTGCTTGAGTAGGTAAGTAGATAGTAGGCAGTATGCCATTTCGGACACAGCCCACCTCTCCCTTTGCTCCTGGAAGACAAGAGAAATAATAGCAACAGCCACTAGAGGGCCTCGCAACAAACATAAGCTTACTGTAAAGAGAATTGAAATGCTTAGTCCTCTTGTCTACTTGGGAGGACAGCGTGACAAAATGCTTTGGCAGTTAGCGAGTCAGCTTTGCGTACATAAAGTCTTGAATAAACCAACAACAACCTGAATCTGTCCAAAAGTAACACCACTTTTAGTTGATGCATAAAGCAAAGTGAAAAAGTCACACTGGGGGTTTTGTGGACTGTTTTTAGTTTCAAACCTTTTCTTTTCAGTCGAGTCCAGGTAAATGTGTGTCACCCCTCGAACAAATATTTTCTTTTCTCGACTAACACCTTCAGGAAAATAGTGCAGTCTTTGAAAAAGCAAGAGGGGAACTACCTTGGAAGACAGCCAATCCACAGCTGCAGACGGGGTCACTTTTACCACATACTGCAGCTCAGTGAAGCGCTAAAAGTTTTCTTTAGCTTACACTGGCATCAATGTTAGGGTCAAACTCTCTTAAAACTTGTTAAATAGACCCCTTTACCGAAGTAAACAATAAGGGGTGTGTGAGCATTTACACCGAGGAAATATAGTGGAGTAGTTTTCCAAGGCAAGTGAACGGAATAACCAGCAAAAAACATGATTTTTACCTGAACTAACTGACTTTTACAAATGGATGACTTCCAGGTCTGTATGATATCAGTGAATGGACAAATAATTAGTATTCAGACATATTTTATGAGAAACACACTAAAGAGAAATTGAGCATACAGATATTCAGTGCTTAGGACTGATACCAGATGGTGCTGCAACAGGACGCCTCGATACTTCACTCTCACATACTTTTTGTGTATTTTGATACTGCGAAACAAAATGTATATTTACCTTATGTACAGTACCGGTACCCACCTGTAATATAATGGCATGTATATTTTTTCACAACCACTCTTTATTCCACTGCTCTCTTCATCGTTGCAATAAGATAAGATAAGATATTCCTTTAATAGTCCCACAGGGGGAAAATCCAAATTACAGCAGCATAAATACAAATACAAAACAAGAAATTAAAGGATAAAGAAATTTAGAGTTAAAAAAAGATATGTACATGAGTCTTTATCTACTATATACACTATTGCACTACTGTCTTGTGTATATGTAAAATGTCCAGTTCGAGCTCGTACACACTTGTAGTTTTTGTTAAATTTCATGTTTCATGTTTGTACATAGAGGGCAAAGTTTATCAGAGTCAGATTCCTTGTACGTGTACACGTACTTGGCCGATAAAACTCATTCTGATCCTGATTCTGATAATGACTACATTATCTGTGGACATGTACAGATAGAGACTTGTGTTTTAAAGACACTGTTGTGTTTTGGTGTGTAAATAGTGACTTTGTTACCAGGTGACTTTCAGCCAAGTGCTTCGCTCACAAATGCCTTTAGTTTTACATAAAAAAATACCTGTTGAGTAGGGCTGGGTGATATGCCCTTAAATCAATATCACGGTATATTGAGCAGTTCACCTCGATAAAGATAAATGGACGATAACTACTCTACAAGCTGCTCACCCCCTCCCACATTAACTTTGTCTAACCGTCCTCCATCTTCTCACCTGTCTTTCCCTCTTTGTTATTGACTGGATGGGGTGGAGTCACATCTCTGACGTAAGACCATCTTAAAGGGACATGAGACCAAAGCCTACCTACACACATCCAAAACCAACTTTTATTTATTTATGTTTCTGACACCGGATGTACCGATATGGGCAAAATGACGTCTGTTATTGTCGTAAATTTCTGTTTTTCGCCCAGCCCTACTGTTGAGCATGATTTATCTCAATGATAAAAGACAAACCAGGATACATGAGCCAAGACTCTTCGTGTGCATCAACATAAGTAATAACCACAACAACCACTGATTCAGATGGAAGTCACCAGACAACAGGGTCACTGTGGAAACCAAAACACCAGTCGTTCTGAAACAGTCTTGTTCCTGTCAGAGTTGTAATGAACTTGAATCTGGGGTGTAATATTGAGTCTGACAACCAACTGTGCAGCAACCAGAGTCACTGATGCTGGTTACATATAATTGAGAGGTTAAAGCTTGCTTACTTGTCTGAAAAACGGGAGCAAAACTCTGCTTACATTGATGCACTTGCATTTTATCGACAACGTCGGCCATAAGAGGGTCTGTTACATAATTAAGTTGACTCTATAGTGGTAGTTAACCTATTATCTGTGCCGATTCTTCAGCTGGTTTATTAACAAAAGGACAGAGCTGACTGGAGTGCCCTGCAGCCAAAACAGTAACAAACAGGTACTGCATTCAACCTCACTTTAAAAAAAACAGGCTATTCCTTAAAAATACAATAAAGTCTGTTTCAACACTGCAGTATCAGGGTCTAATTATTTAACACACAACAACAACCGAATCAGAAAAGAAACTCGGTTGATGAATTAACAAACCCCCAGGACTGTAACTGTTGTTTGTTCTGCAATAGCTATTGATTTCCTCCCAAATATTTGAGCAAAGATTGGAGCATGGTCCGAGCCTGAAATGATATTCATTTGAAATGACTGTTTCGTGCAATAACTACTAATGACCGGTGTGTTTAAGATCAGAAAACAATTCAAAGTGTAATTGATTTTCCCTTTCTCTCATGCTGTGTATAAACCATGATTCACCCCTCTGTGCATGAGAAACAAAGCTGAGCCTCAAAGACTGAAACACCTCTGCTCCCTCTCGAATCAGTGATAAAGCAGAGATCATTCCAGTGCATATGTTCAAATTCAGATCATTTCAATACTCACAATGTTGAAGTATTTGATGTTTTGTTTAAATTTAGTGTAACTGCTCTGTAATGTTTGCTCTGTGTTTTCCTCTGAGTACTCTCCTAAACTGAACAAAGCCGAGCGCAGAGGCAGCAGGATGTGATTCATCATTCGAAGCCTTGAGCTTTGGATCATTTGAACATTAATGAATTTTAAAGTGCACACTTTTGATACTCTCAGTGCGTTACAGCTTTAATAAACAAATCCCCTCGTAAATGGCTTGTGGGGCACTGCTTCACTTATATTTAAATGTAGCTTCTCTGAAAGCAAACGCGCCTGATTATCCCCTGTGCAAAAACAAGTTGAGTCCTGACTCCTGACGTAAAGGAAACTTCTTTGTCCGCAATGAATATCTATTGCAGAAAATGTCGCTTTAATAAGATAGTGTGCAGGCCGGTCTAAGGCATGTTGGACTGAGGGTGTCTTTGGGGACCTTCTGTTGCTTCTGTGAGAGGGAAATATCAGGCTGTGAATACTAAAAAGGACAATAACAATGCAGGGAGAAGAATAAAGAGAGGAGGGGATTCATCTGCATATTTATGTGTAAAGTTTGAAATACAATCTGTTTAGAAAGATGGTAGGTTTGTTTTCTCTGGTTTACCCACTGATTCTGCAATTGTTGTGTCTGAATGTTAAAATATCACTTCTCTGAACGGTTCTTATGTAAGTCTCTCAGTTTTTTTTCGCAGTTACTTTACATTTCTATCTTTAAAGGAGAGTAAGACAACTGTGGTCTGCATCTGTATTTCAGTTTCTACACCTTGTGCCTCAAAGGAACTTGAGCTATATCATGCATAAAATGTTTCAAGGTTCAGGTCATGCTCACACATGCAGACAGGACTGGTTAAAGGGATATTATGGCGTAAATTTAAGTTAGGGTCAAACACACTGTAACACCAAGTTAGACACCCCCTCAAGGGGTGAATTTTGCCCACTGCTTGCTTTTCTCGACATACTAACTTCAGCAACGACCGCACGATAGCAATACACAGCGGTCTACATCTCCACACAGAAACCTCAACCAAAACACCACTCTATAGCCACTAATAATGCTCAGAACAGCACCTAACTTCATCAACAGTATGCATAGGGTCCCAACCATAGGACTAGCCATCAAACATCTTTTTAGCTTTGCCTGATTTCTTTAGCTAAGAGACTAAACACAACTCATCCACTCTTCTCTGGCAGCCGTTTGTTTGTGGGTGGTGCCTTGACGAGTCGATTGCTGAGTGCAGTGGCTCATTTCCATGAAGTAATAATCACCATATTAATCATTTTGCACTGCAGACGGGTATTTCTTCTGCCTTAGCGTCTTGGTCTGATTGCCTATCCATGAAGTACTGATCATAAATGTTCTTCCTTGAGCTGCAAAACTCCGCTGCACTCAGTGATCGACTCGTCAGGGCACCCCCAAAAACAAGCAGCTGCTGGAAGAGAGTAGGTGAGTTGTGTTTGGTCTCTTTGCTAAAAATGTTTGATGGCTAGTACTATGGCTGGGACCCTATATGTACTGTTGATGAAGTTAGGTGCTGTTCTGAGTATTATTTGTGGCTTTTTGGTTGAGGTTTGCATGTGGAGACTTAGACCGCTGTGTATTGCTATCCTGCGGTCGTTATTAAAGTTGGTATAACTAGAGAAGCAAGCGGTCGGCAACATTCATCTCTCGAGGGGGTGTCTAACTTGGTGTTACAGTGTGTTCGACCATAACTTAAATTTACTCCGGAATATCCCTTTAAGTTGAACTTACTTCAACTTGACAGTGATCAACTGGCACACAAGAGGATCTGGCAAAATTTGGCAGGCAGCATCAATCACTTACTTAATGAGTCGAGACTTAAAAGTCTACAAGCACTAGCACACACAAAAGCGCCATTTTATTCAAATAATTCTGAGGAGCAATCTGGCATAAACAAAAGACCAAGAAAACTATTAACTGAGTGCCAAGCCTTCTGCTGCTTTCAAGCTATATCATTCAAACATTTATTTCAAGGTTGAGTGAGAAACATGATTCACATTAGCTCTGAAGTTTTATTATTGAGTTTGAAATATTGAGAGATTTTTGACAATTAATTAATCTCCTACTTTATAAAGAAAAAAAACACCAACATTTGATATCGCTCTCTACACGTCATCTGCAGCATCTAGCTTAAGTGCATGTGTTTATTTACATGTACACCAAACAAAATGATGAAGTGCAGAGTCCTGAACACATGGCAGCTTTGAGTGACAGTCGACATATACAGTGGATTACATATTATGAGGCCCCACAACAAAAGAAATCACAGTTGTGTTGCCTCACTTGAATTCACAGGGAGTGAGTGTCCCTCCTTACCCTAAGGGCTGGCAATATCATATAACTGTTATTGAAGGGAGAAGCATATTAGATATATACTCTACTCCTCAGAGCCACAAGTGTTGGCTGAGGCAATAAACTCCAGTCTATTGTTGTACACCGGTGCATGTCTGTCATTGTTTGAGGCACAGATACTATATACCTTTCTGGCACTCCTCAGTTCATCCCCCTTAATTTGTAAGACATGGATAAGAAATATCCTATCTTTGAATAGTTTTCACCTCTTGTAAGATGAAGTATACTGTATTTATTTTGATATGTGTCTTGTCTCTTCTAATTTTTTTACAAGAAAACATATGTAGCTAATTGAACTCTGAAATTTGAGGAACCTTATATGGATGAACTCATCAACTGTTGTATTGTTTATGGTAAAACTTGAAATTTGACATTTGTGGTATCTCCAAGTTTCAAAAAAATTCCATTTAAAGCCCCACTAGTATTATTATTATCATTATTATTATTATTATTATTACTTAAAGTGTTATCAGTGGTCTTTAAATTGTGCTCAGTAGCTTTTCTTCTTCACACTTCTCCTCGTGTTAGCTTGCAGTCTAACACTGCCGGTGTAGTTGAAGTAGCAGGTCATATAGGCGCTATTCAGTTCTGAGACACTAATGTCTTTAGAGGCATTCACAGCAGTTTGAATGCAGAAATACTCAGAAATGCAATTTCGCACTCTCTTGATATACCTTGTAGCATCAGAAAAATGCCATATAAAAATGTAAAAAACAAGAAAAACATGATTTTCATCTGAGACTTACTCTATAATTAGTGAGTCTTTAAAATAAATACATTTGCTTATGAAACTTTTCAAACATAGACATGAAACTCAGAACAAAAGGGCTGAGAGTCAGGTTAGATTAAGGGCCTGTGAGAGACACTAATGAGTCTCTTATAAAGACAGAAGCCTCTCCTCAGGAGAGATGGCGTTATCGGCTATTGGTGTCTTTAATGATAAAGTACCGGATTTGCAAATATCTAAAGATTTCCCCACCCTGCAGGCTAAATGGCTGCTATTTGCTGAAATGACAGATATGTCTGGTCAGTAAAGGTCCACCTGCTCAGTTATATTGATCTCTTTTTTTAAGCTCATGGGGCAAATGTGGACCAACGTGAAACATTCAATATCCAATCAAATCAGCTCCAGATTGTCACTAACTTCTTAAAACTGAACCAGGGACTGCTTATTAACATATAGAGTTGTATTTTTCTCCCTTTTCTTCTTTGTAAACATACATGCTCTTCTATTACTTTTATGTTCCCTTGTTAATCTGTTCTTTATCGTGTTTTAACAGCCTTCTTGTTGTTGTTGGAAGGTGCTATAGAAACAATCTTACCTTGCCTAATGGTCCTTCATTAAAAAGTGTGATACTGAGTTTTTTTCACGCCTTAACAGCTCCCTCATATCTCTAAGTACAAACACTCTTCCTGTAGCCCTCTTAAAAGGTGAGTCAAAGTGACTCTTACTTTGCAAAGTCAAACTTTCACACAGTAATGAGAAGACAGAATAACCCGCAAAGCATGAAACACGAGCCAATTAAAGCGAGACTCGAGTAATTAATTACAGTCTGAATAAAACTGTAAGACTGTTCAGGAGGTGAGTGAGAGAGCAATTTAACATCAACAATATGAGATTGAACACACAAAGCTTCGAAAATGGTCAAATAAAACCGGACACAATGCAAATTTTAGGTTCAGCTCTCTAACTAAAATGCAGCCGAGAGGAGAGCCGAGAATTCATGTCTCATTTATTTTTGGAGTTATCTCAGAGCTCTGCAGTGGCTGCTTTGGCCGAGCTGGGGGAGTGAGGATAGCAGACGAGATGAGATGCATGGATGGATAACCTTCTCAAGGTCTTAGAAGGATAAACATGAGCTTATTTTGGAGATGCTTAGGCTAACCAAGGCTCTATGTGCAGCAGACCATTCCCCAACGTGCTCTCTGAAAATGATTTGGGAAGACATGATTAGGTTTCACTTCAAAGAAAACAACTCCTAAATTATTCTTGAAGCTTTAAACTGTGAGCTTCATTTAGTCCATGTCTTGTTTCCCATCGGAAAACATCATGTTTCAGCCCTGTTTAATTATTAACCCACAAAGCCAAACACGGCTACACGCTTTGGTTTGAAAAACCAATTTGTTACAGTGACTGCTGAGCTCACTCAGGCTGCCTGCAAAATGCAGCACTGTACAAAACCAGAACAGGAACATAAACCCTTAATGTAATGCTAATTTATGTTTTACATCTATTTGTTCAGATTCTTTTTATCTTCCTCACTTCTGTGTCATATCTAAAGTGTAGCCGCATACACTTCTTGCAGTTGCAGTTTTTTTGTTAATGTTAACCTCTGTGTTGTAGTCTGTGATGAAGTACAAGTCAAAAAATGTATTTTAAAGGTCAGTTTGTGCTGTGTGCTCACCTGAAAAGATATTTTTCTTGTTATTCTTCACTTTTGTTATCGTGAATTGTCTGAATTTCGCGCCCATGGCTTCCAGCAGCAGTGATATGATTTCTAACTGACATCTTTGTGCCACAGACCGTTCAGTTCTGTCCATCGACTCACATTTATAGTGGTTTTAAATATTTGCTGCAGCAGCCTGAGATTGTTTATCTTCGGCGTCTTGGCTCGATCCTCATCACTCCTCATAGATTTGTTTTACATGCAGCAGGCTGAGTAAGAAGAGATGAGATAATATCTTACACACTCTGTAGCTGAAGCCGTAGCAGGTGGATGCTGGGGATGAGATGGTGGGGCTGAGCGTTTGAGAACAGGACAGCGATGACAATGACAGAGCACTGGAAGAGGTTTTGCAGCCTGAATAGACCATATCCAGGAGGATGCACTTGTCAGGTGACAGAGGAGAATGACACATGCCAAGTGTGTAAACAGTGCAACTCAAGCTGCCAGCCTACAATAGCTGACAGATGTCAGTTCACCTAAAGCTTCCGTGAGGAGTTTGAGTTGGTTATAAAACAGAGAGAAAATCAATCCTGATGCCTGAATATGACCAACAAAAGCAAACAAGAACACGATCAGTCTCATAACTGTCCACAGTGTCCCCAGCTGGCTCACAGAAAGTGATTTGGCTGGGCTGCCAAAGGTGTTACTCAGTCCATTTTCTGAGGGTAGCAAGCTCTTTACTTTCGTACAAACCAAACAACCAAATTTCACATTCTGCCATTTTTTTCCCAGCTAACAGATGCTGCACCTGTGTTAGCTCCAGTTGTCGGTTGCTGGAGTCTATCCCAGCTGTAACTGGGCGAGAGGTGGGGTACACCCTGGACAGGCCGCCACTCTATCTAGATTATGCAAAAATCAAATATTCTGTTTCCTCACTTTGGGGAAAAAAGTCCTTGTGCATTATTCTGGTGCACCCTGGCAACACTATACTCCTACTTTTATGTAAACTTACCATAAAGTGGGAGTACTCATCTTTAAATATAAATAATTTTATTTTTAATTTTCAGTTAACATATAAAACAATTATATTCTCTGTATTACAAATAACTATAACAAACAGTCCTGACAGTAGACAGAGACAGATCGAACCCAAAATCCAAAAAACTAACAAATAAACAAAAAAATACAAAATTAAAAAACAAATGCACTTATGCTGCATTTGAGTTACCTCGGAAGTCAGACGTCACATCCGAGCTCCCAGCATTTCAGTTACCAAGTCCGAAAAAAGCAAAATCGGAGGCGGAAACAAGATGGCTACATCTTCGCGCTTGTCCGAATATAAGGCGAGTGCTAAAATAACTTTTGTAGATGTAGCCATCTTGTTTCAGGCCTCTGATTTTACTTTTTTCCGACTTGGTAACTGAAATGCTGGGAACTCGGATGTGACGTTATTTTCAGCTCTGACATCTGACTTCCGAGGTAACTTGAATGCAGCATAAATACTTATTATTATGGAATTTGTTCAGGGGGAGATGTAATGATTCAGAGTTCAGGTAAATTGTTCACATAAGTTATTAGAGAGTCCCAAGTTTTGTCCCTAATCCAGTGGTGATGAGATGGAGTCGTAGCAGCCTTCCATTTGAATAAAATCAAGCGTCAAGCTAATAAGTAGGAAAAGGCAGAGAAAAAATATTTTAAAGGAAATGTCAAGGTCCCAAAAAAATTTGAGGTAATAGGACAGAACGTTGAGAGGGACCCTCTCTATTTTTTTCATGATATCATGAAACATACTGACGAATCAGAAAACGTACTATCTTTGTTCCCATGGCCTAAAACTTGGACTTGGACCAAAATACAGTGGAATTCAGTTTATAACACATAGTTTGACAGACAAACCTCTTCACAGTGTCTCTAAAACAGCAACATTAACTTCTTCATTGTCATCTTTGGAGCTCTAACTATGGATTGTAATGATCACACTCATGGACAAGACTGAAATATGCCTTTACAGAGTTATATGTCTTGCTTAAAACCCTCCACACAGCAGATGTATGTTGTGTTACAGAAGGACTACCACCTAAAGACCATTTTTCTGTAAGCGAAGGGCAGTGGACAGCTTATCTGGCACTCACTGGCCTCTGACTGTGCAGGTCAGTGCTGCTGCAGGGGTTTACGGTTTGGCCCTTTTTATGGGTGAAGCTAAAATGAAGAGTAATAGCAGGTTATTAGCGATTTACGTCTGAGAGGCTTGCAGGAAAAAAAAAAAAGCTGGCTGTGCTATAACAAGTAGTGATTCCCAACCTGCAGACTGGAGCAGGTGACAGAGATGAGGGCTGTGGCTGAAAGAAATTGCAGAGCTGTCAACTAGAATAAAGCACAGAGCTTACTGGCAAACTGTCCCCAGCAGTTTGAGTACAGAAGCTGCTCTGTGCAGAAGACTCACATCACCATGGAAGAAAATATGAAATGTCTCTCCGGCAGCTCTCTCCAGATAATGCCACTCTGCCTGATGCAAAAATAGCTCTCAGTAATATGTGTCAATGTTTGTTTTCCCCACAAACTACGACGAAGAACTTTATGGTGTCTAAGAATTTCAATATTAGCTCAATACTGCAATAAATCCCAGAAGTTTAGGTATAATTTTGGCAGCATCTCTTTTTCATACAAAGCAATGAAACACGTGAAATTGAACAGCCTTCAAAGGAATTAGATGACAGCCACTCACGTCTCTTGTTTTTACCATAATCCACCTTAAAACTACAGCCAAATGGCAGTTTGCAGTTAAGTTAGAAAGTAGTCCACTTTCCTGTGAGGCTCTATGAATATAAATTGTTTGCATGAAATTATTTGGATGGATCACAGTCACAACAAAGTGTTAGGGGGTAAACAATGGGCAGAGGATTACATAGAGAAAGACAGTAATAGAGTATTACCCTGGAGAATCCCATTTTAGGCAGACTTCTTATCATCTCTTTCTATCGATCAGAACATTTACAGCCTGAAGAGCCTATAGGGACACGGCATGGCCTCCATTACTTTTATTTTTGTGTCAAATGCAATGCACTTACTGTTATCTGAGAAACTTCAGAAAGTGCACCACACAAATTCAATTCATCAAGATTTATGCTGCATAGATACGTATGATCAGATTCACTGTGTTGCTCTCAGAAGTGTAAGTTGGTGATAAAGAAAAGGAGCAGAGGAAATGTTAGAATAAGACAAGGACAAAAGAAAGTAACAAAAACAAAGACAGGAAAACTGAATTATCCCTTAAGGCTTGCATGCCTTTGGGGCTACAGCGCACTTTACACTGAAATGCTGCTTTCCTGCAGAACTGAGACCTCGGTGGTGTAAAAACTGTGCAGTAAGTGCAGTTGTCTTAAATAAAAAATTGACCTCAATTGGAAATCTTTTGTAGTCTGAAGATATATTTAATTCCTTTGGGTAAAAAAAACTATTCTCTCAGCTTTCAATGTAACTTCAAGGGGTGGGAATCCCTTGGTACGATATTATCATGATACTTTGGCAACGATACGATATTATTGCGAATTTTAACATTTTGCGGTACCGTGAGTATTGCGATACAATATATTGCAATTTTTTTCAACTGTGTAGATAATTTAGCATTTGTCTTTCCTGTATGTTTGTCTTATTTACGCTGTATTTTATTTTCATGTAGCACATCTTGCAAGCCTTACATATATATTTGTTGTACTAACTTTCTCCTGCTCCATGATGTCACCTCTGCCAACCTCACTGGACAAACAGTTGATTTTATTTTTCTGTTATCATAGATTTGACTTCATATTAGCAATTAATTTGAAAAATCGATGCTTGGTCAGTGAGACGATACTATTTAACACCAGACAAAATATCAGTATACTATGCTGTATTGATTTTTTCTCCCACCCTGAGTAACTTCATCAGATTAAACCACACTTGTCTCGACTTTCCAATTAGTCCAATGTGGAATAATCCTCCTCTATTCTTATTTTACTTTCCTCTTTTTAGGACAGCTGTGGCTCAGCGGTAGAGCTGGTTTGATCCCAGTTCCAACAGCCACATGCCAAAGTGTTACTGAGGAGACAATGAACCCCCAGATTGCTCCTGCTGACATAGTGGGGTTGTGAATGGGTTTGATTACAGTTAGTTACTCCTGATGGTCCCCTGCTCAAGTTTCCTTTGCCATTAGTGCATGAATGTGGTGAGTGAAAGCGCTTTGAGTGGTCAGAAAGATTAGTGAATTGTGACACAAGAAGAGTTTCATTTACTATTCTTTAATCAGTGCTAATTATGGTGGATTATCGCCCTTAGAAACACTGTTTTTACTGGTTAAAAAAAACAACAACCCTAGACCCCAAAAAGGGGGGGAGGTCTTAGAGTCACACTTTGACCCATTACAGCACCTATGGTGTTTGGTGACCTTTTACCATTTTACCACAGTGTACCAAATTAAATCAGCTCATGGGCTCTAGTGTTGTGTCGTTTTGGGAATGATTCATTCAAAAGTACGAATCTTTTAAGTAAACGTACAGAACCGAATCACTTCCTCAAGTGATTTGTTTCTCAGTTCAGTTGAGCTGTCAGCATGCGCCGACGCCTGGATCACTTGGTGAACGAATCACTGAGTGAACTATACTCCCACCACAGTTATTTTCATCTGAGGGATACGCTTTCATGGCCACTGGTGTTCCCTATTGTTTTAACAGATTTAGCTTTATTTCCCAATTAAACAACCTTAAAACATTAGGCTGGCAGTAATGCGAGGAGAGTGAGACTCACCAGCTGTAGCGATCTTGGCTGGAGCGACGGAGGAAGATGAGGTGTGTTGTGTTCAAGTGTACTACCTCGGAGAAAATGAAATTTTGATTCAGTGAAGGAATCTTTTGAACGAATCTTTTTAGTGAACTGATTCTATTGTGTCAGTACATCTAAAAGAACTGCTGTGCACATCACTATTGTACTCAGTGCTCTTTACTGAACATCTTAATTCCTTTATTTTGTATGAGTACTGGTGTAGGGGCAAACAAACTGTGAGTAAAACGCACAAGAGTCCAACAGAGTATTTCAACCTGATGTGTAAGCTAGGAGTGAATTTTTGTCTTATATATACATACATTCGGAAACACAGCATGGCTGAGCACATACTGTATAATGAAGCAGGAAATCTCCTTGACTTGGACTCTCTGAATTTGCATGAGCAAAGAAACTGAAGCAGTTTGTGTGCGTTCTGTTGGGCGTCTGAGACTACTCCAAATCCTACTCGCTCTGGTTCTGCACCTGCTGCAGTACAGATCCAGCAGAGTGAGCAAAAGCGGATCCTACGGTCTCTTGGCTGAGTGGACCCCTCTCTGTCTGACTCTGAGCTGGGCAGTTCTTCAACCAGTTGCCTTCCAAAGAATCAGAGTGGAAAGTGTTTAGGAATCCCCAGTGAGCTGTCTGAGGTGATTGAACCATTACCTGGCTTTTCTCAGCAAAATGTCTCAGCGTGCGTGGACCAGGTCTCTGTTTCTCTGCTGTGTAGACTGTGTTAGGTTATCTCTTAGGTGAACTACCAAATTTATCACCCGCTGCATAAGCTGACCCACAGATGTGATTACTTCCGCTGCTGCATCCTACACAAATCCACAACTTTTTCCTTTCTGTATTTTTCAACACTCAGTAGGGATTTTGCTTTTTTTTTTACCAGTAGCTGCAGGTACGCTCGGCTTCTCTATGAATAATGCGTCAAATGTAGTTATGAATACTTTTTGAATGTACAATATTACAGCAGATAAAAACAGACATGCTGTAAAGAAACCAGAAAATATATCCAGGTCATCCAAACTGTATCAGCAGGACGTGTTACCAGAAGAGCTCCATAAAGTGTCACTCACTCAGCTCTTTCAGAGTGAGATATATTAAATACACACACACACGACTTGAACCACCAAATTATCTGCTGAGAACCCCCAATTTGTCACAGCCCATGGTTTGACAACCACACACTAAGACTATAAAATGAAATCCATAATGCATGTCTTTACAGGTTTTTAATCTTTAAAGGGTGTAAGTGAATAATTTTCTGTGGAGGAAGAGCTGGCTTTTGAGATTAGGCTCCCTGCAGCTCCAAAGAATTTTAAATTTGAGACACTCGCATGCACTGAGTGACTGCAGCCTCCAACACATGCTGCTATCAGTGAACACCTTTGTTCCCACAGGTATCTGAGCGTATAGGCCACAGCTTTCCTCAGGGCCCAAGGCCAGCAAAGAGAATTTAAAGTTTTGTTCAAAGAGGATGTCTGCTGGAGTTTTTGGCTCGGGACAAAAAATACTGTACATTATAATTATTTTCCACAGAAACACATGGCTTTCAAGCTAGAAAGTGTTTTATAGTCATGATGTGACATTTTTTGCCATGAAAAGTAGTTTTTAATCAACATCCAGACAATTAGTTACCATTAAACTTTTCTTTTATAAACTTATAATTATTTTTTTCTGTAATGATCTTCAGTGGAGACGACATTGTGTGTGTGTGTGTGTGTGTGTGTGTGTGTGTGTGTGTGTGTGTGTGTGTGTGTGTATTTGGGGCAAAATCATAGACTGTGTTTGGTTTTCATTTCATTTCAAGCAGGTAAATAAAAGTGATAAAAGGACCATAAAGGACATATAAGGACATAAAACTTTTGTTTGTCATCTTTCTCTTTTACCTTTAAATCCCTCAAAGTCCAAATCCACGGGGTGTTTTGTCTGAAATGTTTTTGATGCATATGTAACTGAGAGTGAAGTAAAACACAAGTCACATTTGAAATGTCACACTGAAATCTCAAATTTAATTTTGCGTTCCACGTAAGGACTGTTTCTATTTCTCAGCCCTTTCTCATAAAAAAACCCTCTACCTCATAGAAGAAAAAATATGCAGAGCAATGACAGGTATTGATCTGACAGTACTGGACGTTGTCATGCTGCAGGAGAATCAAAAGGTGTATGAGAGTATGGCAATTAATTACACTGATTTTAGTGTCCATCATAATGGAAGTTTGGCTTTGACTCTGCATGTAATTACTAGAGGGCCACACAGGACGCATACCAAGTGTGAAAATGAGAAGTTGATTTCAATGTACTTTGGCGTATGTTGGGGTAAAAAGCTTCTGAATGTCTTTTATGGGAAACCTCTGTTCACCAAAACACTCCAGATCTATTAATGCATGATAAAACAACATGGCTGCACAATAACCCTTATGCTGTATATTAAATAAAAAAGCAGACAGCTCCATCATTGCATGTATACTTTGTGCACAATGTGTCACACAGTCGCAGTTTGTTAAGCTCTGTTTTATCATTCTTGTTAAATTCACTAGAGCCTGTTTTATATAAGGTTAGAGGTGCCCTGGATCTGGGGTCTTGGGCACTGCTAGCACAAAAAGACACCACTTAATAGACAGAGACCTTTCATAATTATTCATTAATTCCTGAATTAGTCACACATTGAGTTATTAGCAAATTACAAATGCATACATTTTACACAACTCAGCACCTGAACTTTTTTTCTGAGATTTTAAATAGTTAAAGTAGGGATGAAAAGAGGTGAGGTTCAGTTTCTCAGGTCCATATTGCACTAAGCAAAGTCTTGGTCGAGGTCCAAGTCTAAATATTCATACCTTTTTATTGGCTGATTACGGTTTCAGAACAGTCTCTCTTAACTAAAATTGAAACCATGAACTTAAAGTGGTCACTAATAGGTCCGGAAGACGGATCGCTGCAAATAGTAACAGCAAAAACCTTTGAATACTGGATGCCACTAAGTAAAGCACCTATGGCTGACACCTACCCCCTCACACCAGTCTCAGGCATTTAACCAAACATGGATCCTCTATCGGTCATAGTGTGTAGATAGTGGTCACATAAAGGGAGGATACACTGAGGTTCACACATGGACCACCTAAAATATTTCTGCAGTCTCAGGATGCTGTGAAATCCATTTAGAGGAGCGTTTTCAATCAGTCTGTCAGAGCTGTTTGTTGTAGTCCACCAAAATTAAATTACATCTATTTATCTTTTGCATTCATTCATTCATTTTGTAATTCACTTTTCAGCAGTTCAGGACAAGCGTTTGGTTTATATTTTTGCATTAATTAGGCAGTTTGATTTTTGTTTACAGAGATGGTGAATAAGCTACTTGATAGATATTCACCAGGGAAAAGTGCAGGGCAAACATCAGTTTTCAGGCTGGATAGCTAATTAGAGGCTCATGTTGTTTCTGTCAAAATAAATGTTGTTTTTTTTCTCTTCAATACCAAACTTTTTGGAAAGTTTGCTCACTTTGATGCCTATTCTCTGTAGTGTTAACCTTGACAAGAAATTAAAAAATAATGTTGGACATAATCATTTTCCAAAAACGGTGGCTAATTTTCAGTCATGTTTTTGATCTCTGTGAAACTTTGTTTTAACCCCATTTAGGTCTAATATCAGCTGTTCTTTTAGTCATTATTTAAACAGACAGTTTAATATCCGTTTTAAGGAGAGATATTTTCCTGGTTGTGTAAATTTCAGAGGTGAGATAGAATACCTCAGTCATTTGGCTGAAAGACAATTTCTAACCTACTCTGAAAAGTGCAATAAGTCACATTTCTTATTCACTACATAGAGCTAAAATGAGCTGAACTCTGTCTGTGTTTGCTGAATGACCAAGGGTCTGTATTTAAATCTTAAGAAATCATCAATCCTCATTTAGGAGTGTGTAGATGTGAGCCATAAGGAAGCTTGGCTCTGTAAGAGTTTACGATTGGTTAATGTACCATGGCGTGCTAATGGCCGACAGGTGTTCTGTCCAGTTGTGCTACTTTGTTAAAGAACACCACAAAGGTTCCTGAGTTTTGTGAACATTAAATTGAGAGAGTTAATGTGTATTCATATCATCCTCTAATCATACATCATTGTTACTTACCTTGGCAGACACTGAGGGGTGCTTTGTTTTCAGGTGTCCTTTAAAATTCTATGTTTTTTTCCTCCCATCTTGTCTTTCAAAAATGTGTTTGCAGGTGGGTGTCTTTTCTTTCTTGGTTCTTGGTTGTAATGAGGCTCATATTTCTGGTGGTGCCAGCTGCCAGCATTAGCTTTGTTTAATAAGACAGCTACTTACCAAAGACTGGAACAAGACTTCTTACTGGCATGCACTGTGCAAAATAAATCATGGAATGACTGTGGAAAAAGATGCATGAAGGTGTGGCGATATATAATTGATCAAAAAGTAATCAAACAGTGATGTAACCATGCAGTTAATGGATGTGATTGGTTGTCCTTCTAAACAAATGTGTCCTGTCCTTGTTCTCTGGAGCGTTCTCTGGAACAGAAATCTCGCCATATTGATTCTCTGTCAGTTTGCTTACCATTTACATCAGTGTCTTTATCGAGACATGAAAAATTAGTTGGTCAACAAAGACTTTTTCGTTTACAAAATTAACACTGGCTTGTTGCAAAGGCTGCCAGGCACTGTCAATCAAACATAGACACGCCCTCCCTGCAGGCTGAGGGGAGGATGCATGCCATTGTTTCTTACTCAATACCTTTTCTGACATCATTCATCAATGCCAAAATTGATGGATAAAGGTGATTATAGCAGGGGTTCAATTTTAGAGTCATTAACTCTAATGAATTGTTTTTTTTTTCCCACTAAGGCTACGTTCACTCTGCAGGTTATGATGCACAATTTGGATTTTTTGTTAAATCCGATCTTTTTGTGCGGTCGTTCACATTACAACAATGAATGCGGCATCTAATGTGAACAGAATGCGTCCGTAAAGTGACCCACATGCACACAAAGCACAAATTGCTTTCCGCGCCTGTTTGTGTTGTCGAACAATGGTGACGTTTGTCGCATATTGATGACATATAGGTCGGATGAACACCACCTGAGCGTCCACACTGCAGTCACATCGGATACATGTCCGATTCATATCCACATACAAAAGAGGCCTGGGTCGCATTTGAAAAAATCAGAATTGCACTGTTCACACTTACATGAAAAAATCTGAAATGTGTCACATATGGTTAAAAAATCGGAATTGACGTGCAGTGTGAACATAGCCCATGTACGTAGATCTAGCTTTTGGGAGGGAGCTTCACACCCTCCAGATGTGATTTGTCTAAGTGAAAGGCTAAAGTTGCGATCAGAATAAAATATGACGGGGCACCTCATATGGAGCCCTAATTGCAGAAGTACCTCCCCAAAAAGTAACTTCAAAAATACAGATTAAAAACTGTTAGTAATTGAACTATTTTCAACAAATCATAGTGTGAATAATGACTCAAGTGTTTTCCTGATTCGAACCCTGGGCAGCTATGAAAAAACACACAGCTACAGGCACAAACTCAAACACACAAGCTTTCATCTTTCCATGCACTTCATAGACCAGACAACTGTGGTCAAGACCGGGAGGCTTACAGGTTTTTATGTGTCCCCGAGCCTTTTGCTCTGTCTGAAACAGAAAAGTTGGATGTTTGTATCAAACAGACTTTTTGGGACTGAAGGTCGGGCTGCACAGACGGATGGTTTCTCTCTACAGCTGAAAACTCAAACCAAAGACTGCTGGGTGTTTGTTTCATCCTTTCTGGAGCTCAGAAATGTGTAACCTGCTGTTGCAAAATTATTCCAATCCCATCTGTGGCTGAAACTGCTTTTACAAACTCCCATTACACAGCATGAGTGCAGCAACAAGAACATACTGTATAGTGAGAGCTTGTTAACTTGTTATAGATACTGTAGAAACTCACTGAAATTTTTGCTAAAATAAGTGGCTTGTTTGCTAAATTTCTCAAAGTTTTTAAAAGAAGTTTTAAAATCTTCATATTTTGACATCTTATTGTCGCTTCATTGTAGTAAAAATGTCCACCAACCTTTATTCTGAAGTGTTTAATTGGCAAAGAAAGCCCCAACCAATTTCATACAATATTCACTCACACTCAGTTGCTCTTCACTGTTGCTGGCTGGTTCAATAAACCTCTCAACTCTATATGGAAGCGTTGTTGCTTTTTCATGCATGTAGGTGTTGTTTGAAGACAGACTCACTAGTGAGCGCTTGTGGTAAAATTGGACTTTAAGTCTGCACCCCTCCCTGTATCTGTTGTGTGTATTTACTTGTTGTACCATGGCCTCATACTGCATTTCTATTGTGGGCAACTGAAAATGGACCCTTTCTTACCAAACGCAGCACATTCATTGTGTGGTACCCTGCAAAGGAAGCTGCAACTCTGCCCACAAGCTCTTTGGAAAACACTGACTTTCTTGTCGGCATGACGCCTTCATGACTTTATGCACCAACCCCAGGCAGTATGACAAGCTTGGGTAGTTAAAGAAGAGCTGCACTCTGGATTAACTAATGCATGAACAAGCGTGTCCCTTTTGACTCCATTATCCTGTGAGTTGAAACGATAACGGCCTTGGTGATGACAATGACTAATTTACAGTACTGCAAAGATGTTGCATGGTTTTAGTTTTTTGCTTGGTCAAAACTGGGGAATGGATTGCCTATAGCTGAGACATATGAATAGTTTAGAGATATTTATAGGGACTTGGTGTACGTAGCTTGAGGACAGGGTGGTGAAGGTCATACTGGGACATAAGGCCACCCTGTACGGTAACACAGATGGGACCTGCAGAGGTTATGGTGTATTTGCCATTTGGAGTTCACAGGGTGTGAATGCATGAAAAGACATCATTAGACAGTTTTTGCACAACTCACAGCTCACCTCAGGCATGTCTCTCACATAACGTAGAAATATTTCAGCTGCTTATTACATTTATAACACAACCGAGAGCTTCAAATGCATGAATCTAACATGATAGCCAGGGGAGTGATAAACTGTGAATTATAAACCCTTTTACATCAAGAGTATAACAAAAGGGATAAAAACAGTGATTAGTATTTGCTTACTAGACCATGTCTGATGCCGTGTCTTTCCAGCTTTTTTCAACCATTTTTTGAGTTCTGAGATTTTGTGCTGTTGTGACCACGTCTATAGAAATGGCTGTGAAATGAAAATCATGACTGGAGTTTCAGGACTATATCCTCTGTCTCTTCTCAAGGATGTTTTTTTGAAGATAGCTCGAGAAATTTTACCTCTTAGAAAGAAAAAAAAAGGGGAAAAAAATAAGTGATTGAAATCTTTTGGAGAAGGTGTTCAGTGGACCTTGAGTTTAAAGTAGGAACATAAAGCATGTAAGAGACAGTTTCTGTGAGAGACCACACAAGCAGTGCAGCCATTGGTTAACATTCAAAATGCTTCAGGGAAGGTTATCACCTGTATATACGAAAGCAGAACTCAGCTCAAGCATTTGAATACAAAATTCAGTTAGCAAGCACTTTACCCATAAAAAATCAAACAAAACTTGTAACACCCTCGAAGGATTCCTTTAAGATCAATATTCAGTATCCTCTAGTTTTATCCTTACATTCTTTGCGAGGACAGTAACAATAACAGTAAAATGGCAATTATTATGAAACAGAGAAACACAAATCACAGCTGAGATGCCACGAATATGTCCAGATGACTGATACAAGCATGCTCATGTTCTCTTATTAGGGGTGTTCCAACAAGGGCACCTCATGATTCGATTCGATTTCGATTATGGGAGCTTTGATTCTTCGATTATAATAGTTGTCGATTTGATTTGATTCGATCCGTGGTGCCACGATTCTTTGATTATTGCCATTTTTAATGCTTTTTTCCATACAAGATTGATTTTGTCTTCATATGTGGCTACATTTGTAAATAAAAAGCCCATCAATTAACTCAGTTCCTCTAAAATTACACTCAATAGGTAAATAACAAGGTTTTTTTAACATTCGACTTGTAGTTTTCAGAGACACAAAATATTCCATTTTATGACTGTTAAGTAAACATTTGCACTTTGACCAACCTAAGTTTGGAGACAATCTCCAGGATGGTCCTCTGTGTGGCGGCACGACACTTGGGAATGAAGTCGTACAAGGTGCTGCCTCACATTTGTGGTGTTGTTGAAGTACTTTTAATTTTGCTTTGAAAATCTTGCGAATCGTGTAGGTCTTGTCAGTCGTCTTATTTGCTCTCTTATAAAATCTGAAGTACTACCACATGGTTGCAGTCGACCCCGTTAACGAGGGAATTGGCTGCTCTTTGGAGGCTGCTGAAGCTGTTGCCATTTCGCAAAGAAACTAACATGCTCTGCTTGTTGTGGTCCCACTCACTTAACAGTCCAAGCGGCGCGCACGTCAAGGTTCCAGTAACGTGTTTTTTTGTTCCGGCCTTGTGAGAAAGCATCAACGTTATTATCTATTTATTTAATTAATTTAAGCATCGATGTGATTTATCGATGCAGAATTGTCACGTGAAGCATCGCGATGCATCGACACATCAATAAATTGCACCCGTCTCTATCTCTTATATTGCCACAGTTAACTGTACTTTTCACTGTCTGCAATTTTCAGACCTCATAACTGTTTCCAAAGTCTTATTTGTTCAAAGCTTTAACTTAAAACTTATCTAATATTACCTGTCTTTAAGGATGAATTTTGGGTTTTAAGCTCAGCAGTTTAATGGCGCACACTGTAAACAGAGGATGTAGTCCTCTGAGCTTGTGGCCCAGGTTCCTATCTGCAGACCTACGCCATGCCTTACTCTCTCTTTCCTACTCTCTCTCTACCATCCTATCATCTCAATACAGGCATTAAAAGGCCTGAGAATAGTCTATTAAAGAAGAACATGGTTAAGTTTTAACACGTAATTTCCTACAAAATAAATATTTCTCCACCATGTATTTGAAAAGCTCAAAGCCTGAGAATGTCATAAACCAGATTGCATGGTTGCTGAGTTTCAGCCCCTCGTGTTGAACACTGTGCCTTGGGATGTGGATGATAAAACAAAGATGCAATACGGCCTGTGAGGAAGCTGGTCTGAACACAGAAATCTGCTGATAAGCATAATCCCAGAAGAACACAGTAATTGTGCAGTGTGGAAGACGCCTCAGCAGAGATCCCGTACAGATAAGTGATGCCTCAGGGGCTGAGCTGCTGCCTGCAAACAAGTTGTCCGCACTGAGGGGATGAACAAAACAGAATATGTTGGAGCCAAACAATCGAGATAAATGAAAGAGTGGATCCAGACAGTGGTTGATGTTCTTATTTACGGGAGGTAAAGCCCAGAGGAACTCGCCACAAACATCATCAGAGCAGCAAAAACAGAAAAGTAATTAGACCTTCCCCTGAGATTGTTTCCATTGATTTGGAATTATTCAAGGGTGTCACTGCAGTCAGGGGTCAGTGTGAGGGTGAAGAAGAGACAGTGAAAGAAAGAAACCAAGATAAAGGTTAAAAAAGAAGAAAAAGAAGTTTCTACTGAAAACAAACCGGAAAATACAGATAAGACTGTAGTTTAATTGTTGTCTTCGAAATACAAAGTTTAATTTAGTTTTTCATATGTTCAAGTTGATCTCAGATCTGTTATTAAATAAACATAAGAATTAGCTAAAAATATAATAAAGAGTGTAAAAGTGAAGTAGTAATAGCATAAGAATTCTCCTAACTCAGGGACAAAACAAGCACTCTATAAATAAAATGTATTATTATTATTATTAATCCTGATTTCAAAAGAGATTGTATCAATATTATAAACAGCTTTCTGTTGAGTTGTGTACTCACGATAACTCAAAAATGTTTGACTAATTTGTTTTGTAGGGATGTAACTTGAGGTAATGGTGCATTTTATTGTTTGACTGTCTTCATGAAAGGTTAGAAAGGATATCCACACACGTCATTTGTAATTAATTAAGAGGCGTAAATAATGGCTGTAACTGTGGATAAATTTACCCTTTAAATAACTGTGACACATTACCTCATTTGTGAATATGATTTATGCCTCAGTTGGTTGTGGTAAGATCCAAAGCAATTTAAGATTTGATCAAATAATGTCTCTTTTTATATATGACTTCAAGGGTTTCGCACATCCTAATGACAGCTTTTCGTTGTTGTTGTTAAAGGGATGTTGCGGCGTAAATTTAAGTTATGGTCAAACACACCATAACACCGAGTTAGACACCCCCTCAAGAGATCAATGTTGCCGACCGCTTACTTCTCTAATTATACCAACTTTAGGAACGACCGCACGATAGCAATACACAGCAGTCTACGTCTCCACGTGCAAACCTCAACCTAAAAGCCACAAATAATGCTCAGAACAGCACCTAACTTCACCAACAGTACATATAGGGTCCCAGCCATAATAGCCATTAAACATCTTTTCAGCGTTCCTGGTTTCTTCAGCAAAGAGACTAAACACAACTCACCCACTTTCCTCCAGCAACCATTTGTTTGTTGGGGAGCCGTGACGAGTCGATTACCGAGTGCAGCGGAGTTTCGCAGCTCAAGGAAGAATATTTATGATCATTACTTAATGGAAATACAATCAGACCGAGACGCTAAGGCAGAAGAACTACCACATCTGCAGTGCATAATGATTATTATGATGATTATTACTTAATGGAAATGATGCGGTATATCCCTTTAACTCTGCATTCTTCCATAATGACAGTATGGTGTTTTTATTGGCACTGAACCTAATTTCAAGTCCATCCCTGTTGAGCTTTAGACCCACACAAGTTGAACGGAGGCCTTAAAACAAACTGTGAACATCTCCAACTTCCCTCCAGTCTGAATTCGGTGGTGTCATGTTTTATGTGCTGCTATTCAATGAGCGATCTCTTTACTAAAGCTAATCTAAAGGCGGAGAGTGCCACCAACCTTAAGGTGCGGGGCCACGACCGAGCTCCTGTGTAAATTTCACTGATTCAAAAACCAATATTTTCACATAACTCATGTGTTCCCTGTGCAGGTTCAAATGGCCTCATTGCTCATTCTTAGTCCTAGGCTAGACCCTCCTCCTCTACATCACATGGACAGTATAAAAACCAATCAGAGGCAGTCATTTATCCTGCTGAAGGAAGATGACAGCCATTACTGGAGTGGAAGTGCTGTGTGTGCAGGTACAATACACTCATTTATTATTCCTATCAAAGTGCTTATTAATGTTGTGAATCTTTTTCCAGCTTCCTTCACAGGCTTCTTTAATATGCATGTAAAGCACCACATACTCAGCTGGAAAAAAAGAGGTTTTAGATAATGACCCAGAGCAGTAAACATAAAAATGTATTAGCAAAGCAGTGGACCTCTCATGCCTGAGTACAGTATTATATATCATAAAACCCAAATATAAAAAGGGCATGGATCCTGTGGAAGCTTTTATCGCACTCACAATTTAATTAAATTTCACATGGTTTTCATGTAATGGAAAGAGGGGTGATTTCCTCGCCAACCTGTTCTGTCACTGAGGCAACAGCTGCTGTCGAGAACCAAAAGAGATTTACATGATACAGATGGAATCATCCACGACAGATGCAAATAATTCATCAGTTTCAAGAGAGGAGGTGGTAATGTTTTCATTATTTTATCTAAATAACTATAGTTACAAGCTCAGCCTTAAGATGGTGATTTATAGATTTGTCCCTGTTGTACAAACACGCTTTATTTATCTGTAAACTGTTTTAACTTCAAGTGAATCAACATTCTCTCAAATGGCAAATTAAACATCGTTCTTCAAACATAAATTTGACACGAGGATTCTCCATCTATAAAAGGTAACACTAATCTCAGCCCTTGTTGCCTGCTGTTGTCTGTCCTTATCTGGTTTTATGTCTTCATGAATTTTTCCAAGTTTTGGTTGTAAACTGTGATTCACTCGGATTTCATATTCCAGTCTGATCTGATATTTGTCAAGTTTTCTTCTACCAATACAACAGCAACAAACTATTCTGTGTCTCGGGCAGCCACACTAAATGTGGTTGGCTCCCACTGCCCACGTTTTTTTACTGATGCTCAGTTTATCTGTTCTGAGCTTCGGTATAAATCATGCCAGTCTCCAGAGGGAGGACCTGCTACTTCTAAAATATATAGGGTGACCGTAGATCCTCTGTTACCCAGACATGTCCTCTTTTCTGGGGGCTGTCCGGCCTTGTCCGGGTTGAGTTTATAAAATCCCTCAAACGTCTGGAGTTTTGTATGGAGGTTTCGAGTTTGTGTCGCATGGACTTACTGAGTTAGACGCACGTGAAAGACACCCTATCCAACCCGAAAAACTCTCAAAATTAACTACCCACGACTCCCTGGCCCTTCCCCTGTGTAGCCCTATCCTCTTTTGCCGATCCAGAATATGGTCACCCTAAAAATATAGGACTATTACTAAGTTATCAGATATGAAATGATTGTGATGTTCAATGCAATTTAAAGTCCCACTCAGATCAATTTTTTTAACAACTTAAAGTGTTCTCAGTTGTCTTTAAATTGTGATTATGGTGTTTTTTTTAGCCAAAACCACGTTACCTGTGTCATTATCGAGAGCTTTTCTTCGTACACACTGGTTCCGCGATCGTCCTGTCTTCTTCTTCAAGTGTTGCTTGCATTGCAGGGCTCTGGGGGCGGGGCTTGGATTTGTGATATAGGAAATCTCACTGTGTCTGAACCTGCCGTGTGGGTCGGTGAGAGGTTCCCAGCGATTTGAATGCAGAAATACTCTTAAATGCAATTTTGATCATCATTTTCTCATATGTCCTGTAGCATCAGAAAAATGCCTTATGAACATGTAGACAACAATAAAAACATGATTTTCATCAGAGTGGCACTTTAGACTAGTTTAGCATATTTCTGCATAATACATTTCCTCTTCTTTGGAAAAATGCAGCTAAATTCCACGCACGTTATTTAAAATTTACTGCTTTGTCTGAAGTATCAGTGAAAGTTGGAGTGGCTGCAAACCTTACAGATGGTGGGCAATGACAGCTGAAAAAGGTGGACATTTTAGATTTAATTCTGACACCAACATGTCAGTGGACGAGGTCTTTTGACACAGTGAGGCGGATGGAAACAGGAGCCTGCAGAGAGAAGAAAATAAGTGGACTAGTATTTTCGGGATGACGACTGACTACTGACTGGGTTTGTTTGTAGCTTTTGTTTTCCCATTTTCCCTGAGGCATCCTCATTACTTTTTTTTTTTTTACCCTACAGTATCTGGCTGGTGTAGTGCTTGCAGGAAATAATGAAATTCCTTGCAACATGTTGGAAAGGACACCTTTCCTTCCCTGCGAAAGCGTGAGAAATGTTAATCCTCACTCACAGAGGGAGCTTTTTGGCCTCAGACAGAGAGCAGTAGCCCAACGTCAGAGTCATTGAAAATGGCTGGTGTGCTGCCAAGTATTGAAAAGGAAAGTCGGCTCATTTGTTCTTGAAGAAGTGGAAAGTCTGCTTTTTTTATTGTGTTTTCGGACAAAACTTAAAATAAATGGTAGGTCTGAAAGTTAATAGAGACAGTGGGTGTGGTTACCATTGGATGAATACCAAAAGGGGTCAAGATGTGTAATGATGAAATCTGAGGGCCCAAATTTACAAGTTGGAGATAAACAAGCCAAGGACTAAATCAATGCTCAAATTAACAGGCTTACAGTCCAGCAGGATAAGACAGCTCAACAAGCAAACACACCCAGAGAGCCAGGTCATAAAGAGGCAGCTGGTCAAAGCACAGGCAGAAGCAATGTCAAGAAGATAATCAGCGAGAGGAGAAAACAATCGCTGAAAAGACAAGTGAACAAAGCAGAGAGTGAGATAAACCGGCAAAAAAGTGGTAAACTGGCTCTGTACACTTAAAAAACTGATGGGAAAATAAGAGGTGGTGTGTTTGTGAGGGAGGCTGCCAGACAAGCAAGTGGACAGATGGAGAATTTAAAGTCCTGGAAACAAAATCAGCCGAGCAAGAGAGTTGAAGTGGACAGTTTTAAGATTTGGGACCATGGTGGTTCGACATTCAAGCCAGTTTGCCTCATAACCCTTACAGAAACTTTTTTAAGGTTTTAATATGTTTCATCCATCATTGACTAAAAAGAGCGCAAAGTGCTCAGCATATGCAAAAGTCTCAAGAGCGAAAGAAGAATGATAAAGTCGGTGCTGCGAAAAGAAACTATGAGAGATAAGAAAAAAAATTGTTGAGCTCTGGCAGCAGCATCCCGCTTTCATGATGTGTTGTCAAGGACTTTGACAGGATGAAAAAAGGACAGTGATGGAGAGAAATAGCAGAGGCACTTCAGCAGCCCAGTGAGTGTTACAGGTGATGTCTAGCCCAGCTCCTCTTCCTTCCAATGTCATCATGTTGTCCATCATGTCTGTGGCACAAACTTGACCCTGTGCTGGTCTTACCTGATTCAATGACTGTTGTAGTCATTGAAAAATGTCAATAAAATACTAAGTAGATAGAATTGGTGAAAAAATCAAAGAGGGTGGGTCTTTAATGAAGCTCAGTCCACACAACCTACTTCTTATATTATCAACCTCTGATATTTTCCGCTCTTAATTACATAATCATGGAGAGTTTCCTCTTAATCCACTGAAGACCTGAATTTAAGATGTAAACTTAAAGCTCCCATGAGGAACTTTTGATTTGCATCAATTTTGGCGTCTCCTGTGGACAAAATAGTCTTTGCTTACATTGGCCTCTACATGCTGCCCAAAAAATCATCACTGTTGTTGCTAATTTAGTTTTCGTTTTTGTCAATTTGGGATTGATATGAAATTGATTTATTTTGCTTAAGCCATTTTACTTTAGCTTGCAGCACCGTACGGCTTCCTGTTTACTGTCGGCTTCTCATCATCATTCTACCTGGCAAAATGACGGCGAAAGTTGGGAGAAAGAGTCGGATATGAAATTTCTTAAAAAACGACAGTGAGAAAGATTAAAGCAAGTGCCTCGTAGTGGAACCTGGTGATAAAATATGTGGAATACTTCTCAAGGGAAAAAAACTCGAACGCTAATCGTGAGTACCCCGACGAAGTGGCCTCTTTGAGTAGCTTCCCTGAAGGAGAAGCAATATCCCCGCCAGGAGATCGCACTGAGAAGCAGGAGACAACTATTATAGACTGTTTTCACAGACGACGTAATCGATGCTGGTTAGTAAACAAGCATGTCTACAAGACTCTGCTGATTGCCGTCGAAGATTTTAGCTTTTTACTCGAGCCAAAATACAAATCACCCAGTGCTGCACGGGTGAATAATCACTCAACGCTGATCCTGAGCCAGGAGGTTTAGATGCTTCACCTCAACATAGCCAACCTACCAGAGAGAGCAGCAGATACACCGGCATAAATAGCTAAAAAACCAACACAATAAGATAAAATGTGGTAAAGGCGACTCCTTAAGCCAGAGAAGCTTTCCACTGCCTCACTAAAATGCAGCAGGTGTCTTTAATGGAAGAAAGACAGCTGAGCACACACTGCCACACTGAGCAGATCCAACATAGCCTTTTGCAAGCAACACACAGCACAAACAGGCAGTGAGTGTAATGATGCAGCCACAGACGGGCTTCTCAGCAGTCAGTGGTTGTGACGATGCTGAGTGTGTGTCAGGGAAAAGGTTGGTTATATGACAGGGAGAATAGATTGCCTTTGAGTTTGGGGTTTGAAGATTTTTCAGTTCTGAGGAATTAGCTGGAGGAGGTTGGCTCCAGATTTATGGAGCTTGGCAGGAAAATGCTCAGCACCTCCTTATTTTTCTTCTTGATTTCTTTAGACAGCGAGAAAAATGAGACCCCCTCCGGACATGAGGGGAAGGAGAGGTCAGATAAATAGGCTGCTAAGCACTTGCAATGATTTACACATTACCGAGGCTGTTTAAAGTGAAATCCAACTTGATTTTTTTGGGTAAAGGTGCTTACTGCAAGTACAAATAATAGTCCTGAACCTCATGAACTGGCTTAAGTAAATCATTATTCACAGATAGAGTCATTTCACTTCCAGCAAAAGTTACTTAGAGTGTGGTTGAAAACTCAGCAGTGATTTCCACAGGGATGCAATGACAGCAAGAAGATTTACAGTAAGAAACATACTTTGTCACAATACTTCCTGACTGATCCGATCAATTTGATCAGGTTAAATGCCATTGTGATTCACTTTGGAAAGGTTTGGGGAAGTCAATAATGTATTATGATAGAAATATTAAATATTTTACAGTCATAGTGGCTTCTTCGTCATTAGAATTCCCACCTGCCAAGTGCTTAAGATCTTCCTATTGTCAACAACTCTGACGGCACACCAAACGCGAGTAAAATCATCTACTCACTAAATTCACGCAAATCTAGACACGTGGATGAAGAGCATTTACTCGCTTCATTTGCATGTCAATGGTAAATTCAACGGTAATCCCTGCCAATTCAACCAGGGGGAACAAGTGATGGACAAAGGTTTTTAACAATTTACCAGGTAATCCGACCTCCTCACTCACTTGCCTCCAGGTGAGCTCCTTTTTATTCTGGTTTCGGTAATTGAAAGAAAAAGTATCATATAATTTGGGGCACCAACAGACCAACACAAACAGTTTGTTCTCCATTTTAGATACCAGTGAATAATCGTCCATTTTCATACGTCACCCGGCAACCTTTGTGCTGATTAGTTATTGCGACGCAAATATCCACTCAAGTTAAGACATTTGCAGCTCATGCCCAATTTGCATCATTCATGCGTCGCCAGAGTAGTAGGAGCATCTAGTCACGCCTTTGTATTGACTTAGCATGTAATTCATTAAGGCGAATGATTTTACTCGAGCTTGGTGTGTGGAGACAGTGAGGCTTCTTCTCAGAATCCAGGAACTGCCCAAGACCTGTCTGCTTCTCAACCTGAAGCATGGCTCACATCTGTCCTTGTTTCTGTATTCTAGGCTCAAGTACAGCTCACACTTGTTTCCACTTCCTTTGGACGACACAATATATCCCTATTGATTCCTTCTCTAACCCAGATCCATCATCCATCATCCCTGAGGGTCACAGGTTGTCTCTCCCAAGGCCCACGCCTCCATGGACCAGCCAGCAGCATTTTCCATGAATCTGCTGCAGTGCTCTTTGTCCTGAGCTGCAGGTAGTCCCCCAGTGCAGAACTGTGGTTCTTGCTCAGCTCTCTCTTTGTGCATTCTTCCTCTACCCTCCTTTGACCTATGGCCAAATCACCAGTTGCCACATGGGCCAGCCTCAAGGTAGACTTTCAGAGTTTTTCTGTCACTCCTGGCAACCACCTTTCCATTTACCAGAACATATCGCTCTTCCCCTGCTCTGTCCTCGGGCTGTCTGCCAAAGGGTTACTGCTCTGCCTCTGCTCCACCAAACAACATCTGCCTGTTTAGTCCTTGTCCAGTCTTCTGTCTGTTTGTTTGATATCTCTTGATCTGTTCATCCTAAAACCCCCAAAACAACCTTGCTTCTAGAATTTGTCGCTTAATGTGATGATAATGGAAGAGGTCTTTGAATGGTTTCTAAGGTCCTTGACCTTCTTTTATCAACACACCACTCGCTCTCCAACTTCCCTTTCTTTCAGATGCTGCCACATAAAGCCCTGCAACATCCCTGCAATCAATGACTCCCTTTTACTTAAGCTTTTAAATTATCTCCTCAAATACAGTTAAGTGTTTCATCAGCTTATACCACTGTTTATCCATCAAGGTCCTCCATCAGTTCATCTCTGTTTCTGGGTAAAAGACTTATTGTCAGCCAGTGTCTCAGCGCAGCAAGTTCAGCAAGTGAGATAAGATAAGATAAGATAAACCTTTATTCATCCCAGAGTGGGGAAATGTGCAGTGTTACAGCAGCAAAGGTTCAGCACAGCAAACATAGAAGAATAAGTACACTCAACATGAACACAGATAAGTAACTTTAGAGACCGTGTACAAGCAGACTAAACAAACTTGCATGTAATTTTAACCACATGTAAAATGTATCACTCGCCACTTGTGTTTTGGAGCATACGAGTATGACTGGTGAGTAGAGATGTGACGTTTGCGAACAAGTCAGTCATTTGAACGGCTCTTTGAAGTAAACGAGAACCAGTACACAGTTGCGAGCCATTCTTGTATGCAGATTGCCCACGCTGCCTTTATGTGTCATCTGTGTGCCCCAAACACCAGGTAGGGTAGTACAATTTTGCATTCACATTTTTCCCGTCTTTATTTTTTATCACTTTTTATTGCTTTATCACAGTCTTTTAAACGGCTTTTCAAAAGGAACGGCACCTCAAGATCCAGCTCCTCTTAAAAAGCCGTAAATCCCATCGCCAGTGAGACTGGTGAACTCCTGTCTCATACTTACAAAAAAAAGTCTTGCTGGTACATGTCTAGGTGTGTCTGGCACACACAAACTACATATCATGTTGTAGTATGAATGGTATGATATCATATTATCACAAACAGCCCCTAGTCTTTGCTATGCCTGTAGTGCACACAACGCAGATATTTCTTTTTCTTCTTTTTTTGTTTGAACTTTTTTATCATCTGAAAGGTAAGGTATATCATATATTTTTACTTGTCTAAACATGATTCTGATGTACGATAGTTTTGTCCAGGAAAGTCCTCCATAGAAAAACTGCTCAATTTGTGCTCCATAAGTTAAGATAAACCTTCAACATGTATGTTGCCTAGAGCAGCACAATATATAGCACATCTCATATGACTTTTTTTGTTGGGTTGATTTTTCTTTGCTTGATTTTGTTTTTAATTTGTTATATATCTAAATCATACAGTATCAAGTGCACGACTGGAGATACAACACTCCCTAGCACAAGTGAAAAACCATCATTTAATCTACTTAAAAAACTGCAATTGCAGTCATTTTACTCTGCTAAAGAGACAGTAAAACACTAAAGCCCCGTTTATACGTATCCAGTTATTTTTAAAAACGGCGACATTAACCATCGTTCGCTCCATTTATTTAGACGCGAACAGAGAATTCACCCCTGTAAACGATGCTGTTTAAGAAACTCCGGCCAAAGTGGAGATTTTGAAAAACTCCGTTTGCATGTTTGCATGTAAACGGAGAGAAACAGAGAAAAACAGAGGTAACTGAGATTTGGGTAGCCGACGGCAGATTGTGCGCTGAGAGAAGGAAGTGACTCTGTTGTTGTTGTTGTTGTTGCTGCTGCTATGCAGGATTCTGATTGGCTAACGTGGGCTTGAGCTTCTCGCTACAGGTTTGGCATGCTCTTGAAAGTGTATATACAGGGGTTCAGTCTATGGTGTAAATGAAAATGTAGTGGTGTGCATGCAGTTTTTTTGTTGTTGTCTGTAAACGGAGAGGGTGAAATGTCCGTTGATGAAAATAGCCAGGCACATGTAAACATAGTCCTAATGTTACAGATAAAATACAGATATAAAGGTGCAGATGCCTACATTTGGACGTAAAGGATATACTGTTGCATCTGTGTGGTTGTACATTATTTAACAGTGACTTTATTTGTTATGTAAAGCCTTATTCAATGCCACTTATGCTAAACGAGAGCTCTATTAGGACCAGATGGAAGAAGCAATAAAAGACCCTGAGAGCTGACAAGTGTGCATGCAGAGACATCAATATCACACGTTTAAGATCTGACATGAAATAACAATGTTTATTAAAGGGGTTTTAAATGTAAAACACAATGCAGAACACCAAATAGTACATCAATCATTTCATGCAAAAGAATCAGCCGAAAACTTTTGATTGAAAACCTGAATTGTTCTCAGTGGGAGATCGACTAAAACAAGGGAGTCAAAATATGCAAAATATGAGCAGAAGCAAAATAGAGTATTGCAGGAAATATGAGTTTTTGATGAGATGAATCCACGGGTTTTACTGTATTCAGCCCGGTGGATCCAGGCAGCAAAGGATTATGGATGGTAAAAATGAGAGGATCTATACAGAGATGGATTCTGTAAACGCTCCTGCAGCTTGCACTGGAGTAGAAGATTTTACTGAAGCAAGAAAAGGGGGGCCGCTGCTATAACAGTAAGATACAAATCTGCAGGAATGATGCACAAATGCTTTATTGTGGGGGAGGCAGCTAAACATACAGGACCATCTCAGGGAGAAATGAATGACAAAGTCAGGAATGTTCTGTGATAGTATCCCTCTGAAATGTGTTAAGCAGGCAGTTAAAGTGGGACACAGGGGAGAGACGTGGATCAGTAACACCCTGTTTGTCTGCGAGGAAGAACAAATAATGATCATAATGAATAAATATGAGCAACACCAGCGCAAATGTAACAGCAGCTTCTGCCAAGCGCCGAAGAAGATAGCTGCAAGAAAACTGCATATGTAAGTAAATAGGCTTATCACTGCCAGGTCATTAAAGCTCTATGGGGATTTTTTTTATTAATACAGTATGATGTCTTCACACTGAGACGGTGGCAAGACTTTACAATCACAAAGGTTTTCTTTGCTCTGTGTCCCCTAAAGGCTGCATTGATGTGAAAATGAGCTCTTTCAGTTTCTCTTTGGACTCAGATGAAGGAATTTCAAAACACTTAACACTCAAAAGCGCATTTCATTGGGTAAATATATTTAACTCTTACAACTCTCCTTCGTACTCGTTTATATGACTTTGGGAACATCAAGGCCCCGATTTTTATTTGCACGGTTTATGGCACTTCATGTGTTATGATTCCCACAGCCTGAGCGGGTTAGCGCAGCTTCAAACTCAGTCGCTGTCTTGAGACTGAAAAGCCACAGCTAAACCCAACTTTAGTTTTGTGACCCGCTAATCCTGCTTCATGAGAAAAAGACCCTTAAAAACAAAATCTTAATGTCACATCTTATCCCAGAAGCCTTCGCCTGCCACACTCCTTTTCAAGTAAGCTCCTTCATGTAGCGGCTTGTAGAGCAAAGTGGAGCTGGTGAACAGAAAATAAGCTCTTTTCCTCTTTCATAGCCCACACTTATAGTCATGTGTGCTTTATGTAAATGTTTACAAACTGCGGGTGCAAATTAAAATTTAACAGCTTGGAGTTTATGTACATAAATAAATTCAGCAAGATGCCTGTGGAAGGATTTAAATGGATTGGAAATTTTGCCACAGGAAGAGTTCAGTAAAACAGTAAAATAAGACCAATGAATAAACAACATCAAGTAGAGCTACTTTGGTCACAAGAGAAATGGTACAGAGATAGACCATCACAGAAATAAATGTCACTTTTTCCGATTTGCACCCCAAATCCATCATTTACATTTACAGGGAAACTGTTGGCCTAAAGAAAAATACAATTTATCCTTCACTCCAAATTATATCCAACTGAACATTTCAGTTTAAGTGACAGGGAAACCTCCTCCACAGTTGTCACAATAAACAATGGCTTCTAGAGGTAATACCTCACTGACCTCTACCTCAACTTCTTCGTAGCACAAAGTCTTCTCTGTTTCTTTATCAGTTCACACAGACTCATACTCTGTCCTCATTAACATACCAGAGTGCCTGAGACACGTGGGATACATCTGATCTACTCTAATCTGGCTATGTGCAGGTGTAGTAACATGATACGCATCAGATAAGCGTGTTGGCATCACAGGTGGTCGTATCAAACACAAGTGAGTCACAGTATGTTGGAGAGCATGGGAGGTGAATGTTTGTGGAGGAGAATTCAAAGGGGTCGCTCTGAAACATACTCTTATCTGCTCTTGTGAATTTGACTTTTACCACTGATAAGTTAAATACATGTCATCATGATGCTGAAAAGGGAATCGTATCTGTTTTGTTCAGCTGTTTATTTAAAATCCAAAAACATCTAGTGTAAAATTACAGCAAATATCGACCTTACTGTTCCAGCAGCTATAGTCAAAAACTCCTTACCACCTGAGCTGAGCCAGCAATAGCACATTAAGAATAATAAAATTTATCCTTAACATTATAAAAAATGTAAATAGTTTATCTAGATGATATCCAACCTTTCCATTTTGGATTAAATAACCTATGAATGAAACTTTAATAATCATAATGGAAATCCAGCAAACATACTCTTAATAATATTGGCATGTTAGCATCATTATTGTGAGTTTATTAGCATCACTGTTATTCGTATGACGCTCACGGTGCTGCTGTGCAATCTGTAATATGGTTGGTATGAATCAAAGTTGAAATATAACAAAGTGGGGATTTCTACATGGGAGTTTTACTCTACTGTGCTTAAGATTGATCCTAAAATGCCAGATCTCCACATTACTAGATCCACGAATCATTCATGAGTGGTTCTGTAGAACATGGGAATAACTATAAACTGAATATCAGAAGTAGACGCCATATTTAAGTGCTTCCGGACCGTGGTGGAACATGACTTTTTTGAGAAGGGTGGCCACAGACCTTTGTTGGGGTGTCCAGGTGTGATGACCTGATAGGCTTACCCCAAACTGAGGAGGATCATCCTCATTTATCTACCTAAACTTTCACCAGAATCCAAAAAAAGTTCCACTCTTGTACACAATTTTTAACTTTCGGAGGGAACTTCACAATGTGCTAACATTTACATCTTCTGAGCCCAGATTTTTAAAGAGAGGAGTCAACCTTTACATAAATAACAAATGAAAATGCTCCATGTTGAAATGAAAACAAACTACAAGCAGCAGGTGGATACACAACGCAAATAGCTGATTTCAATACATTTGCCGGTGTGGGTACCAGATGTGTTTGGACTGCCAGATCAGCTCAGGGCCCAGTGCCTGTTGAAGATGTCACACTACGGCAAGTCCACTCGGACAAAATACACTGCACTCCATTCAATAAGTCAAATGTGCTCGGTTAGAAACCCCTAGCAGTTTTCTTTATTTCTGTTTGCTCAAGAAATTCACCTTGAAAGTTTCTCTCGACATAATACAACTTCCTTTATTATATTTTTTTGGATGGCTTTAATTGTAAATGTTAACTTTCCTTAAGGAAAAAGAAAAAATAATGTATGCAGGATCTTCGTTTATCAATAGATATTTTTGCTTTTAGTCTACATTTCCTTTGGCCACCTAAAAGAGGCGGGTGTCTGACTGTCGTAGGTCCCCTTTGATAAGTAGCAATAAATCGCTTCGTAAAATTCGAAGAACGACAATCCCATGAAACCTAATCTGCCGGAAACCGCTTCTGTAATGTCCGAACCAACCAGAATCTTCTATGTCATCCGAACCAACTTTCAGCCAATCAAATAGCGCTGTGTCATCAACAGATTTGCCAGCCCGAACACATCTGGTATCTTCATCAGCTCTGATAAACGAAACTTGATTTAAAAAGATGATTGACAGCTCTCCTAACAATTTGGACACCTGCTGCATTCAGTACCAGACTAGCAAAGAGGAAGAACAGCAAGAAAAAGCAAGAGTCATTAAATTTTCCATAGCCATAAGCGTCTGCTTCAGAACAACACAAGAATCTGTTCTGCTGTGGGCTGTTCCGACCTGAGGGACTTTTAATGTTTTATCAGTACTTTAAAAGGGTCTTTTGGTTAGTGTGACGTCAGTCCTGTGACTCCACCAGCCGGGTTTCTTCTACGCATGCCTTGGCTCCACCAGCGCAGAATGTCAGAGCACACCGAGGGATATTTCGGATACTAAGGCAGCCTGTTTATATACAGCGCAGCATCTCTGAGGATAACATCCTCTTTTTATCTAAAGGACAAAACAGGAGGCACCACCCTATGACACTATTTGGGTCTGCAGTGAAATTACATTAATTGACTTCAACTATAGCAATAAGCACAGCCTAATAAAGCTGCTGGAATAGCTGTGAACTCTAGTAACCTGCACACAGTAATAACCATGTTTAATTAGACCAAATGATTACAGACACTCAGTAAATAAGGGCCTGTAGGAGGGATGGTGAGCTGTACGTGCGAATTATTGTAGTATTTTCTCAAAAGAAGAGACAGACAGAGCAAACTTTATAAAGACGATCTGATTCCAGACGCAAAGTTCAAAGATAGATGATGTTTTCCTCTTCGTGTCTTACTGGTGGGATTTGCTGCTCTTTTTATTCGAGTTGTGCATCTGTGAGGGCTTGTGCTCAAAGCCCTTCTGCTCTTTCTTCTCCCTGAGCCCAGGATAAGATAGAACAGGACCTGCTGTCTAAAGCTGGCCTCTTTTGAGGCACTTTGGCTCCTTGCCTACATGCAGTGCTGACCTGGAAATGAAAAGCATAAAGTGAGGGCTCTGGAAGGATGACAGAGCTGTGTCCCCGTCTGCCTGACAGAGCTGATCTTTAATGCTGCTTCGCCTCTTCTGAGCTGTCAATCTGCTCTCCCTCAGACCCATAACTGGCTGTTCTCGCCTTCTTCTAATTACGTCTCTTAAGCTTAAGTTTGTCATAACATATTGGTGCATGGCGTCGTGGCAGTTATGAGCCTGGACAGCCTCGACTTCTCTGACAGCTCGGTACTCTCCGAGCTTATGCCTCGGATGGCCCACGGTGAAATTGAAGATTCTTTTTCTTGATCCTTGTCCATATTTCAGCAACATACTTAGCAGTGGAAAGGACAGAATAGTAAGACCTCCTCCTACATCATCCCGAGGTGTCAGCTTAGATGTCATGTTTTGCAGAGTATGGCTGCACCTCTTGCATTCGGGAATCAGTTTCTTCTTGAATATACTTTCATGCTAGCAGGGGTTTAATATTGTATTAAGCTGAGATGGGGATGGGTGTCGTTAGCATGCAGAGGATGAAGCTCGCAATAACTGGCTTATTAGATATAGGTGAGTAAATACAAAGATATTTTGGCAGATAATTGAGCAGCAGGGTGTGCCATACGGAAACTTCAACAGAGCCAGTTGCTGATTTTTGCAGCTCACGAGCCCTTCAATTACTGCAGAAAAATTTTAATATAGAAACTGCTTTTCTCAGCCGCCAGAAATTAGAAAGTCGGAGTCAACTAATTAATTGGGGCAGGCAGGACCTGTCTCTCTGAATTGACATTATGTCGCACAGATTGCATGCAGATTACAGAGCATCCACCCGCTAATGACCTGCTGAAATATCAGAGAGTTGAGCCCCCTGAAAACACACAGAGGTGTCTGAAGTATTTAATATCCGTCTTGAAAGGGATGAACAAAAAACTGCCAAAAACACAGTAATTCCTCTCCACGGGAACGAAGACTGAGATCTTCAAAAATACAAAGAGAATTGAAAAATGGTGACAATGTGAAAACCACTGTGGTAATCATTGGCTTTTGTTCACTTTTGAAGGATAGTGAGTTCAGTTTTGTAGCATTTCAGGTTGAGTGGGGTTAGTGGTGTCATATCAAGGGTTCCCTCTTAATGGTCTGATTGCCCAGCATATATAATGATTGGCTATTTCCCCATTCAGAGGAGAGACTTAAAGGTAGAGTTGGTAATCATGGCAAACTAGCATGAATTTGAATGTAGCATCTCCTTAGGACTTCGTCTAGCCGCTCCCCCCGTCCCCTTGGCGCTCCTCCGAAACCCCGCCCCCGCTCACATACATGAGCTCTGCTGTCTGCTGATTCAAAACCACAGACTCAAAACTTTGGGACTTTAGATTGGGAAGTCTTTGCACAGCAGGGACAAAGAAGGTAACGTTAGCATCGGGATGACCACATAACTAGCAACATGGCTAAATACTTGATCAAGATTAAAAATCACCCTGAAACAAAACCCTCACCGTATCTTTAACAGAAAATGAGTGACCATGGCATCATCCTTAAAGCCCTTGACATCTTTCAGTTCTCTTCATCGCTAAAAAACTGTCCCGATGTTGACTTTAGTTTTCGCCTTGCTTTCTTCAAACTCTGTCTTGCTTTGGCCATCTCTGCCTCCGTCTTTCTTTTCTTTCTCTTTTTTGCAGGAGGAGCGGTCACCGTTAATCTGGGTATAGGTAGTTTCTCTGTCATTCTCCAGTGTAGCTGTATCCCTCTCAGCTTGGCTATGCGTGTTAAGTCGGGGCCAGTCCACGCAGGAGGCAAGCTCGGGATTTGATTGGTTTAAAAATGTGGGACCCACACAATGTGATTGGTTGGTGTTTTCCGAGTTTTGCTCCTGCTGTAGATCGTGGCTATGTTTCGCTCTTTTTTAAGAACACATCATGTATCGATTGCCATCAGAACATGAAGATCATTTTAACCAGAATAACAAAAAGTGCATCTAAATCAGATTCCCAACCCTACCTTTAACTTTAAACTAACTCAAGAATTTTGTTGCGGCAAGAGTGCTTGTCATTTTTGTTGGTACTTTTCTACACGGCTATTGGAGATTAACACTTTTAATGTGTCCTTAAAGAGTTGATGATTTGGCTACGGCTGCTTTTTTAGTTAAGAAATGTTTACACAGTGTGCACATATCTCATACCAGCCCTTGATTAGTGAGTGCCTCAGTTGCACTGCATCATTAAAAATTTGTGAACATAGCCTTGTTGACTAGAATATGGTCTTTAAAAAAGTTAGCTTGACAGACTAGAGTCCTTGACATACGAGTTGGTAATGATTAATCTGAAAGTTGCCTATCCATCTACCCAGAAAAGCTGTCCACATGTTTTCTTGACATTATTCCAACTAAACTCCTTTAAAAAGTTACAGCTACTGTGGACTATTGTATTATCAAAAATATACATAGCTCCCTAAACACTGGTCATGTCCACTCACTTTAAGAAAAGCAGAATTCAGATCCTTTACTTCTCAACAATTACATGCCCATCTCAAAACTCCCATTTCTTTCCAAAATTCTAGGAAAAGTCATATTTTATCAAGTCCCATCTGACCCAAGACTGCATATTTAAAAAAAAATCCAATCTGGTTTCAGAGCACTTCACATTCACAGTGCTGAATCTGCATTATTAAAAATAACTAATGACCTTCTGTGAGCTGCTGGCTCAGGAAACCGCTCCATTCTTTTGCTCCTGGATCTATCTGCCGCCTTCAATATTGTAGATCATTGTATTCTTAAAGACAGGCTACAACAATAGGCAGGGGTCCTGCTTTAAACTGGTTTTCTTCCTTTTAATGCAACAAATCCTTCAGTGTCTCTCAACCTCTTCATCGGCTCTTATTCCCCTATGGTGTCCCCCAGGGTCCCATTCTTGGACTGATCCTCATCTCTGTCTATTTGCTTCTTCCACTAGGCAGTATTATTAAAATACACTACATTTCTTTTCACTGGCATGAAGCTCTCTATTACTGTCTTAAAGATATTAAATTATGGATGGCTGCAAATTTTCCTCAGCTTATCGAGAATTAAACAAAGATACTTTAATAAGGTCCTCAGACTTTGACAGTATTTCACCTCATCTTGGCCCATTCACTCCCTCTAAAAAACCTCAAGTGAAAAACCTTGGACTCTGAGGTTAAAAGTAGGTTTCATACAACTCTGTCTGCACCATCTCCAAACTGAGATATATTTTAGATACTTATGAATTATGGAAAAAGTCATACATACATTTATATAAGCTGACCTTGACTGTAACATCTCTTTGTATTTTGGTATCATCCAGTCATCTTCATCACGTCTTCAAGTAGTCTAAAATACAGCAGCTAGAATTCTGACCACGGACCACATTACTCCAATTCTTGCCTCTTTACTCTTCCCATCAACTACAGAATCAATTTTAAAATCCTTTAGTTTGTTTTTAAGGCATTAAATGGACCAGCTCATTCATATATCACAGAACTCTTGACAGAGAAATAAGGCCATCTAACCAAACCCTCCTGTCTGTCCAGAAACCGAGAGCCTTTTTCTATCAACAATCAAGAGCTGGATGGTGACAAAAGTGATTATAATGAAAAGAAACAGAAATGAGACTGACTGTCAGAAATGTCACTCTCTCTCTTGTGCCCTTGTCATGGTAACTACAGCTGAAGGTTTTGTTATTAGAAACAGACGAATATGAAATGACTGGCGCTGCCTTCAATACACGCTACTCTGGTTTAATGGAGCAGCTTAATAAGCATGGTATAGATCTTCACACATCGAATTGTGTAAAAATATCCCTCTCATGACTAATTCAAACACTCTTCCTGAACAAAAACAAAGACACACGTTTACAATATGATTCGAACCCTTCATTCAAGTGTTGAAGCGTTCAAGAGGCTGATAAATGTTGTAAGAGTTTAAGCAGGAAGAGTTTCCACATCAGCAGGTCGACCCTCAGTAAACTTACTCTGCAGATCATGGGCCGGACTACTGATATCAACTGCTTTTCCATCCTGTGAGTTATGCAGCGTCTCAGGATTCATTTCTAGCTGAATATCTGATAAAACTGTTTGGTTTTCGATTGCCCGTGTCATTGTCCTGATTATTAACATTCCTTCACTGTGTTGCTATCTCATCCTTGAGCTGATAAGCTAGTTTTATTGCCACTGAGGATTTGTTCTGGGTTTGTCCCGGTTACTGGCTCGTTTATACTTCATCTCATGTGTCTGCATTTGGGAAAGGACTATATATTCTCCTATGTCCTCATTGTAGGCGATAAAAATCATTGCAGTGACTGAATTCACACGTCAGGCATCAATGGATCTGGTTTTAGACCTTCTGTGGTGTATGGCTGTCATGTGATGAGCCTCAATAATATATTTAAATACCCTTGAGGCGTATCACACAGGAGTAGATATGGTGTTGGCTTCTGTTGCTTTGGGATTACTCTCCACATCAGGCTTAATAGGACCAATCAGTGTGACACTCCCCACAGCTGTCTTTAGAGGCTCAGGAACAACAACAAATAAAAACACAACACCTTCAATAAGATGACTGTGAAAGGGTTAGATACACTATTTAATAAGGGTGCCACGATTCTACAAATCCTCGATTCGATTTTAGGGTCACGATTCGATTCTTTTTCTGACAGCACAGAGGCCTTTGCCATTTTTAGACTGGTCTAGGCTACGATCATTGGTTTTATTCATTACATTTTGTACTGTAGTTGTAACCCTCTATAATCCAGAAAAGCGGTGATTTTCACTGTCCACCAATTCCTACCGGGTCCGTTTGTGAGGCGAATTTCTTTGCGGATTACGGACAGCAGTAATCGCCACATAGGCTAACCATATACGCAGTAGATTGTGTCCTTCCAGACAAGGAAATCTTCTAGACTTCTAAAATCAGCATCCTCTCATCCATGGTGTCATCGGGATGAAATGCTGTCTATAAACCTTTCACTTGTTCATCCCTGCCTGTTTGCATGGTGTGAAATATACAATCAACCTGAAAACCCAGAGTGTTTTATTTTGAAAAGAAGTTGGATGTTTTATTTTGGGTCTGTGCCCGACTTCCTTTCCAGCATGGCTTAATCTGTGCTGAATTTATCCAGCATGCTCCAGCAACTGGAAAAAATAGTCTTGCGATCAGCTGCGGAGTCCAGCGATCCAAGAAAGAAGCTGGTGGAAACTGACAAATTAACTTGAATGGTTACGATCAGCTGTGATCGGCGGATACGGCCTTTTCGTAGCAATTCTGGATGCAGTGGAAATGGGGGTGATGGTAGGCTGGACCAGTGATGCCGTGTTCCCAGTGGTTAAATCAACATCTTTGTGATGCTGGGGAATGTGTGCGGCCATGTTTGTCTTGTTACCCATAGTCAGGTGAGCTTCATACACGCAGCATAGTTCACACACCATCATCTTCTTGTCGACAACACGAACATTGTTGACGTAACTCACCAAACGCCAAGTATTTCCATACTTGAGAATTGTGAGAGGCAGGAGCAGCTTCAAGTTCCGGTAGGGCGTCTCCTTTATCCGCACTGACCATGGTGTCATAAGTGGCGTCGGCTTGTGTCGGTAGTTCAATGTGCAGCGTTGTCATTTGCTTCTACTTTTCTCTCTTTGATTTCGATTATCGAGACCATGAAGTAATTTCGATCGATTGTGATTAAAAAAAACACAAACTTTCCAACACCTGCAATAGGCTGCTAGTTCTGTAAACAGTTGAACAGCTCACATGATGTTTAATTCACTTCATTGTCTAAATATTATTTCTTGAAACTTTATTGACCTTTTGGCCTTTTCTGAAGAACAAAAAAAGTTAAGTTTTCCGTAACTACCGGCTGGATTTGCATTGCATTTCTTGTGGCTGTTTATGAAGTCTTGACCTTTTGTGTTACTACGTACAACTACTGCTGTCAGGAGAAGATGTTCAAAAGTTTCAGAGTATATGCCCAAAATAAAATACAATATCATGACCTCTTTTGGACACCGTAGCGTGTAACTTCCCTCTGGCATCATCCGCAGGTCAAAGTAACAACATTTACTCACACAGACGCCCCCAGAGAAAATAAAACCTTTTCTTTTTATAACAGCCTGTACTCCAGTTTCACCCTGAGACTAAAGCTGACATGTTATGCTGCGAAGGGTCAGAGCAATGGATGATCAGAGCTTTCACCTTGCAGGGTCTTATTTATTAAATGCTTTTTTTTATGTATTCTAATGAAGCCACACTTTTTTTGGCTTTGTGAGTAAAACAGAAAATATTCGACTATTGAGAAAAATGTCAAACTTTTTTTTCCAGGTAGTGAAAACTTGCATAGCTGTCCCTGCCTGCCCACCTGTCAATCTTCTTTTCTATTCAATGTGTGCATGCTTGGGCTCAATTTAATATCACAGCTTGATTTTAGTCTAATCCATTCTCACAAAGTAATCAGATATTTCAGCCGTATACAAAAAGGCTCTGCGGTGACTTTATTATGCTCTGTAACACTGCAAACATAAGGTAGGACTGTGAATCATAGAGCAGGTGTGAGATCGAACTCAGTGTGATCCTCTTGCGGGTTTTGATAAAAACAGCTCAGTGTCAGTCACCCAACAAAGAGTCAAGGGAGGTGACTCCCAGGAGTGTTTACTGGACTATCCATCTGGATATCTTTTTTCCACTGCAGGCTGCTCGGCTCAGACAAAGAAGTAAACACCAACTCCTCTTCCTGCATGATGAACACAGCGGGTCAGAGAAGGTGGAATTGGTTTGAGTATGCTGTTGGCTTGAAAATCAAAAGACCAGGCAGGGAAAATCTAACTCTTTCTGCACTTTTCTAATCTTCACAAGGCACAAGCCAGGAATCAACAAACACAGCTTCCTATTTTCTTGGCCAGAGAAGGTGAGTCATAGATAACGATGAATATTATTAATGTTTCCACAGCCTCCAAAACTTTTTGGCTTGGTCTGGAAAACTCTTCGGTCTCGGCAGCTTTTATAAACTCTATTCCAAAGGAACTCTTTCAAAACCTGAATTCACTGTTTTTTTGGCTGCTTAGGCTCAACAGGCTGTTTGGTTAACATGTGGTAAACTTAAAAAGTGGTTCTGGTGTAATGCAAATATGACTTATGTCTGCAAGCAGCCGACTTTTTACTGAAAACAGAGCAATGTTGAAAGTTCATCCAGAGCCGAGCCTCTGACTCACAGATGAAACCACTCATTCTCCTCCTCCTTTTTCTGTTTAAGCTTTATCTAACTCTTTACTATATGCTCTGTTGTGTACACCAACTTCTGAATATTTTTTCTCTCTTCTGTTTGATGCCCTTCAGGAAGTGAACAGTGGTTTTTATAAAACTTGAAGACAGCTGGCAGCTTTAGTTACAAGAAAGAGAGTGAACCAAAACTGCAAGGTTGAGTTCTGCAGCCCACAACAATACTTGTCACTGACACACTCAGCAAACTGAGGGAAGCTGTTTGTCCGTACAAAACTCCTTCAAACCACAAGCTTCCTTTTCATCTATTTTTTGGCCTCTGAGATGAATGCATCCTTCTTTCCTTTGGCCTTGATGGATCCATAAGGTGCATGCTTTGTGGTCCAGTCCATCTCAAATCTCAATGCATGCCAATTTGAAAAGGAGATGGTACAATCTCCTGGCCCAGCGCATACTCTTCATTTGTTAGCATTTGGTTTCGACTCGAGCAAATAGCTGCTAAAGAAATTCTTTAAAAATAGGAGAGACATTGGAATCTTGTTAAGTCTAGTTGAGCTGAACCCCGGAGTGTTTACCGCCTGGTGCGGTTCGTTTCGGTTGGTTTGAATGCTGGCATAGAACTCTGGTGCCGACCAGTCAACCGCTCTCAGGTCCGCCTGGTAGGGCTGGTCTTGGACCGCTATCCAGTGAACTCTTGAGTGGTTTACTCCTGGTGTGAACCCCATCTGCACCAATCACAGGAAGCAGTTTTACACGTCATTTCCTGTTTTGGTCAGAGGCAAAGTTATCAAAGTGCGGCTAATGTCTGGCAGGCAACAAACGTGGAGTTACGAATTATTGCCTGTCATCTTCTGTGATATGACCATTCGATTGCAGAGCGTCTCCTGCGACGTGCGTGTATTAATACATTATTTAATTGTCGCAGTCTTCCCAACCGTTCATATGTGTGGTCCGTTAAAGTCTGCTGATATGCAGTCCAGATCGGCACCAACATAAAAATGAGCAGATGATGCTCCATGATGTACTTTAAAAATTGTGAGGGATTTGTCATCTATCCGCCTAAACTGTATAAGCAATCACCGATGGCTTTTGCTGCCATGTGACAATTTTTGGACCGTTTGAGTTTGGCCTTTGTGAACGTGAACCGGACCAGTTGAGAAATTGCAATTATGTGTCATCAATGTATCATCCTCGCTTTGGTTCGTATCAGAAAACAGACCTTTTGGTGTGAACACAACCTTAGATTTATTTATTTATTTTTCTTCGTTTTTATTTCGTTTTAATTTATTATTTCTTAAACTTCATTTTATGTTACTTTGTCTCAAGATTTTAACCCAGCCTCCGATGTTTCCTTATCTTGAATTTTAAGATGGCGTTTACTCAGTGCGCATATTCCTGTTGTTTACTAAATGGGGCTCTTTTTAAGTTAATGTGTTTTAAAACTAACTTCTATTGTGCTTGGACTGTGGGGTAGGGATGAAGAGACGGGGATGGGCTGGGGGGAAAGTCGGGTATTCTTTCTTTTTTTATTATTTTTTTTCCTTCTTCTGTGTAAATCACTTTTTTTTACTACATTGCCCTGTATGAAAAGTGCTTTAAAAATAAAGATTGATTGATTAATCAAAAGTATAAACATGTTACTCTGCCCAGAATGCTTCATGAAGAGTGGATGAATCTTAAAGTCATCACGATTCTTTCTTGGGATGTTGGACGTCCAATCGATGTTGTGATTTGTGAAATTTGGACTGAGTACTGAGCAGCCAGAGCACAGCTGCATTAATTAATATCTTCAGCTTTATGGCTAAAAATATTAATTAGTGCAGCTTTGAAGGTAAAATTGGTAAAACAGACACGTTGCCAACCACTGCTAATTGAAAGAATATTAAAAAAACATCAGTAAGTTCTTTCGAGAAGTTGTGTGGTTGTGTGCCGATCATTTTAATCTGCTGTTGCAGAACTTTAAATCATCCCAGGAAAAGTCGGAGACAAGAAACATAATCTATCTTCTTAGGAGAGCAGCAGATTAAAAAAAAATAACTTGCATTGTAAAGATTTTATCACACACAGAACATAATGAAAATCTTCAACCTCTATTTTCAATTACAAAGATACACAGGAAACCTAGATACCAGCGTTGACTCAAAACTAGTGAACATACACACATTTTTTCAGTGCATTACTAAACCCTTCCAAAAGTGCCATGTTAAAGTCAAATGTTTTTTTCCAGATGACTGCAAATCCTGCCAATTCTCTATTTCTTTTCCAGCTATTTGTTTCCCCAAATTAATTATCTTTATTGAGGTAAACTGCCCTGCCTCACTCTCTGTGTGGGGCCTGCCAGGGATCCCTGGGTGAATAGGAAATGGTTTTGGACGGAAAAAAGAAAGCTGGCAGATAAAAAAAACGAACAATGGAATCCCTGAATGCAATTAAGCAAAAGAATTAGAAGTCTCTGCAGTGAAAAAGAAATGTCCTGCCTCAGTACTTCCTCTCATTCAAGCAGGGAAGAAGAACTTTGGTGTTGTGATAAGGTAAAGCCTTTCATTCCTCTGTGCTCTGAGCTGCGGCTGCCCAAAAACTGAGCAGAATTTCAGACTTCATTTCCGTGGAGCCAGTGTGCATGATGATTTTAAGACCAGCTTTTCCTCTCAGCGCTACCACATTTCCCTCTTGAGACTTCAACTCTCTGTGCAAAATTGCATTTTACAAGATGTTCCACATGATCAAAAACTCACCCCATTTCTTTCAATTGGACTTTTCTGCTTCATTTGTTTACGTTGTCTTTCCACCTCCATCTATAATCACTCAGTTTGATTGCAGAAAGCCCATACGAGTCAAAATCACTTGATGTGAACTGAACAAGTCCCATAATGTGTAATCCTGGTGGAGTAAGTAGTCAACAGATTTAGACATGAAACAGTTGTCATATTGGGATGTGGTTAATTAGTGAGAATTTGCAGATTTGATGTTGCACTGGGATGTTTCTTCATTATAAACACAAAGCCCAGTACAGGGTGTTCAACAGAGACAGACTGCCACAGAAACACTGTCAGAGATGCATGTTGGACTGGTTTTCACCACAAATTACCCCCACAATATGAGATGTATGTTTTTTTTTTTTTTATCTATTTTTGACAGGAATTTAACAAAGACTGTGAGTGTGAAATGTTTCCATGGCAAATATCTAGTCATTATCTCCAAGATGTGAGGGAAATATTTCATCACAAACACAGAAGAAGGAAGACAACAAAACAGCTTCAAAACATTCAATCTAATCTTATCCTTCTCATTAAGCACTCTCCAGCGTCCTTACAACTAAATCGCCTTGTATTTGGTATAAACCAGGTGTTAATATACAGCACACAACTTATATGGTACGTGATCTATGTGTGGATCTATATGCAGAAATTAAAAGGTTATTTTGGTGTCCTGTTCAGTAATAAAAATCCTCACAAAATTTGCCTTTTAGTATTTAAAGAGGAGCACGATCTTGCCTCGACTAACATCACAGAACTTCTTACCCACTTACTGTACAGCTCAGCCCCTCAGATCCTCACATCAAGGCCTCTTAATGATCCCACTTCTGCAGCAAAACTTTCCGGAGACAGGTCTTTCTCTGTAGCTGCTCCAAGACTCAGGAAGAGTTTACCTCAAAATGGAAGAAGATAAAGAGCCGAATCTCTTGACTCTATTAAAAGATGTCCAAGACTGACCCTATATGTACTGTTGATGAAGTTAGGTGCTGTTTTGAGCATTATTTGTGGCTTTTTAGTTGAGGTTTGCGTGTGGAGACGTAGACCGCTGTGTATTGCTATTGTGCGGTCATTGCTGAAGTTGGTATAACTAAAGAAGCAAAGGGTCAGCAACATTCATCTCTCGAGGGGGTGTCTAACTCGGTGTGACGGTGTGTTTGACCCTAACTTAATTTTACGCTGGAATATCCCATTAACCTCTTTACCTAACACAGTGATTGAATGTCTGCATGAATGAAAACATAAAATTCTCCATTCTTTGTTTGCACTGATGAACTTCTGCACATGTGCATGAACTTATATTTTTAATTTTTGTCTTCTCACTCCTTTCTGTTGGTTGTGAAGCACTTTGGCACAAACCTTTTGTTTATAAAAGCACTCTGTAAAATTGGCCTTGACCTTAAGTCAGTTGTACACATTAATCTGCATTACACAGCAATTTTTTTTAAACACACAAAGTACTGAATAACCTCTGGAAAACTTTGGAAAGAGGACGAGGGAGCAGTGTTCAGCTTCTGCATTTTGTTAGTGACATTCTCTATGTACTGCATGTGTATGATGGTAATATAAAGTTTGTGATGTACAGCCAATGTTTATTTTTAAATTTTGGGGTAAAACCAGGAGAATTAACAGTTTTCAGCTTAAAAAAAAGAGACCATATGTGATTACACATGCATGCCTGTGGTGTTGTGTGGGCTGCAGGGTGCAAATAAGGTGTTCAAGGGGAATAAGCTTAAGGTTATTTGATATCTGAATGCTTTGTGAGTGTAAACAGAAGACCTTAGAGGAAAAGAAATCACTTAAAACACCAAGGACTCACACAGAAATCAAGGTTTCGCAGCTGAACTTGTGCGGTACAGCGAGCTTGCTGATAGTTGTAATTTGTTGAAAAGGTTCAAAGTTTAGTAAGTTAGCATGAGCTCAGATGTGAGCTGTTTGGATTGTTACTTTGGATCTTTGTTTATAGAGGGTCATAAAAGTGATAGAGGGATATTCTTTGCTTGAGGGATGCTATAAATATTTACGACAGAAGAAACAACCTCATATTAAAACATCAAGCTAAAGTCCGGGCACAACTTTGAAATCCTCTTAACAAAGTTGTGAGGAAACCACAATGAGGAACCAGCCGTGTCAGGTTTTCATCTGCGGCTGTCTCTGCTGCTCATCATCATTAATCTATCTTACTTTCTTCCTCACTAAGCAGATGACACATCTCAAGCGGAGAAGCAGATGTATGCGCTGATTGATGTGATTTGTAGAACAGAGGCATGCCATGCGTGGAACATTTTATCCCTGTTTTGCTCAGTTAGTCAGTCGGTGTAAGACAGATGTTGTCAGGATGCCGAGGATGACTTGACTTTTAATTATCTCTTCTTGGCTCCCTCAGTTCTCGTAATTCAGGAATAATGTTGGCATCATTTGCTAAGTTTGACTCCCTCTGAGCATTAAAACATCTTGTCATGAAACTTCGAGTGTTGGACTAGACTTTTAATACTAGTTAATGTTTTCAAGTACTCGCGCAGAGCTGCTATGAAAATTCTCCTTGAGTGGAGTTATCCAGTTTTGCTCCAAGGTGCAAGAACCACACCTTCGATTTGATCAAACCTGGAACATAAGAGACCTCCTCCTGTTCCAAAGTTGGCCTCACTGCCTTCGCAATGCATCCTTTTCAACCCCCTGTGAGACAAAATAAAATTGATCATTTTCATTCACGATCAAGTTAGCCAGCTTGTTAGTCATTGGCTTCCAATTTCTTAGGGTAGAGTCAGACAAGGTTAACAGGACTCCTGCAGGAGTATTAATGTTGACATATCTGTCTTCACTCAGCTCAACTTTTCTGAGCTTTGCAGTTATAAGTTTAAACATGAATAAGGCAAATGTCACACGTTTGAACATCGCTGCTTTCATCATCTTGACTACCTGTAGTTTAAGTCAGCAACTCAATAATGCTCTTACCAGTTCTTCTGCTGTGGCCTGGATTGTAAGACAGGATCTACCTTTCCCTTGCAGAGATGGTTTGGGCCCTGCAGCTCCTAACCCCCAATTTTCACCGCATGCAAAAAGGCCATATGCGACAATCGCAGCTGATCGTTTTCATGTCAATTTAATATGTCAATTTCCACCGGATTCTTTCCGTTCCGTTCAGTGGACTCTGCAGCCGATCGCCAGAGTTCTATTTTTTTGGATGCCGCATAAATTCAGCACAGATTAGCCCGGGTACAGACACAAAATAAATCATCCAGCTTCTTTTCAAAAGAATACACTTCGTGTTTCAGGCGGATTGTATTTCACACCATGCAAACAGACGGGGACGAACAAGTGAAAGGTTTTTTCACCCCGATGACACCATGGATGAGGAGATGCTGATTCAAGTAGTCTAGGAGTAGATTTCCTCCTCTGGAAGGACACAATCTACTGCTTATATGGTTATGTGGCTGTCTTTATAGAGACAACTTCTTGTGGCATGATTGCATGTGACTCTGCGGATTCTTCTGAGTTCTCGCTGTTCCCGCTGTCCGAAATCCGCCACGAAATTTGTTTCACAAACACATCCGGTAGGAATTGGCAGACGGTGAAAATTGCCACCATTCAGTGACAGAGCCGTTCCGGATGCGGTGGAAATCGGGGTCAGTCTTTTCTTATGTTCATGCCTTATATCCGTCCTTGTTTCTGGACTCTCTCACGACCAATCCAAACATGAACCAGACATTTTTGCCACAGTGTTAAAAGGCGTGAGCCGACAGTTCAGAATGTCTTTCTTTGGGTTGGTTTATTATGACATGTGATAGGTTTTACCCTGCTGTAGGACTGAATCACTGTAGCAGTAATTTTTTGTCCAATCAGAATCAAGTAAGTTCTAAGTACCTCTGATGACCCCAGTAACAAAAAAAAGGTTTCCTTATAAAGTGTGAGACAGATCACAGCAGGGTAGGAAATCCCAATTCAAGCTCTTTTTCCTCTGCTGTTCTCATGATATGACCTCAAAAACCGAATACTAGTGGGTACTACAGTCTTCACCAGCGCATCCTCTTTGTTCTACCGACGGACACAAACTTCTTTAGCTTGAAAACCCTGGAAAATTGTCATATAGTCCTAGAGTTTATTCTTCATGTTAATTGCTATTCATGCGTATATTACATATAACTTAACCTTGTTTTAATTTGTATATCTGTAATGAAGATTTTGGTCACCAACTACAATAACTTTCAATTGAAATATTTACTTGATACATGGGTGAACTAGTTGAGCCAAGTGTTTATATAATATACAAGTATATACGACTACACTCACTCTTAAGAAAAACACATGCTCCTGCTGGCCAGAATATGTGCAAACTTAAACTCTATACTTGAGAGAAGTATTTTAAAAAATCTTCCTCGGTGGTGTCACATTGCATCAGAGCCTGTCGAGCACAGTTTCCTAAGCCAGAGGCAAACCTTAAACACAGTATACCCCACAGCATTTGACTTTTTACCTTTTTATGTTTTTTTACCATAAAAACTACAAAATAAGTCTCGTAAAAAAACCTTTACAGTTTTGGAAATCACTTTCAGAACACATGGTCTTTCAGAATAAAGCTTAAAAGAAATCCTTTGTCAGGGTGCTGAGCCTCTATAACCCACACTCAGAGGATTAGAGTCTGAGTGTGTGTGTCTTGTTTGCTTTGTGTGTGCGTGCGTGTGTGTGCCTGCGTGCGTGTGTGTGTGTGAATAGAGGTACAGTCAAGTAAGTGAGACGGTGCGGGTCATAGGGGTCCACACCTGAACAAAACTGTGTCGGGTCAGACACAGGGTACTGGGCGGTGACGTGCTGCATGAACAGGCCTTCAGGAGTATCAGAGCTCACAGGAAGGCAGGTAACACAAGAGCAGGTCTGATGTTTGATAGTGGAAACAACCACAGATGTAGCTGAAAGACCTCCGTGTAGTCTGTTCCAAATCTTCAAGTCCAGTTGTCTGACATTTAAAGCAACTGTGAGGAGTTTTTGATTGGTCATGTAAAAAAAATTGAAAAGAGAATTTTTGTCATCCAACACCTCTTTTCACAAGGACGAGACTGAATCAGCAACATTTGAAGGGTTACCACTTTGTCCACAGGGGGCATCATAATCAACCCAATGGAAAGTTACTCACAGGAGCTTTAAGGCATGTTTTTCCTGATGTTATCATTAAAACTGGTTGTCCTTTACTCTAAATATGACAATGACTTGCTTCCATCACAATTAAACTAAAGCTAGATCTGAACTCAGCCACAAATAATTACAACTTATTATAATTATAACTAACATTGTTGTTAATAAAAGACAAAGACAAAATTATTTATCAAAACAAAGTGCTAATTTTGTCCACATAATTTAACTCTAAGTTTCTTTATCCTTTAATTTCTCTTTTTGTATTTGTATTTATGCTGCTGTAATTTTGGAATTTCCCCCCATGGGACTATTAAAGGAATATTTTATCTTATCTTAATCGACACAGTGGCTTTAATGCAACACATACTAAGATTATTATTCTGCAATAAAAAACAAAAGACTTTTTCAAAAGATGGGTTTGTGGATTTTGAAAATGTAGAAAAAGTTAACTTAATAAAAACTGACAGATTATTAACTTGTTAGAAACACTAAACCCCTGTATAAAGGTGGTAACGATGCAGACAGCTGTTCTTTATAGCTAAAATTACACCTTATGTGGTTTCATAAAGGTTAATATAATTAAGCAGTAATGAAAGCCATGTAACATTACATGGGCTTAAAGCTGTAGAAAAAACATTGCATATTTCATGTAGCTGCCTTATAAAAATATGCTGCTTGACTGCAATAGTCTGCCCTTTTTAATTTATAATAAAGTGAAACATTTTTACAGCAAATCTCTCAGGGTTCAGTTTTTATCGCTTTCGCTGATTTATATTATAATTTTGGGCACCAGTGTAAATCAACAATCACCCCTCAGCAAATGAAGTTCCTTAAAGTGGTGGAGAATCTGTCTGTATATCAGACCTACAAGTTTTCCCATCCACAACAACAACATGATGGTGTTCCCTATCAGCAATTATACATGAACATAATAGATCGTCTAATGTCCTCTGCATCTGCTGCCTGTTGGAGAGTGACAAGTTGATTTATGGGACTTGGGGGAACAGTGAAGAATTAATGAGGTTGATAAGATACTCGCCTCAAGGTCACTGTCCGCTGATACTCATACATCTGCTCTCTGCCTGTAAATCTGATGAATACATCTTCTGAAAGCCTGACAACTGCCAGCACCAATATATGTCCTCTTTATGTACGTTTCAATCTTATTTATGAATGCTTGAAAAGTTTTGAAGCAGAGAGCAGATACAGAAGTTTTGACTTATCTAACTCAGCTATCGAATGAGTCAGTTGAGACTGTGGTTTGAGTCTGCAAAACATAAGTCTGTTTTTCTTAGTTTCTAGTACGAAGCCCAGAAGGTGATTTGAACTTTTTTTTTTTTTCAATTCGCATGTGCAATTTGGTATCTCACACTTGCATATTATCATATTGTACATGAGATTGAGTATCTCCCACTTGTGTTTCATTATAACTTACATGAAATTTAGAGTATTGCACTTGCATCGTATTATATCGTACGTGCAATTTATTATCTCACACTTGCATTTTATTATATCATATGTGCGATTTAACATTTCGCACTTGTGTTTTATTATATCATACATGCAATTTAGCATCTCGCACTTGCATTATATTATATCATAGGTGCGATTTAGTATCTTGCATTTGCGTTTTATTATATCGCACATGTGATTAAGTATCTCGAACGTGCGTCTTATATGTATCTCGTACGTGCCTTTTCATTTGTATCTAGCGCATGTGTTTTTGTAAATAATCCTCTGCACGCCTCATTTGTAAGAGAAGGGGGACAGTGTCATGGACAGAGAGCTTATTATCAACATTATCTTTTATTTAGGTATGACTCACAAAGAGATACCTTATAGCTTCGCCACATTTGGTATCGTTTTGAGTAGGAGACACCTCATCAGGATCCTTGAAGCTCAGCGACTTTGCCGTCGGTGATATTCGGACTTGCAGAAAGTGATTTAGTTTATCATCGAACAGTTAAATTGCACATGCATTTCACTATATTGCAGGTACGATTTAACTGTTTGTTGATACTGAAGATACTAAATCGCACGTGGGATACACTAAAATGCCTGTGCGAATACTAAAAAAATATATTTAATGTCACCTCCAGGGCTCTGTTTTTTAGTTTTGGCTGATGCATAAAATGATCACAGCCCCTCTTTAAACAGTCCTCTTTAAACCTGTTGACATTTTCTTTGCACTCACTGGTCCTTTGACCACGTTGGAGCCCATACTACGCTCTGTCATTGTCAGTGTGGTCTTTTATTCAACTTCTTGCATATTTTATTTCTAAGCCTCATCTCTTTTTATTTACTGATGACTGCTTGGCAATTAACCACAAATAAAAAGTTTTGTACTCCTCAGATAAATCATTTTTTAAAATATCCTCCAAGTTGCTAACCAATTTAGAAAGTTAAAGTGAACAAACTTTGTTTTCACAGTGTCAGAAGAATAACGTGTTTGTGTTAGCTCTTGATTAGAACAGGACCAATAAACACAAGCCAAAGAGTTACCTGTTATGAAAACAGTCTTTGCAGAATCTTATCGTCAGGGACAAAAAGGTGTGAAGTTACTGGATGGTGTCTGACTTTGGTCTTAAAAAAGCTTCTCATGTTTGAGAGGTATAAGAGTGACAATATCTGACTACAGTTTATGCTTACAATAATTTCTGTTTACTGATTTCTGTTTAATTTTTACATTTAGACTTAAAGCTTTACAGCAGCAAAAATTTACTGTATTGCAGATAGATAGATAGATAGATAGATAGATGTGGTCCTCCTCTAGATGTGGTCCTCCTCTGCAGACCCTTTGACCCTTCATTCTGTGAATCCACTCAGCAGACCCATTACTTCTTTTATTTTGTGCCTCAGGAAACAAGATTTTATTTACACCCAAAATGAAACTGTCCCCGGAGGTCACCACTGATTCCTTCAGTTTAACAGAGGCACCGGTGGCTGTACAGATTTCATTGATCAGTCTCAGGAAGCTAAGAAGATCCACCACGCTCAGCGAAAAGCCTCAGACTTGTTCCTGCGGAGGCCATTAGTTCTCTGATCAGAGGGAGTTAAGACGGATGGTCTTTATCGAGACTGAGACTGTTAAATAGCGTAGCCTGGGTTTCATTGATGGTGCTGCTGAACGTGCCGCAGCTTTGTGAAACACCCGTCGTGACCCAGCAGGGAGCTCAGCGTGGCAACCAAGCAGGCTTCATTACATCCCATTTTCTGACATAGACACTTAGATTAGATGCTGTTGTTTGAGGAATCCAATTTAATTTTACTGCTTTGCCTCAAGGACAATATCTCCTCGTTATATACTCTACATGAACGCCTTTGTACTGCTCCTGCATTGCTGTTGTGATAATACTGTCATATGTAGTTTTATTCCCTCTATTAGATGCTTTTTTTATCTAGAATGAGCCTCCAATATCTGCAGGAATATCTCCGAGGAGGAAGAAAAAGGTCTATAATGTCATTATGCAGCAATCTGATATAGCTGCATACAAGTGTGAGAATGATTTAATTTTTTTTTTCTTTTCATACTATCTAAAAAGGCCAGTGTTGGGTTTTGTACTGTAAATGGAACTTTAATAACCCACTTGATTAAATTCTCAGTCAGGGATTGAATGAAGATTGGAAAAACAGATCAAGATAAATGCACAGGACACTTTCAGGAAAGACTGCTTTATATGCAGAAATTTGCAGGGCAACTTGTGAAAAGTAATTAAAAAACAAAACAAAACCAAAAATGTATAATTTTCATTATCAATGGCCCGGTCATTTAAGCTTCTACTTTATTTAAACACTTTATATCATAAAACAATACCAGCTATTATAATGATAACTTCATATAATAACTGCAACATGAAAATATGTTCATCAAATGTGGTGTCATGGAGATTTTGTATTGAAGAAACCTTTCATAATGAGCAGACCATAATCTGTGTAGACATGAACTGCACTTTCATAGACTTTCACAGCTCTCCCCTTAACCTACTCTGATTTTTAAACAGAGTGAAATTCATACTGATGCCTCTTATTGACCCACGAATCAAACTAGACCATCAGTGACAGGATTGATTATCTCTGTTTTATTAAATTCCTAATAACACCACCGGCATTGATCAACATCAGACAGCAAGACACACAGAAGTGCCTGTGTTTATGTCCACAGAGATAACAGTTAATAGGGTTGAGGTTAGGTAAAGATCATTCATCACAATTAAGCATTGAATAAGTCTACTTTAATAAGAAGAGATGTAATCTTATTCTGTCTGATGAAACCCTAACACTAGTCTCTGCGCCTTTAGCATGCAGCATTCATCCTGACCTCCTCAATACAACAGCATGAAGAACTTAAATGTACTTCTTAGTAGCCAGAAGTTAAAAATTTCACATTGTGTAAATAACATTTTTACAAATTGAGACCTCACATTCTTGAAATAATGTTGAATACAAATGATTTTACTTTTCTATTGACACTAATAGACATGAATTTAACAGATTGTATTTGCATTCGTTTTCTGCAAAAATGCCCGAACTCAGCGATATTTGTTCGATGTAGGTGCAACATTTTCAAACCTCAGAGCATGGAGCAGACATCCAAGACTTACAGTACAGTACCTCTGACTGTGGTTCAGGCAGCTTTTAACTATTATTAACATGCACACTATGACTTGAGAGTTGGTTATGTGTAACACCAGACGAGTGTTTGACTATAAGATATATACTGTAGGAAGTTAGGGGTGGGAGAAAAAATCGATACAGCATAGTATCGCGATATTTTGTCCGGTGATATAGCGTATCGTCTCATTGACCGGGTATCAATTTTTCAAATGAATTGCTAGTATGAAGTCAAATGTATGATAATGGAAAAATAAAATCAACTGTTTGTCCAGTGGAGTTGGCAGAGGTGACATTATAGAGCAGGAGAAAGTTAGTACAACAAATATACACTATATAAGGTTTGCAATCGGAATATATTGTATTGCAGTAGTCACTGTATTGCAAGATGTTAAAGATATTTAATATCGTATTGTGGGGCCACTGGTGATTCCCACCCCTCTAGGAAGTCTGTTGATGTGACCACTGACAGATTTTCAGGTTAGCATATGTTGGCATTTTACGTGTCTGCAGTACATCAGCAGACAACACCTCAGTATGAGACCAGCAGGGTGTTGGCAGCAGGAAATTTTTGTTTTTGTCTTTTTCTGTTATGTGTTTTGATGTTTCATCTGCACAACATGAAGCAGTGAATCTCTTCGACTTCAGAGGTCTCTTGAAATGTGTTTCTGTTTGTCACATCTTTATGTGAATTCACCAGAGCCTGGTGTGCTACGAGAAGAAAAATATTCTCAGTGTGAACTAAGGACCAACTAATTTTCTTTGTTTTCTTTCAGTCTTTCCCAAAAACTTTAGAAAAGCTGCCTTTTTCCAAGTTTTCTGCCGCTGTGAATGTAGCATACCTTTATAGTTTCACTGCCAATAAAACAGTGTTTCTGAATAACAATATACACAACAACAAACCTGACCTCATTACAAGAGAATCACTTTTAAGATGATTAATGCAGGAATCAAGATGAAGTATGTGCAAATGTTATTTTGGGGTGAAGTTGATATAAATTGAATTAGACATTTGCTGAACAAAGTTCACAGAGTAAAGCTTCTTGGGCAGCTCCTGGAAACATGATTTTTTAATATGTGTTTGTTATAATGAATAAATTATCTCTATACGACACAACAAACAATGATATGTCATACACTTATTTTAAATTGTTAAAAGTACCTAACCACACATACAAGTTTCATAGAGTGACTCAGTTAGCCATGCTTGTGAGCCAGCATGCACAATATCAAAACCTAAAGGCAGCTCATCCATAGACTTATCAATGACTAGAACATCTACCATCTCAGGTGAAGCCACAATTTTTAGAGCTCCCCCTAGTGACTGGCTGCAGTACATGTCATAAAACCACCTCCTCCAGATCTATTCCAACAGATGGGATATGGATCAAATTTGAAAACTGAAATACTATTTAAACAGGAATTCAAAGACCTGTTTGGTTACTGTTGTGTCGGACGGCAATAAGGTTTTAAATTTGACACGAAAAAGAGTGACTTGAAGCCAGTCAGGAGATGAAAGCGGAGTGACATTTGCTGTTTAGGATCGGTTGAAGACCAGAAGCTGCTGCATTTTGGATCTTCTGCAGAGATTTGAATGTACATGTAGGGAGATCTACTGTAAGGAGTTGTAGTGGTCCATGAGTCCACGAGAGCCTGTTCCTGTTCTTTCTCATGTTATACAAATTGATGCCACACAAACTGTGAAGGTTAGATGGTCATCAATCATCCCACTCAAGTTCCAGATTGATTTAACGGGCATATATTTAGAGGGCTCAAGCTGGATATAGATCTGTGGTTTCTTCTGTGGAAGGACTGGCTGGAATGACAAGAAGCTCCGTCTCAGACAGGTTGAGCTGAAGGTGTCTTTCCTCCAGTCTTTTTGAGATATCCAGGACGAGGAGTTGGGCATCATCTGCAAAACGTTGGTATAAGAAATCATGAGAACTGATATTGATGAGAACTCATGACAAATGAAGAATGGGGGGTGGAGGGAGAGAGAAATATTGCTGTAGAGGTCAAAAGGATGATGGAGAAAGACGGTGATCAAGGGCCAGCTTGATGCCAGAACAACATGAGGAATCAGAAGGGTTGAGACTCTGAATGGAAAGGCTGCCTTTATTGATGTTAGTATGTAGCTCCCAGTTGTTCTAGGCAAAGAGGGAAGGTGAAAAGGGGATTGGATAGGAAAGAAAAAGGTGTGCTTGAATAGACATGGCATGGAAGTGGTAACTTATTGGAATGTGGTCTTTGTTTTACACCTGGTTGTAAAACTAAATAACTGTTTTTTAAAAAAAATGTCACATTGCCATCATTGTCCAATGTTCCCTTCTCCCTTGTGACAGCAGCAGGACAAGAAAAAGAATATAATTTGAAAATATGGGTAGACAAGAAAACATATCTCAGAGAACTTCGAGTAAAAACAGACAAACACAAAAGAGCCGAGTCGATCGCAGGTAGAATCACCAAAGAGCAGACAACCACATCCATACCCTCATCTAAGGCATAGGTATTCATATATACAGGCCTAAGTCTGCACAGTCTCCCCACAGACATTGAATCACACTGCAAATGCATACTGCCAATACATGTAGAAAAGATTTACACGTTCTAGATTTCTTTTATAATTGGATGGTTCCAATGATATGGGATTAACCGTTTCATATATGAAGCTATAAATTCACCACAAATTTTTGCATTGAACAGTTCACTCAGCAGTGGGACCAGATGGCTTTCACACAGGATACTAGTACAGAACACCTGGGGGTTAGACTGAATGTTAGATTCATCCTTTTTTTCACCTATTAGCCCCTCATAATGAAGACAAATGAAGAGCAAAGCTTGTTATTTAATGATCCTGTTGGCTCTGTTTCAACCTCTCTAATCATAAACCGGACACTAATAATGGGGAAATGTGCTCTGGGTGCAAGCATGTGAGGACAGTTACTGTAAGGTTATTTAGCTATAATACCTGTCTATTTCTTCCCACTACCACTGTGTACACTCAAGTCTAAAGGACAACTTTGGTCCATTAACTTTCTCTCCTAACAAAACTTACTTCAAATGAGCAGTTCTGTCTCCTCCACCTCATTCTGCAGACTGAACATCTGTGCCTGAATGTGTGCTGAAAGCTCTGGCAACATATGGTCTCATATTGTTCATCAGGCATGAGTGCTTTACTGTATATCAGGGGCTGATGCTGAATTAGCAACAGAAAGAACAAAGTCAGTGTGGCTGCAAAACTTCTTTTCAAGGCCTTTTTTGAGAGTCTCTCGGTGATTTATGGAGTGATGCTGTTTTCTGCAGACTCCACGAGAAACTTTTTAAGTCAGCTACACATGGAGCAAAATGATGCGTTGGCTTGAAATAACTTTTTTTTTATTAGTTTGGTCATCTATGTATTGTTAAAAAAAGCACAAAACAATAGAGGATTAAATTATTCATGTGGATTTTACCCTGAAACCGTGTGAAATAAAAACCTCTGGAGACTCTGGCGCATGGTGTGCGGTGTGTGTGTGCTGGATGTTTTTCATGATCCCTTTTATTTCCAAGTTAATTATGCCTACTATATTAAGCTATTAAAGGGAGATTGGAGCTATTTTAGGTCTGCTAAGCAGCACCTTTCCATCTCTAAGCTTACTTTTATTTGTGTTTCCATCCACAACTCACGATCCTGACTTCATAGCTGTGTCTAATAAAAGGAAACAGTGCGTTCTCAGTTTAAAGCACCTCAGTGGAGGGAGAGGTTAGATGCTCGTTTCCCCCCGAGCAACAAAGGAAATGGGGAAAGTGGGTAGGAGGTGTGATTGGAATCTGGGGATGGAGTCCCTAATCAAAGCTTCACCCGGATCTGTAACCAACTTTATCAGCTGGGCGTGGAGAGCTCCTCCCTGCTCGCCCTGATGCCACAGAAATGCTAACCTGCGGTGACCAGAGGGAACAAAGATTCACACATTAATTCGTTTTACTTTTATGTTCTCTGGCTTAATGAAAATCAAATCAAAACTCAGCCAGGGGCCGCTCTGTCTCTCTTTCTTTCCCTCTCTGCTTCATCCTCGTGCTCCATCTCTTCTTCCCCGTGTCCCTCGCTGTGCCGCTTTGAAGTGTAAATCAGATTCTACTGATGTATGAAAGTAAAGCGCAGACTGCACACCAGAGACCGTTTTACAGCTCTGAGGGCATGCAGGGTGCACGCAGATGTAAGTGTATCTGTACACCAAACATTTTATAGGTCAATATCGCATTATAAAGAAGTTAGAGCATCTTAGTGTGTCTATTATATACAACAAAGCTTACCGAAAAAACCCTGATATTAAAATTTATGATGATACATAACAGCAACACTCTCTTTGGACAGACCTATTATTTTTCTCGTTGACTTTAATGAACAAATCACAATAACTGTTTGGAAAGTTATTTTGTTTTGTTATTTCTTATTGTCTCTCAGTTTACGTAAAGTGTTAACTTCTTTTTAGATTTATGCAAATAGATTTCACAGGTGGATGAAAAGAGGCAGAGTCAATTTTAGTTGTAATTTTTATTATGAACAAAAGAAAATCCACTGGTTCTAATTCTTTTTAATTGAGCTCATCAGTTCTCCCAAATCCCTATAATTTCTGCTTCCTCTCATTTACAGGTTCTCCCATGTGATAGATTTCATAAGGGAATCAGAGCGATAAGGGATAATGACTTTCACCTGGGTTTATCTCATCAGTGTTCTCCAAGAAAGGAGGAAGTTTTCAGATTGCCTCAGACATCTGGGCGAGGATGAAATACTTGATACTGTTATCACTTCCATGTACATCCAACTATGTATGTTTCGCTCCTGTTTTGTACACTTTTGACTACAAAACTGTTTGCTTTCAGTCATGTATATCCCTCCTTTTCTTCATCCATCAGCTGTATGTCTTTAAAGAGCAAAGTCCATCCAAAACTGGGTTACAGTACTGAATATATTAACCATGTGCTCTGTGAGGATGAGATTGAATCATTGTGTTTTTGGTAGAGCTGTCAGCAATGACATGTTAATCTGGGTGTAATTAAGGCTGAAATTAACACATTAATTTTTTGAAATTGCATGACATTTTATTTCCCTTTTAGCACACTGTGGTTAAACCACAGCTGTATTTTCCCTGCTCTCTCTGCTGCTGTCATGAGGGAAAGTAATGCACTACTGCACTGTTGCATGGCACATTTACTGAAAAACAAAACTCCCATAAGGCTTTGTTGATAAGTCAGAAGTAATACCCACTTTGTGCCAAATGGCATTAACATACAAAGTGCATCAAATTTGAGGTATAACCTGCAAGCTTTGCATGTAAGTACAAACTTAAGTCAGCAGCCAATCACATCACAACATTATTTTGCAGCATGCAACTCACCACAGACCTGTGACTTGGGCCTAAGGGACTTTCTCAGGTTGATATGTTGAGAGCAGTCATATGCCTCTCTGTTGCAGGCCGTAATGGTTTCATGCATAGTAGCTTTGCCTGGTTTCTTTAGCATAGAGACCAAACACAACTCACTAACTCTCCTCCAGCAGTCACTTGTTTGTGGGGGAGCCCTGACGAGTTGATCACCAAGTGCAGCGGAGTTTCGCAGCTCAAGAAAGAACATTTATGATTATTACTTCGTGGAAATGCAATCGACCGAGTTGCTAAGACAGAATAACTACCGCGTCTGCAGCGGATCATTTCCATGAAGTAATGATCATAAATCTTCTTCCTTGAGCTGTGAAACTCCATTCTACTCTGTGAACGACTCGTCAGGGCTGCCCCACAAACAAGCTGCTGCTGGAAGAGAGTAGGTGAGTTATGTTTAGTCTCTTTGCTAATGAAACCAGGCAAAGTTAAAAAGATATTTGGTGGCTATATTTACTGTTGATGAAGTTAGGTGCTGTTCTGAGCATTATTTGTGGCTATAGAGTGGCGACAGTAGCTCAGGAGGTAGAGCGGTCGTCCAATAACTGGAAGGTTGGCGGTTCGATTCCCCCCTATCCCAAGTCTGTCCGTTGTGTCCTTGGGCAAGACACTTAACCCACCTTGCTCCCAGTGTGTGTCCTCCACTGGTGTATGATTGTGAGTGTTGTGTGGTGGTGGTCGGAGAGGCCGTAGGCACAAAATGGCAGCCACGTTTCCGTCAGTCTGCCCCAGGGCAGCTGTGACTACCAAGGTAGTTTACCACCACCAAACTGTGTGAGCGAATGAATGATGTATCCAATGTAAAGCGCTTTGAGGGTCTCTGATAAAGCGCTATATGAAATGTGATGCATTATTATTATTATTATGTTTTGGTTGCGGTTTGCGCATGGAGATGTAGTCCGCTGTGTATTGCTATTGTGCGGTCGTTACTAAAGTTGGTATAACTAGAAAAGCAAGCGGTCGGCAACATTCATCTCTCAAGGGGGTGGCTAACTCAGTGTTACAGTGTGTTTGACCCTAACTTAAATCTACACCTGAATATCCCTTTAATGTGCAAAAGTGTTATCTCTTTTAAATATTCAATTCAATTCAATTCAAGCTTTTTATTGTCAATTTGTGCTGTATGTGAGTACATGGGACATACCCAGGAATCAAAAAAGATGTGTCTCTCCAGCCTACAGTGCAAAATTACAGAGAATTACTTTTGAAAAATACAAAAAAGTACAATAAAGAAGAGCATAACACAGAAGGAGAGTAGTTTTTGTGTCTGCATGTACCCTCATGCTTACTTTGTCTATGTATACGCACATACAAACCTAGAGACCTATCAAATATATTTAATATACCTAAAAGATATACATATATTTAATAGAATAAGCACTTAAAAACTGTCTCTCATTTCTGAGCCGTGTTTAGATCACATTGCAGCAGTGCAACATTTATTTGAATTATAAATCTACAAGTCAATAATGCTCAGTACATTTCATTGCAGTCCCAAATCAAATGGGATTGATTGTGTTTTAAAAATTAATGCACTGTTTTGGAGACTCTTGTTGTTGGACAAAAAAAACTGATGACTGGTGGTTAAAATATGGAAAGTCATGCATATGTAATGTAAACAGATGCTTCAAGCAAGGGTACTATAGTCCTGGTAACTCTGCTAAAGGCAACATGGATGTGAAATGACTGCATCCATGTGAGGTCAACAAGACTAACAATTAAGCAAGCGAGCCAGCAGCTAATAAATGCAGGATATGCAGAAAAAAACACACTGGAAGAAAAACAAAAACTCATGTATTGATTTCATCTTCAGCCAAAGTCTGAGGAAATCTCCCTGAAGCTAGAATAACATTAATGTTTGTATCGATTCAATGGCTGCTGCCATCCCCTAAAATATTAGCATATACATCTTTACTAGTGAATTGGGAGCTTTCAGAATATTCATGTAATTAATAGGTTTGTTAGACTGTACTTTTCATGCAAATCAATGTCCATCCATCTTATTTTATCACAGTTTGTGTAGCTCACCTCTCCTTTCACTTCCTGCTTTTGTACGTTTCTTGTCTGTGTGACTTTCTGCTGTCCTCTGATTGGTTTAACGTGTGTCTGATGAGCCTCATCCTCCCAGTGAATTTGACTGTGCCCATTCTTCTTTGTGCCATGTGGTCTGTAATTAAGCTTTTCCTCATGTCTCTCTATTTTAGCCTATAGTTCTCCTGTTTTTTTTTTTTAATTATTTCTGACTCTTGATTTTTTTTGACTGCCCTTCACATTTGTTTGCCTGAATTGGACAGATTTTCCAGTAAACTCTTGCCTGTTTTTGCTCCGTAAGACTTTTAACTTAATATAGATTTTTTTTTCTTTTAATCTGACAGTGCAGCAGTCTGCTCATGTTCCCCCCTGTGATGCCCTCCTTCTTTAGACCAAATGAGATTTTCTTCTTTCACATCCAAGCTTGTGTGGTCTCCTCTGTGTAAGATGCTTACCATGACCCCATTCTAATGCATCAACTATCCCTGTAACAGCTCAGTCAATTAAATCCTCCATGAGGCAGTAAGGTTAGACCTTTATCATGAGCAGAGCTGACGGTCACACAAAACCCAAATACTAGTCTTTACCTGCACTCTTTCTACCTTAACCCTACCTCGATAAATAAACCAGAAAAAGGTGCACCAGTTTGAGGCTACACATGCTGTTAAATTAGCAATAAACAGCACTCTAATCTATAAGATATTGATCAGGCAAGACTGGTGTGAGCCCCTTGAATCACTGATAATTGATGTCCCTCCGTTACCGGCATGTACAGTTTATTTTGTCTGCTTTTCCCTACAGTTTACCTCTAGCACTGTGTTGTTGTTCAAAAAAGAGTAAAAGTAAAGTTACCCCATTTTCCTGCCTTCATTATAGTAGTGGTAAAAATAACTCCAAACATTCTGTAGATTCTCAAAGGATACTATGCCTAATTATAGAAAAAGATGATTAAATTGGACCAAATTTAAAAACAGCTGACTGGATAATCAGACGAATGAGTACACACTTTACCTCTTGAGCCGTTTGTGTCACTCTTTATTCATTCAGCAGCTGCTTCAGAGTCGTCAGGAGACCTTTGGCAGAGGTATCAAAAACCCATAAAGATACATGAATCTCACAGAGATGGATTTTACAGTATGTTGTTAAAGTAGATAGACAGTTATTTCAGTAGATTACATTAAATCAGGCTCTGTCTCCTCTGGTAGATTTTGTTTCTGAGCGACTGCAGCTGTTTAACATGCACCACAATTAGTCAACTGCACACATATACAGTATGAGGGACTTTGATTTATTTTTAAGGGCTGTGCAGTCAGCAGTTTGTTCTCTGTACGCCACGCCTGCATCTGGTAATTTACGGAGTCATCAGTCTTTTTATATCAGCAAATGTATATTTGCTTTTTCTTTGATTCAGCACTTGTATGGAGTTAGATTTCTCAGATTTGTACCAGCTGATTATGAATTGCTCTACAGGAGACAGTTCATATGTGTACGTAAGGGTGAATTAAGTCATGAAGACACCAAAAGGTCCGTTTTCTGATACGAACCAAAGCGAGGATGATGCATTGTTGCACTTTCTCAACTGGTCCGGTTTCCGTTTGCAAAGGTCAAACTGTCACGTGTCAGCAAAAGCCGTTCACAGAAGACAACAGGCAAAAATTCGTAACTCCACATTTGTCCCCCATAGATATGTATAAATATATATAAACGCTAGATGGATTACACACGCTGTTAGCCAATGGAGACCGACGTCCGTACATGGCGATCATCTTGCTACAGGCCGCTTGCCCACTCATAACATTTCAGTCTATGGTGCTTTTAGCATTTAAATAACCAAAGATTGCTTAATTTTAAACCGATTTTCAAAGATGTATTCAACAAACCAAACAGCTTGGAAATCATGTGCAACTTAAGTTGTGTTGAAATGAAAGAGCATTTCGGCCTCTCCAACTGATGCAAAATTGTCGGGTCAACTTTGTAATACGTACTTGGTCTCACTTACAGTGAGTCTGTTAGCCAAGTTAGACAGCTGATAAACACAAGCACATTTACAAAGACCATCACTTAGACAAAAAAAATATGCTTTCATACAAAAAATTAAAATCTCGATTGTGGTCTCAGCCTTGATAACTCATGCAAAGCGACTCAAAGCCATTGCGCACGAAAATAGCTGTGAAACAACTGTGCTGCACCTAAAAAAAAGACATTTCAATATGTCCAATCATCCCGGCTCTTAGCCACATTATCAAGGTCTGTAACAAACAAAACCTTTTGTAAATCTGTCAAGATTTCGGCGAGGTAAGAGTATTTTTGATCATGCAAATTGCTCACCTTCCATCAGCTACCATACAATCTACCAGAATGGCATACTGAAGTAAGATGGCCGCCGTGTACGGACGCCGGTGACTCAGCCTATATTTATCTAGCCTGTCTTATATATGACTATGTTGTCCCCTGCCAGACATTAGCCGTAGTTTGCTAACTATGCCTCTGAACAAAACAGGATATGACGTGTGAAATGGCGCACGTCTTGGGATTGGTGCTCACCACACCAGTGTTGTTTTCGTCAGGCAGGACGAAAACTTAAATGACGACGTCAGACCCCTTTTTTCCTTGACGAAAATGAGACTAAGACGAACGTCACCAAAGCTCTGTAAATACTAAAAGGTGACGAAAATTGTATTCATTTTCGTCAGACGAGAACGAGACGAGACTAAATTGTTATTAGGTGGACGAACAAAGTTTCAAAACATGCTTTTTTTTGTCCTAACAGTCACGCCCCCATCACACACGCACCAAAAGCCTCGCTCGCGCACAGCTGCGCGCACACACTCATACACATACACAGAGCGGCAGGTGGACGAGGCGCGCACACACACACACCGTGGCGGCAGGCACAGCAGCGGTACCCGGTGGCCGAAAAAAGAGGGATGATTTATGGTCCTACTTCAGATACAGTCCAAGTGACAATAAAACGCAATGTCTTGTACGGGGACGGGGAGACGAGACAGACGACAGTTGTGGAGCCACAGCTTCCTCATGCTGCGGCTTCAAACTGTCGGGAAAGAACACCACGAACCTCAAAAGACACCTTTTCGACGACTAAAATTAGACTAAAACCTTTTGAGTTTTCGTCGGACTAAAACTAGACGAAAAACTATCAAGGATAGAAATGACTAAAATGGGACTAAAACGAAGAAGCATTTCGTCAAAATGACTAAGACTAAAACTAAATCTTAAATGCCTGCCAAAAACAACACTGCACCACACCAGGAGTAAACTGCTCTAGAGTTCACTTGATAGCAGTTGATTGGTCGGCACCAGAGTTCAAGGCCAGAATTCACACCAACCAAAATGAACCGCACCAAGGCGGTAAACACTCCAGGGTTCAGTTCAACTGGACTAAACAAGGCTGGTGTGAGCGCGACCTTATTCTACGCCTTGCTTAAAGAAGGTACCACTCCCTCCTGGGGGACTTTGACCGTGACCCTGTTTGTTCAGAAAGAAAATACTGTCATGAAGTGTAAAGAGACAGAACTTACTATGAGCAAGACACACACACACATACGCTCACACACTCACTCACTCACACATTCCCAAACATGATGCGTCAGAACTGCCCAAAGATTTTCTGCATTCATTACTAAGCCAGTCACCCACAGCAAAGAGATATCACCTTTAATATCAGTCAAACTTGTTAAAGTGGATTTTCTGCATGTTACGCCTCATTTGATGAGTTTTACAGACAAATTGAGGTTTAGTGTGCAATATTCAGGCTTGTTAAGGAAAAGCGAATCACTCCTGGCTTAGAGGCTTATAAACAAAGGGATTTAAGACAGATTAATTTTTTTTTTTTCTATCAGGATTGAATTTAAAACACTCGAGGGTGAGAAGAAAGGAGGGGACACTCATAATTTAAGAGGAATAGAGTGTTTGGGGATAAAGAGATTTGCTTTGTTCATTGGCTGTGGTTTAACTAAAAGAAGCCATTCTGTATGTCAAACTATTAAAAGCTGATACACAAAATATATTCTGGTAGGGGCAAAAAATGGTCTTAATTGGCTTAAAATTCATCCAAGCCTATAATGCCACACAATTTCTTTTGTCAGAACCATGAAAGGATTTAGTCATCTTCACCCACTGAAAAAATAACAACTGAATAAGCTTCGGGATTCTCATTTTGTGTGACAGATCTATATGCACAATGTCAAATACTGAATATTTCTCTTCCCCGCCAAACTGCTGAGTTTGGAAATTTCACTTCATTCCTGCATGAGAGATGAAAAGCATCCGCAGCTAAAGTGGAGAAAGTAGGGCAAAGAAAAGCGATTTATGTGAGGCATTAGATACTCCATTATAATGGTCAGCGATGATGAGTTCATATCTGCGCCTCACTCACGCGGTAAAAGGCCACCAGATATTAAAAAATCAAATGTGCACATCTTGCAGTTTATCTAAAATACACACGGCTTTCAGCTATGTGCAGATCTAAGTGCATAAGATATGAAATATGAGGGTTTAACTATATTTAACATCTATTATTCCAGCAGATGAAACTTGGTGAGTTTAAAGCTACAGCGCACTCGCATGTCCAGTTAAGTAGGTCACTTCTTGCAGTGCTTAACATGCTAGCCCACATATATTGCCAGAGGGGGTTCAGTTCTAATGATTATTAGTTTTAGGAATACAGTAGATGTGTAAAAGGAGTTCCTCTAACTAGCACATTCACCATGTAATATTCCCCCAGTGTGGGAAAACTGGATGATATTAGATCATATCAGTTAGGCTACCATTAGGGGCTCTGCCAGCTCTCTATTGGATTAGGGGTTTACACTGCAGCAGCAGCAGCTCTTGAGTCGTGTTAACCTACATTTGCAAAATACATCAGTTACTACTCAACCTTACAACGTTTTCACAAGTACATCAAAATACTGAGCTCTAAACTGTGACGCAGATCTTTGGTTTTTTTTTCATCTCATCTAGATGAAACACGAGCAAAGACTCAGATATTTTTAGATCCCTCTGGTAGCCTACGAATAAGCTTTAGCGAGTATGTATGCCAGCAAGTGGTAGCATTATTTTACCTATAGATGGTGTTTTCAACTGACTCACATCAAGAATGAGTTTAATTAGCAAGCAGATAAATTCGATGTGAGCATATGGAGTTGAAGAGCAGAGGTTAGTTGGTGCGGACTTACCGAGTGTTAATTTCCTCACTGATGATGACAACATGATGTGAACTATTTCTGTTCCAGCTGCAGAAAACTCTTCATTTACAGTGCTTGGCATAAATAAATACATCCATTCAGAGTTGTCAGAAAACCTTTAGTTTCCTTTCAAAATCAACATTTTCTATGTCAGACTTTACAATAAAACACTCCTCCAAATGTAGGCCATTGATTGCAAACAAGATTTTTTTAAGTTGCATAAAAAAAAGTATTTTTTTTTTTTTTTTCAATTTAAAAATCAGGATGCAAAAAATGAGTACATGCCAATCAAAGTTCTGGGAGCAAAGCTAAATTTTAGTCACCATATCACCCTTATTTTCATCTTATGGTAAAATGTTTTGTTAAATTAGCTTTGTCAAAATTTTGGAAATCGTACTTTTGCTCATCTAGATATTGAGTAATACATCACGTTTATTAGCGGGTGTACTGACTTAAGCTGGGCACTGTAACTGTATATGTTTGCTCCAGTCAGAATCTGAAATCTCTCACCTTGTATCTGCACTTGTATTCTTAGTATAGGTGATAGCTCAAATTTGGTGGATGTTAGTGATATGTTAAATCAGTTTGACATAAAGTGAACTTTTTTTTTTTCTTTTTAAATTGACAACAGAGCTATCTAGGAGAGAAATGCTCCAAATAAAAGTGCAGTGGTGTTATTATTTTTCTTCATAGTAGCAGCAGGGAGCGTCATGGCTGAACCACAGAGAGCAGAAAGGAACAAAATCCCATCAGATTAAAAAAGATTTTTGGGATCAAACTTGCAATAAACACACTGATGAATGTGACAGCCCCACATTCAGAATTCCCCATTTTTTTAAATCTTTTTAAGTCCCACTCCGATTATTTTTTTTACTGTTGTAAGTGTTGTCAGTGGTCTTTAAGTTGTGATCATGATCATGACATTTTTAGCCAAAATCACATTACCTGTATCATTTTCATGGGTTTTAGCTTATTAGCAATTCACCTCTGAGTTGTGGGTGGAGACAGCGCTGCTCTGCACACTCCTCTTCACGTTAGCTTGTAGCCTAACATTGTCAGTGTAGTAGAAGAAACAGGTAACATAGGAGCTATTCAGCTCTTGGACACTAATGTCTTTAGAGGCATGACGAAAGTTAATATCATAATTCGCTTTCTTACGAGCATTTTAATCCGCTAACACACACACTTGTTATTCAATCGCCCTCTCTCACTGAAAATCTCACTGAATCTGAGCCTGCCGTTTGGGTCTGCCAGAGGTTCACAGTGATTTGGATGCATAAATACTCAGAAATGCAAATTTGCACTTCTGTTTCTCATGTCTTCTAGTATCAGAAAAATGCCACATGTAGACAACAAGAAAAACATGATTTTCATTGAAATGGGTCTTAAAGTTTTTGGCTCATGGCTCCTACCTTCTCTGTATACAGCCCAGGCTACAATATATTGGTAATAACAACAATATTTTTTCTGCGAGTTTTGAAACGGAGTCAAACATAAAAAAGAAGAATCCATAGTCCATAATCTGCCTTCAACATCCTTGAAAAATATCTGACTGTCTCCTGAAATAAGTGCATTTTAAAAGCCGAGCAATATGTCACATTTGTTGTTGCTGCTGCTTTCAAATGAGAATAAAGAGACGTTTGCAGCAGTCCTCTGTAACCTCTGTCACAAAGTGTGTTTTGATGATTTTATAATAAGGTTGAGTCATCAGGGCATCTTTTAAAAAACAATGTTTGTGTTTTTCTTTGACTAAAGGATATTAATAGAGTTTAAGTGCAGAGGCAGTGCATTTGGGGGCCAATCCTTGTCAACATCAGCTGTTTGTAACATCTGGGGAGAGATTTGTGATTAAAATGCACTTTTGATTTTCTTCATCTGCAGTTTTGTTGTCAGCATGTATTAAAATCAGCAGTCAAAGATAAAAAAAAAGAGAGCACTATTTCATTTTTTTCTGTTTTTTCTCCAACATTAGGCACAGCAGATGACAACCTTACTTGTCTCCTCGCTGCATGCACGGAGGATGCCCCCTGCTCCCCTTTTCAGAGCACCAAACTGAACTTTTGAACTCTATTTCCTCCTAAAGCCCAGGTGAGCCAAACAATGTTTCCCTTTCAATATTCTCTCAAACCCGCTGCTTCTCCAACCTTTCACCGTCACTTTTCTTTTCATCAGTTTCTCCTTCTGCTTTTGAAAACCGCCTTCATTTTGCTGAACAGCTTCGCCTCTAATTGGTTACTCCCCTGCATTTAGCTTTTCATTTTTTAGCTATTTTTCTGAACTCAGTCATGTTGTGGAGCCTAACAAATAAGTAGAGACGCACATCTTGTGCTCTAACCCAATAAAAGCTATCCTGCGACCTGTGGCTTCTTATTTTTTGTGGTTTTATTGAAAGAGGATGAGTAATGCACTTCACTGGATGCTTTTAGAGGACTGCATATCATCAAAACTCGGAGAACTGACCCCAGAATACACAGCGAGCGGAGATTAAAGAAATTAATCTTGGAGGGAAAAGATGTTGTGCTACAAATGAGATTTCACCAGGTGTACACATTCGACTTTGACCGGAGCAAAGTAGGATTTTCTTTTTCTCTGTGAGAGCACAGTCAGTGATGCTGGCTCGAAAAGATGAAGTGGACACCTGTCATGAGAAAGATTTGCAGGCAGACGCAATCTTGTACAGAAGTCCTGCAACAGTTACGACTGGGTTGATCCTGAAGCAGAACTCAAATATATCATGATCTCTCTTCAGGTTCGTAACCACTTACTATAGAAATATGCAGGGTTATCCTTTTGCTTCAAGAGTCGTCTGTTATGTGATTTAGGTCACATGAAATTGTACTAAAGCTGCTCTTTTGGTAAATGTCCCTCTCTGATGTTTAAGTAGATGAATTCCTGTTTGAACTCTAAGTTATGGGAAAAATTTCTCACTGAAATTATTTGACGAGCCTGTCTGAGGTTGAAGTATGTGCTAGATATCTACATTGACATGTGCATTACCCTTGATTTAAACAGAAAGATCACATTTATTGGCAAAATATCCCCTGAAATGGACGCCTAGTCAGTGTGAGCGAATAAAGGTTTGAGTAAAAATGTTGCATCAAAGTTTTAGACTCTTAATATATTTTGTTCCCTCGAGTTCAGCTGAGCTCTTGAGATCGATCAAATACAAACAACCTTAATTTAGCAGAAGCAGCTCCTCTCTCACCCACTGCCAAAAGAAACACAGCAATTACTCTCCAAGATTTCAAACAGTGGTATGTCTTGAAGGGCTGTTGAAAAGGATTGCATTATATAACACAGGTGTCTATGCTATTGTCTCCACCTCTCACTGATTAACAAGATGTGTAAGGCTCGTCTCTGTCATGTGCTTTGTTTGCCTCGCGTTTCACTTGTTTCATCATGTATTACAGCGTTTCATTTTATCACGTGAATGATTGTGATAGGAGGAAGGAACATAACGCTCTCTCTGTGAAGTCCTCTCAGACGTACTTGTGATGAAAGCCGCTATAAATAAATGCCCTTCAATATCGTGTAATTCTGATCTCTCAACCTCTTTCATCCGCAGTAGGGGATGTAATTTTTCCGCCTGTTACCTCAATATATGGGTTTATTTAAAAGTACAAACACTCTTATTCGTTCTCATCTGTGGGTTTGTGATGAAATGGAAATATCACGTCAATCCACTCAATGTTTTTCTGCAACATGACGCAGGTGCTCAAAAGTCAGATGAGGACTAGAAGATCAACAGTGACAGAAAACAGGTCAAACTTTGTATTAGGGCTGGGCGATATGGCCTCAAATTAATATCACGATATATTGAGCAGTTCACCTCGATAACGATAAATGGACGATAACTACTCCACAAGCTGCTCACCCCCTCCCACATTAACTTCGTTTACTTTACCCGCCGCTACAACTTCAACTGTCCTCCATCTCCTCACCTGTCTTTCCCTTCCCACGTGTCTCCACCCTGGATGGGGTGGAGACACGTCTCCGACATACGACTTAAAAGGGACATGAGACCATAGCCTACCTACACACATCCAAAACCAACTTTTTTTTTGACACTGAATATATTGACATGGGCGAAATGACGTTGGTGAATGTTGTAAATTTCGGTATCGGTAAATTTTCGGTTTATCGCCCAGCCCTTATTTGCATGTCCAGTGAAAGAAAAGTTATACATGTACAGTATCTTATCATCATTGACTAAAAATGCTTCTGCTTCTTTTAGCTAATGAGCATGTGAAAGGAGAAGTGAGGAGTGCTGTGACCTTTGAGTTAAGACTGTTATTTGCTAACGTTAGATTAATACTTTTTTTACTGAACTGAAGCAACTTAATGAATGTTTTCATTTCACTCACAGGTTATTTTCAGAAAACTGTGACATCTAACTCAATAAGCAGGAACCTGATGAACCACAAGGCTCTCTTTGATCTGCCACTACAGACAATAACTGCAACTTAAGCCATAATTGGATACTGTGGTAATGTTTGACACTTGTAAGATGCTTTGTTAGTGGGCAGGGGTCTAGGCTGCATAAAAAATGTGTAAAAGCATGAACTCCTCAGTAGGGGTGAGAATCACCAGCAAGCCAACACTATGATATCATCACGATTCTAAGGCCACGATACGATATTATTGCGATTTTTAACATTTTGCAATACAGTGAGTATTTCGATACAATATATTGTGATCTATACATTTTTTTTCAACTGTTTAGCTAATTTAGCATTTGGCTTTCCTTTATGTTTGTCTTATTTACACTGTATTTTTTCTTTTTTATGAAGCACATCTTTCAAACCTTGTGTGTCAGGTCCATCTCATTTGTGCCCTGTTTACATCCGTAAAGCTCTATTAGGTGCTGCTTTGTTTGTTGCACCAACTCTCTCCAGCTCTATGATGTCACCTCTGCCAACCTCACTGCACAAACAGTTGATTTTGTTTTTCCATTATCATAGATTTGACTTCATATTAACAATTAATTTGAAAAAATCAATACTTGGTCAATGAGACGATACGATATATCGCCAGAAAAAATATCGTGATACTATGCTTTATCAATGTTTTTCTCCCACCCCTACTCCTCTGTCAGAGAAAGCTGCCTTTGTTGTAAGCTGCTGACTCCTTCGAAGTAAAAGAAGTTAAAAAAAAGACTACACTCTGTTGTTCTTTTCAGCTGACTACAAGACGGATACAGTAGAATTTTTCTGACATCCAATATTGTGCCATTGTCGTAGCACAATATAAATCTGCTGGTGGGAAAAAAATGCTTAAACTGAGGAAAATTTATGCAAATGTATCTAAAAAAAAAGCTAACTGGCAGTAACACCTTTTCTTTGTACATTTGTCTAAAGAGTGAAAAGAACTTTTGGGTTTTTAAAGACAATTAATTGCCTTTTTCATTCATTTGTTCACCAATCAGCAATTTGCAGCAGTTAAACACGAGTTAATTGAAAGCGATCCTGCGTCTCAAGGGAAATTTCCTTTTTCTACTTGGACCCCCGCACACTGAGAGTTCACTGGATAGGGTCAGCCTCCCACACCATATCTTGGGTGGATTTGTGTCAGCAATTTCTACCGTTTAATGGGAGGATTGTAAGACAATCAGGGGGTCAGCCTCGGAACAGCACTTCTTGAAGCTGGTGGGGATTTAGTGTCTTTTCCAAAATGTCAGCTGAGAGAAATATCAACGAATTCCCTCAAATTTATAGTAGTGGGTAAAAGGTTTTCTGAGAGGCTTGAAGAGTTAACTTCCTCACTTATCTTCCCCGTATTGTCAAAGCCTAATTCTATCACGTCACGAGTGTGTTCTGTTGATTAATGGTGGCTGTCTCCAGCGCTGAAGAACTTCCTCTGGTAGTGTCTTTGTCTGCTGGACCTCACAGAGATGATTACAGGATAACCTCTTATACACAGTAATTAATCAGCCCACAAGGAGACGTTGCTTCAGATGAATGTGACAGCTGCTTGGCTGGGGTGGATCACTCAGAGGGAGGATCAAAGGTCCCCGATTCCAACCTCAGAGTGTCCCTGAGGCTGGCTCCATTTCAAACGCAATCGATAGAAGTCGCAGGTCCAACACCTGCAGGTGTTTACAGTGTGTCAATTAAATGTGTTCACGACTCTTGGGTCATCTTCATGGCAACTCATTGTGCAACCGGGACATCTAGTGATTGGACCCACAAGGACAAGCTTCCTTAGAAAAAGAAACTGCCCTGTTAAGAGGGTAGAGGGTCATAAACACAGCAGATAATGTGAAACTGTAGAGGATTCAGCCTGTTGTGAACAGTAACATACAACTCCTGCTAGCTAGCTGCTACTTGAAGCTAACATTGTGATGATTAAATTACCTTTTTTTTTAGCTTAGTATAACTGCAGCAACAACAGTCATTGTCCTCATTATTCTCCATCTATGGCAACACCATCAATATGTTTACATGTTTTTCAAATTATGATTTATTGCATCGGTGTGGCTGAAACTACTGCACTTAATGAATTTCTCATAGTCAGACTAACACACCTAAATAATGCAGTTGGGGTTCGATTTTCTCTTGCATGTACGTACAGTATTTGCCCCGATCAGACTCAAACTTGACTTAATGTTTTTTTCATGCTCTACAGTTTGCAATTCAGGCTTAAACTTGTAATTTGAACGGCATAAAGGTTTCATAGGAAGCCAGGTAGTGGACAAAACCTTGATAGAAGAAGAATAAGGGACATTAAAAAATGACAAAGCTATCAACAAATCTCAAAAAATGCAGGGAGTTTGGTTGGAAAAATTTAACACATTTTTTCATTACACAAAAAAAAAAACAAAAAAGAAAAGAAAATTAGGCCAACAACAATATTGCAGGAAAAATTGCGGGCAGCTGAATGCCAACCATTGTCATATAATTTGGTCATGTTTAAAAATACAGTCATTTTGGGAGGGAGTTTTAAGAGCTATGGGTAAAATTTGTGGATGTAATATTCCTAAGGATCCTCGGTTTATTTATCTAGGACCGATAGCAGACAACGTAATAAATAAAGAAGACCTATACCTGTTCAAGATCCTATCTCTTGCAGCAAAGAAGGCCATTACTAGAAGTTGGCTGAGAACTGACTCACCTCGACAGTGTAGAAGAAATTTGATCAATGTAACAAATGACCTTCAGTCTTATAATAAAAACAGAGTATGCTGTACACATTGTCAACATGGCATCTTTATGTTACAAAGTAGTGTTTGCCCCCCTTGTGTTCTTGTGTTTTTGTATCTGTTTGTATTGATTGGAAAAAATAAAGTTAAAAAATGACAAAGCTGTGAAGTAATTCTTAACAAAGCTGTGGATGTTTTCATTATTTAATGTATGTCTGTCTAATGTCTGTTTGATATGGGATATCATGGGTCAACCAGGAGACAGCTTAGTGAGGAACTGAAAGGGGGCATGTCACCACTTGCCATTAAATTCTTCCAATAATCATTAACATCGATCGCTCTCTGTGTACAAGTATTGTCCATTCTCTTAAGTTTCATAGACCTAACGATTGATTGAAAATTGCAATAAGACTGTACAAAACATGAGGCTAGTTTTAGAGACATCATACAATGGCTTCTGTAAATATGCTCTGAAGCCAAGCAGTGGATGTGGACTTCATATTGGATATGCAGACTAAAGCTAACTTTCAGTCAGATTGGCAAAGAGGAAGAGTTAAAGCAGGCCCTGAGTCTCCTGGGAAACAGTTACACACCCATCTTCTATTTCAGTCCCTGATTATGTAGACATCTACATAAATATCAGCCTTATACATATATAAATGTGTGTGAATAGACTGTAAAGGTAAAACAGTTTTTTAAACCAGGCTTTAAACGTGTTATATTCTGCTGTAAAAATTGGCATTATAACATTTGACCTTATGAAGATTCCTTATCTTTTGTCGCCAGCCTCAAGTGGAAACTCTCGATACACTGCACTTTTTCCACTTCTGGTTCAACTTCAATTTTAAATTCTGGGGTTACTTCAAACAAAGATGTTTGACTAATAAAGATGTGAAAATGTCAAATTGCAAACATTTTGAGCAGCATAGTTTTGGATCACTGTCTGCCTACTTAACAAAAGTCCATGGCCAGTATTTTACTCTTATGTGTAGAGGTGCACCTTGAGCTGAAATTGGAGGGTGAAACGGTTTGTTAACATCCAGTACAGTCTGGTTTGTCAAGATGGGATCAAACGAGCCAAAAGAGCGAGAAAATGCTCTTTCACAACCATATAACTGGATAATAGAAAAAAAAGCAGAATAACAGCAACTTTTTGCAGTCTGGCAGGTCTGTTAAAAGAGATGAATGGGCTGTATTTTCCCGCATTGATCATCTCGCTGCCATAAATGGCTGCTGCTGACTGAGCAGGCAGGATGATGACATAGGCTGTCATTAGATGTGGATCATGGAGGACAGACTACGTCAGGTTTTACCGATGCTTGCTGACTAAAATGATATACTTGAAAGGTTATTGACTACATAAAAGAAGTGACGTTATATCTTTTTGAAGAGCACCATCCCAGTTTTTCTTTAGTTTATGGTCAAAATGTTAATAGTTTATGGCTATAGACAGTCATGGGTTTATGGCATATTGCATTTTGCACTGACAGAAGTGATTGTTTGTATTCCTGCAAATAAAAATATCTGTGTTTATGTCTTTTCCACAATCAAGCTAGAGGAATTTGGGGGAAATATAAATCAAGCATTACATTAAAGCTGTTCATTCTGTTTGAGAAATAAATCACATATTTCACTGGTGTAACATTCATTTTTGTTATCATGGAAAACAAAACTTGCTCACTGACAGCCTGCTGTGTTATAGCTGTCTGACAGAGTCTGTCATTAGCAAATAATCATCTGTCAAGGTTGATTCTGGAAAACACTGTCAAAACTTCCTGTCAAAACACACCAAATAACCGGATATTTTCACCGACGCTGCAGTTTCATGTTGATTTGAGGAGAACATCTTTGGTAACATACAAATAAAAGATGTCTGCAAACAAGCAAAATGAGTTGATGCTCTAAGTGAGTGGGAGTAAGATTTTTAAGAGATGACAGGTCAACCATGCACAGGAAAAAAACAACTATTATACACTCAAGTTTCTCCATTTCTGCCTCACTGTGTGTCATACCCTTCCAAATCAGATGCATTTTAAGCTTTTTCTAATTCTGCTGCACCATTTAATGAGTCTATTTTCTCTCCCTGTGCTGCATAAACATGCTAATAGGTCTTGTCACCTCCAAATGGAAAATCGGCTAATCACCTAATGCCACAAAGAGAGACCTTTACAGCGATATTAGCGATGCAGTTACCCAAAATATAAGGATTTTAAAGGTTAAAGGGATACTCCGGCGTAAAATTAATTCAGGGTCAAACACACCACAACACAGAGTTAGACACCCCCTCGAGAGATGAATGTTGCCGACTGCTTGCTTCTCTAGTTAAACCAACTTTAGTACCAACCACAGGATAGCAATACACAGCGGTCTGAGGAGCCATAAACAAACCTCAACCAAAACGCCACAAATAATGCTCAGAACAGCATCTAACTTCAACAACAGTACATATAGGGTCCCAGCCATAGCGCTAGCTAGCAAACATCTTTTTAGCTTTGCTTAATTTCTTGCTTAATATAGAGACTTAACACAAATCACCTACTCTCTTCCAGCAGCCGCTTGTTTGTAGCGAGACCTCAGGCCAGTCCATTACGGGGTGACGCAGCTCAAGGAAGAACATTTATGATCATTACCTTATCATTTCCTTGAAGTAATAATCACCATATTAATTATTTTTCATGCTGTCATTCTTCTGCCGTAGCGTCTCGGTCTGATTGCATTTCCACGAAGAAATGATCATAAATGTTCTTCCTTGAGCTGCGAAACTCTGCTGCACTCGGTGATCGACTCGTCAGGGCTCCCTCCACAAACAAGCGGCTGCTAGAAGAGTGTGAGTGAGTTGTGTTTAGTCTCTTTGCTAAAGAAATAAGGCAAAGCTAAAAAGATGTTTGGTGGCTAGTACTATGGCTGGGACCCTATATGTCCTGTTGATGAAGTTAGGTGCTGTTCTGAGCATTATTTGTGGCTATAGAGTGGCTTTTTGGTTGAGGTTTGTTTATGGCTCCTCAGACCGCTGTGTATTGCTATCCTGCAGTCGTTACTAAAGTTAGTTTAACTAGAGAAGCAAGCGGTCGGCAACATTCATCTCTTGAGGGGGTGTCTAACTCGGTGTTATGGTGTGTTTGACCCTAAATTAATTCTACACTGGGATCTCCCTTTAACTTGATGCCTGCGAATATGCAAATTTAATGACTACTTTTTTTTCTGTTTTCATTATCTGCC